AGGTAGATAATAAGTACCCTTATATATATACTATAATAAAGTCTCTTATTCTACTATCTTATTTAGGTCCTATTATAGACCTATATTCTAGGATTCTAAATTAGTTCTACTCCCTAAGGTCCCGTTATAGACCTATTCTTTAAGGTTCTATTATAGATCTATCTATACTCTTAGTATTTAGGATCTCTTACTTAGTTATTATATAACTTTTGGGAGTTTCTAGGGTTATTCTATCCCGTAACCTTATTTATTCAATAAGTATACTTATCTAGGCTGCGCTACAGATAGTCTATAATATCTAAATACTTTATACTTCTATAGAGAACTTAGTATATTATATTAAGGGGGAGGTATTATAATTAGTAGTTCTTATAGATAATCTTTTAAAATCTACTTTTACTAGGGGTTAAATATCTAATCCTAGAGTCTTGGCTAGAGGTAGACTAATAATATTAAGGTCTAATTTCTAATTAGCCTAAACTATTTCTCTAATTAAAGGGTACTCTAATTTATTAATTCTAATAATATAAGGTATATAGAATACTTTATTATCCTTAATTAGTAAGAATAAAAGTTTAATTAATTACTTAATATTTATTATAGGTCTCAAGGAGTTAATATATAGGGAGAAGGCTACTTAAAAATTAGAGTTAGCCCTTATTAATAGAGGAACTAGCTAAGTTTTAGACTTTTTAGTAGACTCTAGCGTTAGAGAGCTAATCTTCTTATAGAATAATTTCCGAGTAGTAAATCTTTTTATCTCTTAGTAAGTAGTAGGGCTCTAAGCTAGGAGATCTAGGAGAGATATATTAACTTTAGTAGTCTTTAATATATTATAGATAAATAAAGGCTTATCTTTTATATTCTTATTAAAAACTACTATAGAAGCTAAGTTTCTTTCTTTAGGTCTGGTAGAGTCCCTTACTCTAGTAGATCTTAACTAATTAGTAGTATCTCTCTTAGTAATAGAAGATCTTTCTTCTAGAAAGATATATATTTTAACTTCTAATAAGTTCTTTATCTAGATATTAAATAAGTTTTATATAAAGGAATTAATAGAGAGGTAGTTCTAATTTTATTTTAAAGTAGAGTTAGGGTAGTTCGCGGCTATTCTATTATAGTTCTTCTTTTAAGCTATCTATACTATAGTAAGTTAAGTATTTATAATTTACTACTTAATACTACTAAATATAATATTCTTTAGAACTCTTTACTCCTTAGAGCTTAAGTAGTTATTAGTATAAGTAGAAGTAAAATAACCCTCCTTACTATACTTTATTGTTGGAGCGTTAGCGAAGACTATTGTATTTCAAATAATTCAAATAATCGGTTGAAATATTCAAATCTGTGGATCCTTGAAAAATAGCTATAAAATAGCTGATTGGTTAGAATTCTCGCTTCTAATTGGTTACTGAAACAGTGTATATCTAGTGGCTTGGCGAGGATAATTAATCCCTCACCAAAATTATTATTAATAAGGTTTTTTAGCTTCTTTTTCAACTTTTTTTATAGCTTCTTTTAGTAGCTTAGTATAGATGATTAAGCCCTTATAAAGAAGATGACTAAGCCTCTATTAAAAGGATAACTAAGCCCTTATTAAAAAGATAACTAAGCCCTTATTAGAAGGATAACTAAGCCTTTATTAAGAAGATGATTAAGCCCCTATTAGAAGGATAACTAAGCCCCTATTAAAAGGATGACTAATCCCTTATTAAAAGAATGATAAAGCCCTTATTAAAAAGATGACTAAGCCCTTATTAAAGGGATGACTAAGCCCCTATTAGAAGGATGACTAAGCCCCTATTAAAAGGATGACAAAGCCCTTACCAAAAAAAAGCTTTAATTCACAAGATTGAAAGAATCAGAAAGATTAAACTAAAAAAAGGATATAAATACTTTAAATTCTATCTTAAAAGATTTTTAAATTATTAATCTATTATTTTAAATATTTAAATTATTAAAATATTAGTAAAAATTATTATATTTTAAGTAGTTTAAATAATAGATTAAAATTTTTAAATTTATAAATTTTAGAAAAATAGCTATAAAATAACTTATTAATTAATATTCTTATTTCTAATTAGTTACTAGAGTAGTATATATTTAATAGTTTAATAAAAATAATTAATCTTTTTTTAAAATTAGTAGTAAAAAACTTTAAGAATAAAATTAAAAAAATCAGAAAAATTAAATTAAAAATAAAATATAAATATTTTAAATTCTATTTTAGAAAACTTTTAAACTATTAATTTACTATTTTAAATTCTTTACTATTAGAGAAATATTATAATATCCTTTATTAAACTATTTTAATATTTAAAAAATTAAAATTTAAAAATTATTTTTATTTTTTTAAATAAAAAAATAGAAAAATTAAATATTTAATAATTTAATAAAAATAACTAAACTTTTATTAAAATTATAATTATAAATTATTTTTAGCTTTTTTTAGTAGCTTAATATAGATAATTAAGCTCTTATTTAAAAAAAATTTTGAAAATATAATTAAAAAAATCAAAAAAATTAAATTAAAAATAGAATATAAATATTTTAATTAAAAATAATTAAAAAGCTCCGACAATCAATAAATAGCTTTGCTAGCTATAGGAGGAAGTTAAATTTTCAAACTTCCGACTTACCTAGTATATAAGGTGATACTAGGGGGTATAGTCTACGTTTTAGAGCTATTAATATAAGGGTTCTTAAAAGTAGAGATCTTAGAGGGCCTACTCGTAGTTCCTTTTAGCTTATTCTAAGGATTAGGCGTTACTTACTAGGGATTAGGTTACTAAGCTTGAGTCTTATAGAAACCTCCTTATACTCTAGCTAAAACTACTATAGACTTAATTATTACCTAGTTAGCAAGCTCTTTAGGAGGGGGTATAATAAGGGGAATAGAATTAGGAACTATTTAAGAGGTAGGAATAGTTTTTATAGAGTTTATAGGTAGGCTTAATATAGTAGAGCCTATTATCTATAATTAAGTGATAGTAGTAGTAGTTATATTATTAAAAGGAGGGCTAGAGGTCTAAATAGAGGCTTGTTTAAAAGTACTAAAGGAATATATATAATACTTATAAATATTTTTAATTTACTATATATTATAAGTCAAATTTATTAACTCCCTTAAAAGCTAAAGTTTTTATTTTTTAGTATTCTTTATCTTTATGTAGTATACTAATTTACTAGTTTATAGAGCTTCTCTAATAATAGCTATTACTTAAAATAAACTTATAGATTCTAAAAGAGTAGCTTTAATAGCTTCCTTATAGATATTAGTATTTTATAATCTTTAGGCCTATATTTATAGAACTACTCTTAATACTACTTTATTACTTTAAGATATTAATCTAGATAGTAGAGAGTCCACTATACCCTACTATAATAATAAAGTTTACCCTCTCTTATAGTACTAGGTAATAAATTTCTATAGGCCTTACTTAAGTACTAATAGTTTATTAATAAGGGGGGTAAGTTACTTATTCTAGTTAAGCCTTAGGAATTGTAAGTATAAGTATTTCTTAATAGTAAGTATAGCCTTAGTAATCCTTATATTTAATAGAGTTCTAATACTAGGGTCTTCTACTATTTAGTTTTAAGTAGAGCTAGTTAGTAGTATTTTAATAGCTATAAAGTAATTTATAGATAAAATAGTTAGAAAATTTAAAAAATAGTCTACTAAAAGATATAACTCCTAATCTAACTTAGTAAGCTATAATTTAGTACTACTCTTTTTAGTACTACTAAAAGGCCTATATAGCTTAAACTTAGGGAGTCTTAAGTTTTAACTTTAATAAAGAGCTATATTACTTATTCTATTTTAAAATTAATAAAATAGTGTCTCGTTTTTATATAGCGCTAGCTCTAAATTAGAGAAACTTAGTCTCCTAACTATAAGTATTATTTTACTATAGTCAAAATCTATACTAGATAATAAACTATCTCTTATAAATAACTCTAACCCTATAGGACCCTTATCTAAGTCTAGAGTTAGGGATTTTAAAGGGTTTATTCTATTATTAGAGGGACTAAAAGAGTTAATAGATCTCTTTCTATAAGACTAGGGTACTACTTTTATAATAAGGAACTAGTAGTTCTAATAAGATAGAAGAGAAATAGAAGGATAATAAATATTATAAGAAAGGAGCTAATTAGTAGACTTTATACCTTTTATAAAAAGTAAAGGTATAATATATATATTAATAAACTACTTTTAGATTTAATATAGTTCTAGAGAGTTTAGATAGATATAGAACTAAAGATTATAACTTTAATAAATAAAGCTTAATAACCTTAAATTAAGCTATTAAGGGATAATTATATTAAAATAAGGTTAATTATAGCTAAATAATAAAATAAGATATAGTTTAATATTCTAGACTATATTCTTATAGTATTGCTATAGGATTAAGCCTAACTAAGAGTAAAGAACTAGTAGAACTCTTATTATAATTTAGAATTTAGTAACTATAAATAAATCTCTAGACTATCCTTAAGTAACTAAGAGTAGTAAGGCTTGATCTTAAGTTTGATATAGAATATATAAAAAAAAGGGGCTTTAAAGTAGCTTATTTAGATATAATATTAGTAATAATGATCTTTCTAACTTTAGCTAGGGACTAAGAATATAAAAGTAGTGACTAATTACATAATCAGTTCCACTACCTGATACTCGCTCCGGAGCAAGCTGAATGTTCAACTTGCCGACCGATTTTCCCAGTCGTATATTGCAACAATATCCCGGACTGCCATTGATTATTAACAAAGACCGAAAGACCTCATTGCTCTGAAACTGCGGCGAAGTGATATGGGTCCAGTCTAACATCCTGTGTCCTGCTTTGCCTTTTCAACAGCCTGTGCAAGGCGCTGGACTCCTTCCTCCAGCATATCTTCGTCCACGTACGCCAGACATATACGCACAAAGCTGTCCAGCGGCCCGTCGGCGTCTGCATAGTCATAGTCTGGCTTTGCGCCTTCACCAGTGACCTTGCTTCCCTCACCAGCGGCAATCCGTAGACTCAGCTCCTCTGCAGCAATCCTGGTCACACGGTTTGCTGAGATGCCAGGAGGAAGGCGGAGCCAGAAGAAGTAACCGCCTGAAATCTCACTAGGCATTATCTTATCGCTGCTACCAGACGGTGGTGACGGGGAAAGGGGTTTGGTGAAGGTCATACCAAGAGGGTGGAGATGCTTTTCGATTGCGGCGCGCAGGATGTGGTACCGTTTCGAGTATGCCGGGCAAAGCACCTCTGGGATATACCATTGGATGAAGCCGGAGGAGAGGAGCCGGCAGATGAAGGTAGACGTCAACTGTGATGGAGCGCCACCAGAACGTGTCGAGCCTCTGCGATTCCTCCGCGGTTAGTCTTGTCGGGTGTTGCTGGCAGTTACAAATTAATGTCCAGGTAGTGAGAGTTTCACTTACGTCTGTCCAACGCCATATACAAATTTTTCCGTCCCTTCAGCCCACCCAACTCGACATCCAGGGCCGAGAAGTTTGCTAAAGCTCCCGTTACTCATACAATTTCCGAACTCGTCCCTTGGCCCGCCGTCCAGGAAACGATCGATGTCAACTAGACGTGGTGCAACGGCAGTCGTAAGCTGTAGTTGCGTGGATGACGGGTCGATGTGCCACTGTAGAAAGTCGTAGACATCATCTGTCACCACCAGTGCGTCATACTGTCGAGCGAGACGGAGAAGCTGCGTACGTCGGCGGACGGACATGATTCTAGACGACGGGTTGGCGAAGGTAGGGACTGCATATATAATATGCTTATATATCTTCCTCCATGGCCGTGGGGGCTTCAATTTCTGCCGAATTGTCAGTACTCGTTGCCAAATCAAGAAGGCTATATATATAACGTACTGGCTCCAGATTCCCGTCTGCCACTGCCCGTTCCTCGCTCTTGTTCAGCTCCCTCTCGAGAAAGTCAACGTCAATACCCTCAGCATCCTCCCTGACGGCTCTCAGCTTGTCTCCGAACCCAGCATCCTCGAACATGCCACACGCAAGATAATACGTCGGCGACACCAGCCATACGTTCCGCGTATACACTGGGTCAGAAAACACCTGCAGCACACAGGCCAAGTTCTGACTGGCGCCGCCAGATATCACTATCCTGCCGGCATCCACGGCTTCCTGTGGCTGGTAGAAGGCCGTCAGCCATCTTGCTATCTCGGCACGCAGCGAGGGGTCTCCTTCATCCGGGCCGTAGCCTAGGGCGGGCTCCGAGAGTGCCGGCGTGTGTAGGACAGCCTTGGATGCCTCTGACAGGGCTGACGTGGGGTGTAGTGAGGGATGGGGCCAGCCCCGGGACAGATTGATGGGCCGCTGTGTGAAGCGGACTGTCATTGTGTCGTTTGTAACTGTTCAAGTTATCTTTCTGGTTTTTGCTATACTCTGGTAGCTACTCTCGGCGGTTGGTTTCTGGCTCTGGAGGAGTGATGGGTTATGGATGCGGCGCGGGGCGCGAGGCGAACCATGTCTTTGCAGACGGCCTGAACAAGGTTCCGTGGTCCAATTCTATCATTCCTCGCCTTCAGGGGTAGTAACCGACAATCTTATCGGGCACAGTAATATCGATATACGGCACCTGCTCCTAGATGCAGCCAAATGTGTATCCCTAGCAGGAGTGTGAGCAGTGGTAGTTACAATATCATGACATCACCACCTACCAGTGCCTTTATGGCCCATCAAGCACCTCCAAGCTGCCTATAGATCTTCTCTAGGCTTCTTCTCATGTAGCCAGCGCAGTATCAACTCTGTCTCCTTTCTCAGTCTATCGCCGTCCTTGGGTTGTCTTCATTTCGTCTGATGTCGTCGTCGTCGAGTTATCAAAACTATCCACGTCTCGTCTATAAGAAACACGCCGAGGAAGCCATCACATGACAAGATCGCATTGATGGTTTAGTGGTAAAATCCGTCGTTGCCATCGACGGGCCCCGGGTTCGATTCCCGGTCGATGCACTTTTTTTGCCTCTTCATTTTGCTCTTCTCTTTTAGTTCCTGGTGCTTCTCTACGAAGTCCTACGGCGTTTTTCCCTATCGATTTGTATTGTTGAAGCCTTTGGAAATCTCCTGCAAGGAGTAGTTAGATATCACGTGTATAAATATGCAGCTTTCTCGTTCTTTTTGACTGCTGAAACTCGAGCTGTGCATTTGGAAGCTGTGAAACAAGGAGAAACATGCAGAGCGTCATGAATAAACAGCTAGTTGGCGGCTATTCTAGTTCATCTCTCTTTGCTTTGTCTACGCTGTTTTGCTGTAGGAGAAGCAAAGGCTGCGTGGGATATCTAGGGCTTAGGTCTAGGGCTAGATAGTTGGAGATGCCGAAAGGGAAAATACATATTTCTTGTCATCGCGTTTAGGCGCATTAATTAATTGTTATAGAGCAGTAAAATCTAGCTAGTAGGAGGTAAAAGAGATAAGAGGATGCAGTGAGACCTGCTGATAGTAATCAATAAAGATTATGGCAACTCTATCCAGGATTCTGTGATCTCGGCTATCGAGATAGGTCCTCGTTGCAATATTATATCTGTAAAGATTTCAAACAAAGTTTGCCTTAATATATAACATAATGCTGTTAAGAATGAGCTCAAAATATCCACCGAGATCTCCATAGATAGCCAACTTTCGGAGCCAACCCTTCTCAGGGTACTCCTCTTCGTTCCATTTATCGTATTTCCATTGCCTACTGTGAATAGGGTTAGTTTTTCCATATACTGTAAGTCAAGAGATGATCGTGCATAGGCCAAGCACAAGTTCTGTGAACGTCAACGGCTTATCAGTAAGCTCTTCCTATACGTGAGTTCGATAAACCCCCGCCAGCTTGGTATATCCCGTTACCTCCAATTTGACATAGCTTATTTCCAATAAATAATTGATGTCAAAGTGGCAATTTATGCAAGTAATATGCACCACAAATCGAAAAAAAGTATGCCGATCAAGAGCAATGACCGGCATATCGTTTCTAGTCGCCATCCGATCGTTATGGTTGGGAATAATAGGCTATTCCCCACTTTGTCAGATTGACTCTGGATGTGGTCACAATATGTACCCTATTGGTACTCCATACTGCACAGGAATCTCTGGTGGCTGGTTTAGCAGAAATCTGAGGATGTGTAATATATTAAATTGACGAGAGTGGCCATGTTTCTGGTAGGGTCATATGTTGCGTGTGACAAAATCCCGGCCGCGGAGTAAAAGGAAAGAAAAGGCATGGTTGAACCATGGTTGTGTAATGCTTCTCGCCCGAAGACAAGAGTAAAATGTCTAAGAAGTGCTTTTTTTTTTTCGTGACCTTGAACAAAAACTGAAGCTGTGTGGCCATACCTACTGGTTAGCAGTCAAGTTTGACATTGAGATGGGGTAGGGTATTGTTATGCAACCTCTGCCACTTTCTGGTTGCAGACTTTTTGATAAAGGTAACCGTAACATTATATAATCGGGGGCGGGCTTGTGACGGGTAGCTCTCAACATCTCCCGTCGGGGTTCACCGGCGATATTGTCGAGAGCAACGGATGGCTGTATCTCTTCGCGGTGCAGATGCTTTGATTTCAAAGGTAATAGCCGGGTTCTGTGTATGTGTCTAGATGCGGGGTCGAGCCTGGTCTTTGGCTTGTATGTCGTGGACAGAGCAGGAGTAAGGGTGGTACGTCCGCAGCCTCTGTGCGAGTTTCGACTTTTAAACTCATCCGATGTGGCATCGGCGTGTACGAATAGCTGGACAAGCTGTTCTGGGCGACAGTCCGTGCCTGGCCACGACGATCTTTCTCTGCATGTTTCCGTCCATGTCGAGGGACGCACACTCTAGCGAGACGCCGTAGCCCTCGGTTTATTCAAATTTTGAAGCCTGATGTAGGAGTTACGGCCCGACTGCATGTATGTAGCAGTAGTATTCCCTCGATGGTGCCGTTAACAACTCAGCTAAACGTGCAGCTTCTAAGACGTTTTTTTTAACTTCTCTGGCTTTCTCTGGCTCATGACTCCCAGGATGGAAGTATGTGCTCCAACTTCTATATTCCAGGATAATTGGGCTACCTGTTGATGCTGGTCATCCACTCCAGCTCTGACACAGAAGGCAGGAGTAGCGAAAACAAAGGTTGGCCATGGTGTCTCCCCGGTCACGAGCAGCCTGGCGGACGTGGAGAGCTGTGATTAGTTGCAGGGGGTAACATCTAAGAAAGATGTTTCGCACTCGAATGCCATCACATGTGGGTGTGTAAGACCACTCTATCAGTGCGATAGTAAACTGCACTGCAAATTCTCATCAGATACATCTCTCGGTTTATGTAGTTTAAATCTGGCTAAAGGAAAGGCTGCTTGTTATGAGAGCTGTCGAAGCCAGGGCTACCGGCATTAAATATGCGGTGTATAAAAAATGGATAAAACGGACGGAATATCGTCATCGGCAGCTTACAAATTGTGATCCTTCATAAAATAGCTCCGTCACTAGCTTAGGTGAATTAAAGTCGGGCCAGGGTGGATTACAGGGAGCCCAGCGAAGGGAGATGGAGCCCCTTGTTTGATCTTGTCTTGTCTTGTCTCGTGTGGACAGGGTTTGGCACGCAAGGATCGGGGGTTCCTCGCTGGCGGGACTTCAACATGAAAAAAAAAAATTGCTTTCTCAAGGCCGACGACGGACGTTTTATCGAAGTCGTTTCTTCCGTTAATCTCCTGTCCCTTCGTTATAGGTGTAAATGTCAACTGTGAACGGCAAAAAGGTTTGAGATGCTGTAGAAATAAGCAAAAACAGCCATCACGACTGCAAAGTAAAATGCAAAAAAAAGAAACACGGAAATTCTATTCTTAGATGCAAAAGCATGAATTAGTTAAGTGGAAGTAAAATATTATACGGACGGCACGTTCTTGGACGACTGGACTGCCTGCCATGCCGGCGGGAGAAGCTAGAGGAGGAGGAGGAGGCCTGTGGGATGTCTGTATGTATGTATTCTGTGTAGCTGTCGAGGGAAGGGGATGGCAGCCGGGGAGATCATGAGACAAGTAGACGAAGGCGTCAGGGCAGGCGGAAAACGGAGTCAAGGAGCAGAGCGAACCCCTGCATGGCGCAGATGGAGATAGATAGAGGGCGGCGGAGAGATGAGGGCGAGAGCGAGGATGAGGTCGAGGTTGAAAGTGCCGGCGTCGTCGATGTTTCGCACCTGATACAAGAAAAGGGAAGAAAACTGCCTTCTGCCACCGCTCGCCGCCTTTTCGGCCTTCAACTCTACTTCGACTTCATCGAAACAACAACATCATCATCACCAGAAGACGACAACGCAAAAGGCTGCAGCAGCAAAAGGCTCCAGACTCCACCGTCACGGCCGTCAGCCAGTGAGATATAAGACTCGCCTGCGCCAGACAAGGCTCAGCACCTCTTGTCCTCTCGTTTTGTCGTTGGTGCCGCCTGGCTGCTGCGGAAGAGCGAGACAGCCACGCGAGAGACGAGGACCAAGCAAAACAGCCACTTGCCGGGGCCCCAGGGATACGAGGCCTCTTGGATTCGTCTCGGACTGGCTCTTGAGTGTATATACGCTTCAGGGCCTGTCTGGTTTGGTCGATCGATCAGCCCGGACTTTACGGAGGTGCACACACATGCTCTGCTTGGCTGCTTAGGGGGAGGAAATACATATAAGCGAGCAAGGGCATCATCCGTCAGATACGAAAGGAGAAAACTTCCCAGAGCCGCATTGACATCAGCTACAAGTTTGCCTGAATACGGACAACCGCTCCAGTCTTCGTCATTTTTTTCCAGCTTAGCCCTCTCCTTTGATCCTTCGGCTGTTCATTCCCGCAGGCGCAGCGATAGGAGCCACTCACAGAGGAATCAAAATAAGAAATAATAAGGCAAAAGCAAGTGAAGAGAAGAGGAAAAAAAACTGGGCCTTGTTGCTTTTCTTGGATACGCTACTTGTTTGACTCCTTGGCTGGGGTGCTTCTGGTGCTTGGAAACGCTCAATATTTAGACTCGCCATTCTTCTTTCTTTTTTCCCCTTCTCTTCCCTTTTTCTCGTCTCTAGAAAGACCTCGCTTATCCAGGATATCTCAAGCGGAAGAGACGGACCGATCCCTCTTCCTCTTTTTTCCTCTCAATCAGATATTCACTCGTTTATATATCTTGCCACTCAAAGGGGGGAAAAGACGGTGACGAGGAAAGCAAGCAACAATCAAGCAACAAACCTAACTACCAGTGAGGGAAAAAGATACAAGGCAGCAAACGAGATAGCAAACGACGAAGTACGCAAGTTACTACGTCAAAACACAATCGACGCCTGTCTTTACTATCACCTCAAGCCCATGTTGCCCGCTGCATACCAACGCTGAAAGATCCTTCACAATGTTGGCAGCTCCCTCCAACAATCCTGTTCGCCGCCTCTCTTCGTTATTCTCCTTGGGCTCGCCGAAACCTGATGATAAACGCTCTCCCACCAAATCACCACATTTACAATCCTCCCGTTCATCTTCGCTGCAATCTCCGCCCCTTCGGGATCAACAGCTCGCTGAAGAGACACAGGCATTGAGCCTCAACCCACGAAATGTCTCGGCTCCCGTCCTCGGTGAAAATGCACACCAAACATACACTCCTCCACCACGTCTCTCCAGCTTGAACCCAGATCTTGCATGTCCAGGTTCGCCAGATACTCACAGCCGTAGCCAGAGCTGGAGTGATGCTGTACCGCGATTCAGCAAATCTGGTTCAAGGCCAGGTTCAGGTCTCGGAGTTTCGGGAGTTACCGTCAACCCTACTACCCCTGCCACTATAAGCAAGTCCAAAAAGGGCGCTAAGTCGAAGTTGTCTGGCAATGATGCGTCAAACGGTAAGCGTGCCTGGATCGCTGGAACGGAAAACGATATTGCGTACGATATTAGCACTCTACTTGCAGGGGAGAGGGTAAGTTAAACACTCTTATGGCTTATTATGGCACTATTTTTTTTTTTTTTTTTTTTTTTTTTTTTTTTTTTTTTTTTTTTTTTTTTTTTTTTGGCTGACTTGAATTAGGTGGCTGATCTCTGGGATGATGCCGGAGATACCTATGTCTACCTCTTCCCTCAAAACTCTGGTCGACCGCCTTCGTTCAAGGTCGATTCCGCTATTTTCTCTGCATCCGCTTCTCTCACCCTCCTTGCCCGCGGGAATCCTTCTCCTCCTCAGTCTACGCGAGGTGGCCAGGGCCGATCCCGAGATCCTAATTCGTCTTCTCCTCCTCTTTCAGCACAAAATGGATCTAGTTATGATGAGGGCTCCGACGGACAGTCGCAGGATGGTTTTCTAGACGACGAATCACCGGAGTTGCACCTATACATGCCCGTACCCCTTACCGGCGATCTTCCCTGCGGCCGAGAGCAGCCTGTCCTTTCTGCTGATGATGTGGATATGCTAGTACTTTTCCGCAATCTGTTTGCCTTCCTTATCGGCCAGGCGTTGATCGCAACGCCACGCACCCCGTCTATCTTCAACATTTTTATGGAAGTGTCCGGGCTCCTAGATCGATTTGGATTCACCAACTTGGACCAGTCAACTTTTGGAGAGACTGCCACCAGCAGCTTTGGCTGCTATTGCGATGAGCTGGATTTGATCGATGTCCGTGCTTCGAGGGAACGTGCCTTGGATGCTATCATCCTTGGTGAACGTATGAAGTATCTCCCTCTGTACCAGGAGGGTTTCACTCATGGTGTTGCAGTGCTTGACGATCTAAAGAAGTTCGAGACGAAGTATAACCTTGTTTCTGCAGTGACTCGAAAGAGGTTGGAGCGAGGATACCTAGACCTGGACAACAGAATAAGAACATGTGCTGTCAAGATCGATGAGTTCGAATTCCCTTCTTTGTTCTCTGGTATTGCCAACTCGAACGTCGCAAATGAGGCCAAAGTCATCCGCTTCAAGAACTGGAAGAATGCATACCTCAGCTATCGAAAAAATGTCATGAACTATTACCGCGCTCGTTTCGGCTCATGGCCTCCCAAGGCCAGCAAGAAGAACCAGTTCCAGGAAAGCGGCCTTAACCGCTTGGTTCTTCGAGAGCTTTACCAGGACTTCTGCGATCTCTATGACATGCTTGCCGACCGCACCGACCTCACCACCCGCTCCGCAGACATGACTACCTCCGTCTTCAAGGCTGAAGACTCCAACTCTACCTCTCAAGCACTTCGACAGATCATGTCGGAATATGACCGCAGTACACCACCGGTTCAGCCACCAATTCCCTTTGACATTCCCCGTTTGCCTTCTATCCATTCCATACGGCGCAAGCTAGATCCAAAGCGTGAAGCCAAGGAGCGTGCAAAGCGACTTACTACGGGTGAAGTGAACGAGATTCTGGTCTCCAGTTACAACCACGCAAGCATGAAACCGACCCCTTTCCTGGAGAACTTCATGAACTATGAGCGTCGCGTTGGCCACGGTAAATGCGCTGACGAGCTTGCGGATATGCGTTGTGCACAGTGGCTATTCATGTACGCTGTCATACAATCATTGCCAATGCTTGTTGTGGATGCCCCGGATCTTAGGTGTACACATGGCGTGGAGTACTTCCTCTGCATACCGCCATGGGGTGGATCTCCTTGGTGCGCTTCTGACCCAAAGAATGGCAAGAAGTGGTTTGGTGTCGCTGGTGGGTCTGGCGTTGTCAATCTACCATCGGATGTGGTTGCAAATGGCGTCGATGCTGTCTATAGGCGCAGTCACTGTTGGCAGGTTGCCTTGAAGTGGGCAGATGAGGGACAGCTGAACTCGTCTGTTATGCTGGACCCTGCTTCACAACAGCCAGAGGAGCCGCAACAACCACCACCGCCTCCCCCTGTTCCGCAGAGCCAGCCACAATCACCGCAGCAGCAATACCAAGCATACCCTCAGTATCCCCAACCTCCACAGCCATACCAATCACCGCAATATCCTCAGCAACCACCGTATCCAGCACCACAATACCCGCCGCCGCCGCCACAGCAGCAGCAGTATCAGCCATACGCTCAACCATACCAGCAGCCGCAGTATCCTCCGCAACAATACCAACACTACCAACATCCATCTCTCTCTATTTCAACACCTGATCAGTCTACTGCTGGCTCTCTCCCTCCCTCAGGTACCCCGACTGCCTGCCCGCCCAACCAGGCTCAGAACTTTTACCCATTCCCTTACCCGCCACCGCTCTCATCTACCGGCTCCTCTTCAGACAGGCAACCTACTCCACTTCTTACACCAGGCGATACTACACCTCCTAATCTCCCCATGCTCAATCTCCGACCACCAAGTGCGTCATTTGGTCGTGGTGCCGGAACCCCAGGCAACCGTTCCTCGATATACATGGGCCTTGAAGCCTTGCCACTACCAGCTGGTGTTAGCCCCGTGGATACATCAGGAAGATCATCGACTCATAACCCTGACGCAAGCTTCGATCATATTCTACAAGGTGTCTCACAGCCTAAGAAGAAGAAGAAATGAAGAAACTGCCTATCATAAGGTTGTGTTTGGTTGTTTTTCCTTCTTAAATCTTCCATTGGTTGCTTTGTTTTTTCTTTTCTCTTTTCCTTGGCTCTTTTTTTCTATACATTGTTGGCGCGTACAATTACATTGTTTTACTGCTACAGCTCAGCACTGGATGAGATGAGATGAGGATGAAAATGGTTTTAATTTTTAATTATGCATGACACACGCGCGCACATATAATACGCTCACTCCCTTTATACACTAACATGGAAGCAAGCAGCTGTTCTTATACTATTCTTCCCTGCCCTTGGGCTTTAGATGTTTCTTTTTTTTCTTATTTGTTCCTTGGCTGTTTCCTTTCATTGCTTCCTGTTTGTTGCATTTCTGTACTTCATCTTCCACCCGGCGTTGCACAAAAAGCAAAACAAAAACTGCCGAATTGGATAAATGATAGACTTACATCATGAATGATATACATACTATGGGAAGTTATGTCAACATGGGTTGTGTTTTTCGGTATGTTCTGTTACTTTGTTCTGTTTTATTCTTGAGAGATATGTTGTTATATCTCGGATCGTCCATAGCTGGCTTATTAACTTGGATAGCTTTGTACTATTTCTACCGTGTCGTTGATCATCGGTCCCTCAGATATTGAAGCTAACAATTCCCACCGAGGTCTAGTTACTCTTCTTCCTGGCTCATTACGGACAAGCGATGAATATCAGCAACACCAACTAGCTAACTATGGGCCAACACGAGCAGCAGTGTTTGCTATTGGCGATCTGAATCCATAGACTATCTGCTGTTCATGGCATGGGCTGCTCCCTTTTGCGGGCCTCGAAACTCATCCGCAGTGATAGTAATCGGCTGTTTCTAAGAAGTCTCAGTCTCCCCAGCCTTCCACTTGACTCCACAATCAACAGCCATCTTGTCGTTGATGCTGTTTTAAATTGCGCCCAATCAACAGCTTCGATTTACAGTTAGCTTCCTATTTAAGCATATGTTACGGGTATGCGGAACTTTGCGCCAGGGCCACTGCAGGATGAACCAGGATTAAGCATCCAACATCTGACTTAACCCATTACAAGTCGCGGGTTGGATGTTGGATACAGGGCTTGACAGCCCAAGCGTCTCGGATGGAATTCCTTTCGAGGCTGTGTCACTATATTGCGCTCGATCCCTTAACTACAATATCAGACACAATGGGCGACCAAAAGTCACGAGATAGTACCATGCTGGAGTGGATGGCTTACTTCCCACCGTTTCAAGTCTATGGGTGCTTTCCCTTTGGACTTCCTTGCAGTTAGAATCCCGCATTAGTTAACATAGGACTCCGTATCTATGGGGCTTGAGACCGGAGTATTTGGCGAAAGTGCAAGCCTTGCAATGGGGCCAAATATGGGCTTTGATATACCAAAATAACGCCTGTAGACGCATTTACGATGTGTCCGCAGCCGTACCCAACATCAAGGTTGGTTGGCCCCTTGCCCAATATACCCGGCTAGGGATTAGAAAGCATACGTTAGCTGAGTGAGGGGCCAGTAAGGAATGCTGAAAGGCAGTGCAGATGCATTGCCCTTCATTGCGACAATATTATGTTTAAAAGGGAGCTCCTATTCCATCTGGAAATGGATACCCAGATATTCAACGCGCCGTTTTTTCCCTTTTGGATAAGAGAAAAAAAGGGCACAAAATACCAATATGAAGATATCTTTTTCCTCGTTGTTGGCGTTTTCTACGCTTCTTTACCATTCCACGTTAGCCACAACCGCGAAATCATCACGAAAAGACGTCTTAGAATCATGGAACTTTGTTCAAGCACGACATTTATCTCCGGCATATCCTCATGGTGGTCTTCGGAAACGGCAGCCTGGCAAGATACTGCGAAATAAAGCAAACCTCGATTTTGTTGATCATTCCACTCATGTTACTGCAAGATCGAATGACCCGGTCCTTTACGCTACTTTAAACATGCGAAGTAACCATCCAGTTCTCTCGATAGAAGATTTGGAGGATGGCCTCGTGGATGTTGCCTGCACTGAGGAAGGGATAAAGCTTACCTTCAGTACTTCACAGTATATGGAGCAGGTTAGCAAAGAGCTTGGAAGCACCGAGGAATTTGTTGCTATCTCATCACACTGGGGATGTAATGCAGAAGAGGAGAGGGCACCGCATATGTAAGTGATAAGCATTACGGTTAAAGTATATATGCTAATGCTAATGCCGGTGTAGGATTACTGGTATTACTGTTAACAAGGACGAGAATAGTGTTCTGCTCTCACGGAAGGATGTTCAATGGAAAGAAGCATTCCGCAGCATCGATGTCTCCTTTTCACACAAGAGTAGCAGCAGTGTCGTCAGACGTAGTCAAAAACCCGTGAATCCGAGCCGGCGTAGAAGTGGCACACCGACACCCGAAGGATCACCAACTCCCACTCGCGACATCGTCTTCCCTGGTGTGCCTTCAAATATGCCGTATCTAAAGGACGGTGGGGGACGAATTAGTGTTAATTATAAAGATAAAAAACTTGTACCTCTCGACTCGGATATAACCAACATTTTGAAATTGTGAGTTTTCAATCCTGTTCCTTCTACGGAAGCAATTGACTGACATTTCGTAAATTAAGGCCTGAAGGGGTGACGCTGTCTTGCAAGGAGTGCAGCATTAATGGAGACGTAGTTCTATCGACGGGCTCATTCTCAATTACTAGCACCGATGATTCCGGCCTGGTCTCTACCCTTGCGTTCATTAGCGAAGGACGAGTCGATATAGAATTAAGCAGAGTCTTTGCTCGGATGGAGCTTGAGCTGGCCTTAGAGGCTGGCAAGGAGCTGCTTAACTTCACTGTGCCAATGCCTTCAGTCCCTCTTAGTCCGTTTACAGTGAGTGTTAGGTGTTAGTTCTTCATATATGCCACTGATTGTCCATACTAACGAATTATAGATCCCCCAAGTGGTTGATTTTGGCGCCATATTGACCCCTCAGGTGTCTGTAGAGGTTGCTCTGAGCAAGCCATTGAACTTCACTTACGGCGTGGACATCTCGGTATGTTATACCTCCCCGCCATGCTCATTCAGACACTTGAGGGATTAACAGCACTTATCATAACTATCAGGTTCCAGAGGACTCCTTCATCTCACTTAACTTTGGATCTCCTGCAAACTCAACTATCAAAGGGCTGTAGGTGATAATTCTTAGAAAGATGCACCAAGAGCTATAGGCTAATAAGCTATTAGTCAACATACTACCTTCACGGAGATCCCCTTCCAGTCCCCCCGGGCTATCACCGATCTAACTTTCTCTGTCAGCTTCTCACCGGAGATCCTCTTCGGCATGCGCTCTCCTACCGGAATCATTAGCGGTGGAGCTGGAGTGGTCTTTAACATGCCCCAGGCGTCGGTGAAAGTCAGTCAGCTCGACGACGTCAACGAAGTCTGTGAAAAGATCCCACATGCTCCGGGGACTGAAGACGATATGACCAAGAAAGGCAGCCTCTCTGGCAATTTCACGCATGTTGAGCCATCTCTCGAGTTCAACGTCGTCCCTTTTATTGAAATGCAGCTTGACCTACCTCGCGGCGAGGTTCGTCAGCAGCTTGAGGCCACTGTCACTTCTACACAGTTGAGTCTGCCCACTGCTTGTTTGGCCTTTGACCGGAAGATGGGCACATACGGTGTTCCAACCCAGGTTTTGGCAACCTCAACTGCCGATCCAACTGCCACAGCTTCAGAGGCAAAGAAGGGGGCTGCTGGCCGAACCGGTGTTGCGAATACATGGTCAGTGGTGTGCATCTCTGTCCTTGTATCAGCGGTATTTATTGCTATTTAGCTATTAAGTGACGGTGTCTTATCCCTTGCATTTGGATGTTGATGTTCCGTATTTATAACTACCATGTATATAGTTCGTTGCCTCTCTAATAATGACAATGCTTCGCTTAGCTAATAATTAATTAATTACATCTCTCGTATCTGTGCATCGCCAAACCCATGCTTGCTGCATCCATCCTGACACCCTTCCCCTGTCATCAAACAGGCAATCCAGCACTCGTCTCAGGGGCAAACATCGCCCCTCGCCCCTTTCGTCTGATATCTGACCCCTTGCCTTTTGCAGTGGCCACAACTAGTGAAAGACCGCCGCCCCTTCATCAAGATCGGCCTTGTGGTCTAGTGGTATGATTCTCGCTTTGGGTCACCAAAGTTGCGAGAGGCCCCGCGTTCGAGTCGCGGCAGGGCCCCTTTTTTGCTCTTTTTGCGGCGACCTTATAATCGTCTGATCCTATCCTTTTGATCTACTGATGTTACTGCAATTTTTTTTGGTGCGAAAATACCTGGAAAGAACTGCGAGTCGGCGGTGATGGAGAGCAGGAGAAAGTGCTGGCCACTGACTCATAACTAACCGAAACGCCAACGGGACAACGCAACAACTTCACTTCTCGCAGGTGATGGTTAGAGTCATCGACAGGATCAAAAGAAACAACTATGACTTGGTTTTACGAGGATCAGAGTTCGCCTCTAGGCTGGTTCTGAGTCGAAAGGGCAAGAATCAGCACTCTCAAAGGGCATCCTGGCGTGGCGTGAGCTGCGTCGTCCTGTCTGTGGCCCTTGTGCATCAACTAATACTTACAGGCGGCTGAAGGGAGGAACTGCGGTCTCTGACTCAGTGGCGGAGGTATCAGGGCTGAGGTTGAAGGACCTAACAGACGAGCATATCACTATTTAATATAGTGAAGATCTGGCGGGTCTATTATGATCGATCAGATACACTCATTTGTCCCCTTATCACCACGGCTGTCAGATACTACATTGACAGTATTACCTCATGGCTGACCAGGAAGAACTTCCCAAAACGAGGAACTTGTCTCTTCTATCTTTTCAGACAGCTCTTTGCATTGTCCCGCCGCGACGCCTATGGAAGGATATCGACCGCCTTAGGTCTCTATATGACCAGGCTTATGGGAGATGGCCCCCGCATATCAACCTTATTTATCCCTTTGTACCAACAGATAGGCTGCTAGATGTCTCTAGATTGATACAGGAGAAGCTGAACTCTCTAAGTCGATCACCTGAGCACCAGAATATCAGCATACAATCCGGACCGGCAGGCTACTTTCGCAACCGTGGAGGCAATACGGTCCACCTCACTTTGAACGACAGGGCAGCGGACCAACTTCGTCATCTCAGGGCCTCTATTCTAGATGCACTCGGTCACCATGGTAAAGAAGAGCGAGATTACTGTCCACACCTCACCATCGGCCAGACAAAGGCAGATGTGGACTTGCGTGACTTTTTACTTGACAAAGCCAACATGCTCCCGGCTGCTCAATGGGATCTTGACCACCTAGTGATTCTGCATCGTGAAAAGGGTTTTGGCGGAAGTTCAGTGAGCAAGATGGTCATTTGGGATGCCATCGACCTATCCGGCAATAATATGTCAACTTCTGAGGAGCTTACCCGGTTATACAGCGGAATGTCTCTTCATGGCCTGGATGCAGAAGTCAATGAACCAAGATCATCTACTGAACAAATGACGACGTACGAGTATTCACCTGGTGACCATTCATGGTGTCCTATAACGGAGCCACTTCTGGAGCCGGTTAATGTGCGGAGTAATAACTTTACCGTCTCAACATACAATGTTTTGGCAGAGTTTACCAGTTCCCCTCCTCGCGACAGATATGAGGCCCTGGCCCACAATATTCTCTCCTCAAACGCACTGGCGGATGTTCTGGTCCTCCAGGAAATTTGTGACAATTTCCTTCTCTTTCTGCTTTCTCATAAAGACATCCAACGTCGATACCCATTTGTGTCTCATGGTCCGCCGGGTCAGGGAGGCTCTCCACCTCTTCCCAGTCTTCGGAATATCGTTGTTTTCTCGCAGTGGAGGTTTACGTGGGCATGGCTGCCATTTGATGAACGCCACAAGGGTGCAGCTGTCGTGAAAATCGATGGAATTGGGGATTTAAAGTTCTCTCTACCTGTGGTGGTTGCTGCTGTTCATCTAACTTCAGGGTTGAATGATGCTGCAGTTGACAGTAAACTGTCACAGATAAACAGCATCATTCATTTATTGGATGATGACTATCACAGTAACCCTAGTGTCATTGCAGGCGATTTCAACTTCGCCACTTCACAAGAGGTTATTGATGAAGCTCTCAGACTCAAAATGATTTCCCCTGTTGGGCTCGAGAAGATACTAGGGTTCGATTGCTTGCTATCCAAGGCCCATTTCATGGACGGATGGGTTGTAGCCGGCGAAGAACCTGAAGGCGCTGGCATTCATAGCAGGATCGGTGAAGGTGAACAGGGAGCGACCTTTGACCCCATTTTGAACCCACTTGCAGCTCAAAATTCGGTCAATGGCAGGCCCCAAAGATATGATAGAATTTTTGTTCGCCAAACCGGTAAAACCAGTGTTACTGACTTCAACTTCTTTGGCCTACGCCATGCTCTTAAAGGAGAGAATCAGCAATCATCCGAGTTTGCGAGTGATCATTGGGGGATTAGGGCCGGGGCTCAAATAGGTGATAGCTTGATAGAGAGCAAAGCCAGTGAATTGGTCTCCCAGGAAACTCTGCCGCAATTGGCTAGTGTACCGGATACGCTGTCTTCTTTAGACGAAATAGTATCGTCTTTGGAGGATTCCTCAATTCTACCTGGCGAAGAAGATTTTAAGAGTCGAAAAACAGTTGTTGCTACCCTTTCTCAAATACTAACGGAACCCATCCATGATTCCAGTGGTAGAGATATCAAGACGCCACTCGTTTTGATTCCTGTTGGCTCCTATGGCCTGGGCACTTGGGGTCCACGTTCTGATGTTGACTGCTTGTGTATTGGTGCCATTAGTTCTACCACGTTCTTTGCCCTTGCAATACAGAGGCTAAGAAGAGCATCTGCCCTGGGAATTCGTATAGTGAGAAAGGTCAAGGCTGCAACAGGAATAATGCTGGAGTTGCAATCGGGGCATATCAAACTCGATCTACAATACTGCCCGGCCGCAAATATTGCCGAAAGGTAAATATTTAACCCACATTCTTATATTCCACCAATCCTTTGAACTTGTCGCTGATGTATGTTGTATATAGATGGCAGGAAGTCTCTAGGATCCCATCTCACGATCCAATATTCGACTTGTCACTTCATTCCTTGTCAAAACTTCAGCCGTACAGAGACCAGGAGTATATCAAGCGGATGGTACCAGATATGTACGTGTTCCGCCTTGCTCATCGGTGCATTACCCAGTGGGCAAAATCATCGGGGGTTTATTCTTCCAAATTTGGCTTATTAGGGGGTATTCATATCACCATGATGCTTTGCCGGCTTCACCAGCTTATTCACGAAAAATTCGGCCGGGTCACGGTTCCGGAGCTGGTTGCCATGTTCTTTCATCATTATGCTCATTTTGACTGGAAGAACAACATGGTAGTCAGCCCAGGTGTTCAGACTAGATATCGTCGGTCTTTAAGAGAACCAATGGTGATACTGACGGTTCATGCACCTACGATTAATGTCGCTCGAGCTGTGACTACACCGTCTCTACGAACGATTGTTTCTGCATTTAAACGGGCAGAAGAGCTTATGGGTGAAGATGGAGCAAAGTGGTCCAATATCCTCAATGATATCAGCATCAGTCACAATAACCAAACAGGCGCTGAAAAATTCCTGGCAGCTTACAAGAGCTACATCAAGGTCAATGTGCAGTATTGGGGCCCGTCTCCGACTCAAGCGAGTTCCCTCATCGGCTGGCTTGAGTCCAGGTTCTTCCGTCTGCTCAACGGTAAGCTAGACCTTGCTAGCAAACTATGGGTTATATTCTAGTACTAAAACTATACAGATCTCGACAGACAAGTTCTGGGTATCCATGGGCGTATTTGGCCTGCTCGGTTCACATCAATAGACGCCCCTGATAGCGAGAACGATGGAGAGACTGAATACCAAGGCTGCTACTTAGTCGGACTGGAACGAATGTCAGATGCCGTGAATACGGCAGCTAATAAAGAGGAAACCATTCGAACACTACATACCGCTATCAACCAGTTCACAGCCAGCTTACACGAGGAGGACAGATATTTTGACTCCAGTGTCTGCTGGATTGATGCCATTCTTGTCAAACAAGCCGAGCTAGGTGAACTCAAACTTGACTCAAGAAACTGGGGAGGACAGGCAGGGCTGGATCACATGGTATCCGATTTCTCAGAGGATGATGATGAAGGCGACGATCCTGACGACGAGCAAGAGGTGAAAAATGCATTACAGGAGGAGGGCCATCTTGGCGGCAGGTCGAAACCGCACTTGAAGAATGCACTTTTATCATCCAATCCAGTTAGCGCCAACAAACTCCGGCCAGCAGCAGATGTCATTAGCCGTCTGCGGTGGGATCCCAAGATCGATTTTGGAGATTATCTAGTAGGCTACGAGGACCGCTTTTTGGGCGTGAAAGAAATGCCTCTTTCAAGATGGAAGTCTGAGCAGACAGATGAAGAGTTCATTCCCCAGCACCGAATCGTCTATTTCAAGAGGAAGAGTGACGGAAGACGAGTCTGGGATAGGGAAACAAGGAAAGACGAGATTTTTGGGAGCGGAGCTGGTGGATATGACTAAGAGTTCCAGTTATGCATAGCTGGGTATACCAGTAGGCACATTGCAAATGTGAAAGTATATCCAGTGTTACGTTTGGCACCAGTGTTGCGGCCAATATTATGAAGAAAAATTGCTAACCTTGTGTGAGAAATTCCGCATATCTTTGATCTGTCTTGCCTTTCTATTATTCTTTTCTCACCACCTACTTCCTTGCATTGAGCTACATGATACTTCGCGAATGAAACATTTCGGCTGATAACTGTACCGTATACATCAGGGCGGCTCCTCACATGGCTATTTACACACTCCTGTGTTCCCGGCGGTCAAACAAGGCCCGGATGACACAGTCTTATATATCAATGCCTCTCAGTATCTATAAAACCACCGGTCAATTTACCTATATACTCCATTTGATACTGAGATTTGAGATGCATTGACGAGGCTTGTGACTTGCCCACGATTTCCAGCCCAACTCTCCTACTATGTGTAACCATGCTCTTACAGCAGTGATAGGATCTATATATGCGGCCTGAAACTCGACAGGCGAGGGACTCCATCACCATAAAGACGGTTTGGTAGGAGTGTGTCCAGAGTGTCGAAGATAGGTAACATCCCCCTCCTGTGTGCCGTTTCAAACAGCGGCATTAATTAACCGGTTGGTTAACTGTTACGGGGGTAAGAAAGTGTTGCGAACACGGGGCATCCGTGGATTGGAATGTTGAAAACATTTCATTTGATAACTAAGATACACTAGCTGATACCGAAATGAATTAACTAACTAGTTATTAGTTGCAACAAAAGGATCGGATAAAACGCAATATAAACAATCTACCCCGTGCTAAACGATACAACCCCCCTTCCACCCTGCTACACTTGACATCTCCATCGATCCAGGGCATCATTCCTCTCATGCAACCGATCCTACACTTTGGCATTAGTGACCTTGTTGAAGATAGCAGCATACTTTTCTCCTCCATCACGATACCCGTTAACCACAGTCGGCTTGTATCCCTTCTTCCTCCAATTGTTAAATACCTTCACGTATTCGTCTGAAGTCAATCCCCATTGACACTCCGGCTTAACAGCATTGTTATCCATGTGCTCAAAAATTCCAGCAAACCGGACCTCCTTGCCGAAATTGTATGGGCTGATTTTCACTGGGTAGTATCCGTCTTTTCTCGCCTGGTCGAATTTGGTCTTGTACTCGGCGGCTGTCAAGCCAATGTACACTCTCTGGGGAGCTCCGGACGCCTTCTCCCACACGCTAGCAAATTGCTGCAGCCGATCACCGAAGCCATACCCGCTCAAACTTTTGAGTCTGTAGCCATTTCTAGTGTAGTCTTTTAATGCTGTGGTGAACTCATCGCTGGATTGATTGATATGATCCGCCCATGGGATATCCCTGTTGTTGGCGTTCCAGAGCATTAAAAAGCTGTTTATGGTGGTACCGGTATGGGCATCAGTCTGGATAAGCCGGAACCCCAGATCTCTTCTGTACTTGACTATCCCCCTATAATCATCGGCCGTTTGTTCATAGTATGTATGCCATGATGGACTCTTTTCGGGATTCTCCATGATCAAATTATATGAAATGTTGCCGTGAGAGTTGGTGAAAGCGGACATATAGGTGACAACCCAGTCGCGGTCATTGTAGGCATCGACTTTGTTGTGAAAAGTTTGGCGGTCGAGGCCGTGGAAAGATGCCCACTCCCCCCATCCTTCAACAGCAGGGAGAAGGGTGGCTACAGAAGCCAACAGAGCTATGGCGGAGATCTTCATGGTCTTGAATAGGAGATGGTGCTTTTCGAAATGAGGACTGGATGAATAGAGAGGGTCAGATGAGTGGTGTGTGTGTGTGCGTGTGTGTTCTCTTGACTACGAAGGAAATATCATCATCTTTATATAGGCCGATTATATCTATCAACCTGGGGGTAAACCGCTCAAAAGCCTCTCGGGATGACGAGCAGTAAACCCCTCGAGATCTTCATGTTAGTATCTTCATGTTGGAAGGCTATAAACCCCTCATGGGTTCTTTAGAACTTTCCTTCCCACCATCAACCCAATCCAACGCATTGTCTCGACCATGATATCGAGGCGCAGGATAGTCACAGCCTGGGGAGGTATGGCATAGTAAGGATGATGGATGTTATGCAGCATTCGCATTGGATGTTCACCCTGGCCTTCAGTTACCCCAGGAAATACATATCTGTCTGGAACAGTTGGTTTGCCAATTCCCACTTGAGGCTATGGTGGGCTGGTAAATGCTCGCAAGTTGATAATCCAACAATTGGTTAACCAATTGATACCAACGATTAACACCAACAATTGATACCAACCACCAACAATTGACATCATCAATTAACGCTATCAACACCAACGATCGACATCAACAATCCAATAATTAACACCAAGAGCAAATTAATACTAAAAATCGACTCTAACTAGCGGATTGGGTTGGTAACTAAGTATAGATATCGTGACAACAAGGTGGCTGTCTCTTCCGAACTATACCGGATATCTTCGGGAACCGAACCCGCAATTTAGGCTATGTAAGCGGTTGAGGTGTAACGTATACTATCTTGTAGATAGTTGCTATAAAAGAACTCCTGTTAGTGGGGGGCTGTGTGGTCGAGCGAGGGAGATGATACGGCTGCATAAGGAAGTTGTCAATTAGAATCTGATGGTGGGGGCCGGCCATCTGAGACAGTAGGGGTAGAGGTTTAAGTCCTCCGCTCAAATTACTCCTGTGACGGTCATTCAATTCAATTGGTACGGATGAATGAAGATACCAAAGCTGGAAGAGAGAGAGGAAGAAGAAGAACGCCAAAGGGGGCTTGACAAGGTAAACAGTTAACTATAGGTGAGAATGTCGTAACCCATGGCTATCCTCATACAGGATACATAGACTTGAACATGGCAGCCTCTGCCTGTTCTCATATCAATTAGCTAGTTATACAGAGAGGAATATCCATTGTAACCAACTGCGTTCCTTGTACTTCCTGATATAGTATCGTGTAATTAAAACTACTAGTTAAGTAACTAGTTATAGAAGGTGCTCCTAACCAATGAAGCTAACTACATCTTTAGCACATCAGGCGGGGCAGTGACAATTAGGTAGCAACAGTGGCGCAGGTAGATATTCAGGCCTGCAGGCGGTACGTCAGCTGAAGAGTGACATACATATACAAGGCGGTGTGTAACTAGCCATGTCCTTTTCACTCTGTACTCCAGTTCATAAGTCAGTCAATCTACCATATCACTCCGTACTCGACCACTGCTTGAATTCCAATTCCTACTTCCATATAAAATGGCCATCGAGACGACCAGTTTCTACAGTTCGCCCTACCTGGCAGAACTTTACGAGCTCCAGTGGGCGGGGCCAAATATGACGGACGTCGAACTGTACGCAAAGGCGTTCATGGATGCGGTCACTAAGAACAGGACAAATCATCCGGTTACCTTTCTTGAACTCGGTACTGGCTCTGGACGTGTCATTCTCGGGGTCTTGAAACGAATGGCAGAGGCATCATATGACACGAGCAATATAAAAATGATCGGCCTAGATAACTCGCAAAACATGCTGGATATGGCTGCCAAAATGGAGACCAAAACCAAGGGGATTTCTCCTCCTGTCACCTGGACGCTGGGAGACGCGCTGGAACTCGATCAGTTACCAATTTTCTTACCCCGAGCAGACGAGCATACCACTGTCGACTTCCTAACCTTCCCACTCAGCAGTATCGTACACATGGTTGAGGATGGGCAGTTGGAACGGTTGTTGCAACAGATCGGCAAAGTTCTCACTCCCGGAACTGGCAGAGCCTACATCTCTCTTTTCAACTGGTTCCTGATCCGACCCGACGACGACCTTCAAGCCCGGAAGGACGACGAGGTATTACCACCACCGACAGGCTTCCCAAGTGCAGAGTTCCCCAGTATCCAGTATCACAGCGAAATGAAGAAGAGCAAATACCAAGGGGACCTTGTGATTTACCGCCAGGAAGTACAAGTCTTTGAGCAGCAAGATAACTGCGAGAAGAAGGAGATTGAGCGCTACTATGTGACACAGACTCTCAGGTGGTTTTCTGAGAATGCACTCCTTGCGGCCGTTGAGGCGGCAGGCTTGCAGGTTGTGGAGCGAAGAATGGAAAACACTGGCATTCATGATGAGGAAAGCACCGATTTCGTGGAAAACATATTCATCCTGAAGAGGTGTGATTGTTAATATTCTGATGCTATTACCACTCAATTGCAAGTCAAAACGCAGGTATTGAGTATCTTCAGTGCGTATATATCTCATACAAATACTGTGAACAAAGATATCTGCCGAAAATATGCACGCTGTTGTGATGGGCCGACAGGGAAACATCGAATTTGGAAGCAAGTTGTTTGTTCTTCGTTTAAAGTTCGAAATCACGGGAAGTGGGTCGGGCTTAAGCTTAAATCGAAGATGATAATTGGCTGTAGTTTTCGCTGATGGCTCGTCAATGTAAACTTCCCATTGGCCAACTTCTTGTCGGCTGCATCCCGCTAAGCATCGTTATTTTAAGCAACCAACAACTCGCTCGCTTTTTGATGCTCAGCACCAACGTATATTCGTTAATGTCTGCTGTTTCTATTAATATGACCTGGCCTGTGGCCATTGGGTGGACAGGCCCGATAAGAATTCTCACGCGCTAAAGTGCGGTCGGACAGCAATCAGTCCGCCATATTCAAGGAAGAACAACACAGAACTACCCATGAATATGGCCTCGAGAAGGCTAAACTATGAGCTGGCACAATGATTATAATCAAGGGGCACATACCGCCCTGTAGGTGGTCGGTTTCAATGGGAGGCTGCGTTTCGTATGGTGACTGGCGATTTATATAAGAGCGCAAGTCGACCCTTGCAAGCATCAGCGAGACAGAATCCCTGTCATCGCGAATCAGCGAATAGCCCCCGGCTCACCAAGTAACCGACGCCCCCAGGACCGTCGTAGAAAACCTTCTCGGAGAACAGCGGGTCGTCCTGGTTCCGATTCATATCTCACAGCGCCAGAGAATGAACTACCTCGTTTAATCTGCTTCTTCTCCATCACCGTGACATTTCAGCTAGTTACGGGCTGTGAACACTAGGAGCGACGATTAACATCCGACAAGAATCATGAATCAACCCACAGAGCTTAAGCCGCAGCGGCTCGAGATGAAAGTCCTAGCACTGGGCTTGCCGCGATCCGGCACTCTTTCAATGGCGAATGCACTCTCTATCCTAGGGTACCAGAACGTTCACCATACATTAACGGACAAAGACGGAGGTGAAGCGGCATGGCGGATATTCAATCGCGCCGCTGACGCAACTTTTCCAGACCTTCCAACATACCACGGGCGGGCCTTCAGCCGGGAGCAATGGGATGAAGTGTATGGCGGCCGTGAAGCAGTCACCGAGGCTGCCGCCTTGTTTGGACCCCAGCTTATCAAGGTGTACCCAAGTGCCAAAGTCATCTTGGTTAAGAGGGACTTTGATCGGTGGTACAATAGTCTGGATAGAGTGGTGTTGCAAGGACTCTGGAGCCCGATGGCCGCTGTCTTCTGTGCGGTCATACAGCCGATCTTAGGTAACTCAAGTGTTTCGGCAATGAGGAAGGCCTTGCTTGGCTTCTTTCAAGCGAGAGACGTCGAGGGTATTCGGAAGAATGTGCGTGTTGTTTACGATAGGTACTACAGGGAGATTGAAGACCTTGTACCGCCGGGACAACTTCTTCATTACCGGATGGGCCAGGGCTGGGAGCCACTATGCGAATTCCTTGGAAAGCCAGTGCCGGATGCGGAGTTTCCGTGGGCCAACGAAGAGGCTGAACTCATGAAAAAACGTGAAACAATGCTTCGGGGTCATTTCATGGCTGTTGGTGGTATACTTGGCCGCTGGGCTTTTGGAGTAGGGACCTTAGGATTTGCTCTTTGGATATGGGCAAGGAAGACAGGAATCTTGACCTGGTAATATGTGAGATATAATGTGATACTTTAAGGTATCAAAATATATATAGTCAAACAACATTAATGGCATGTTAGTACTTAGCTGTTGGAAGCTTTCTTCAAGCATATCTTTAATAGCCACGTATCATAATCTGAGTGGAACTGAATTGAATAGATATGCAATAGCCTAGTTACTTTATCATCATGTTTCAAGACCGAATAATTTCTATCAATCGGTCAACCCATATCATCGTAGAAGAAGAAAACCTGAACGCCGTCACCGGGAGAGTTTCCTATCTATCCAAACGTTACCGTTCTCCTAACACCAAGACAAACATGACGACATAGTAAGACATATCGCTCTCAGCCAATAATCAGGATGTTTATAGCTCCTTTTTCAAGAAATGTTCCGGTTTATGCGTAGTCTCATAGTCAACGTGGACGTAAGCTCGTTCGACATCCGGAAGACTCTCCAACTTTGTCTGAAGTTCCTCCGCCACATCATGTGTGGCCTCCAAAGACTCGTTTCTGTCCATGACAATGTCGACCTCTACGAGTAAGCGAGGCCCTGAGGTGTATGCACGTACAGTGTCGATAGCGGTTATCAAAGGAGAATGAGTCATGGCTATGGTAGAGTTAGCCCCTGAATATGTACAATAATGCGGGTGAATAATGGCACTTACAGATATAAGTGATGAGTTGTTGCATCTCGGTATCAGCGGTGACTCCGATTAGAAGCTGAAACTCGGAGTAGGCGGTTTTAGTCCACAAGCCTGAAATAAGAACGGACAACAACAAAGCACCGGCGGGATCAATCCACCAGCGAAGCTTGCTTCCGCCCACTGAAGTCAAAATACCCAATCCGTTGATGAAAAGGTCATTCCTGTGATCTTCCCAAAGGATTCTAACCTGGGAATACTGGTTGCGGATTGCCCAGCAGTAAAAGAAGAGAGTCAATTTTGTAGCAAAAGCGATACACACGGATATGGTGGCCGTAAGGTGAAACTGATTTGTATCGGAAGTGCTGCCGCCAACAAGATCTTTGATCGAGAAGGCAATAAGGATAAAGGAGACCGCAGTCATGAGGAAGCAGAAGAAAATATTCCCCGCCGTTTCGATTCGGGCTTTCCCAGCTGGGAATTGGCGGGCATCAACTCGTTTGACGGCCTTGTGACAGAGAAGTAAAGTCAGGTTCGACAAGGGGTCAAATATGGCGTCTGCCATCGTGGTAAACAGTGACAGGGATCCTGAGGATATGGCAGCATAAACCTGCAGAATGGAAAGGATCACGTTGGCGGCAAAGCTACCGTAGACAGCGATTTTGTACTTGAGTTGGTTCTGCTCATTCAACTCCTTCGCATGTCTGATATGCTCGTCAACCGGTTTCAAAAGACGCTCAATCTTCTCATTCTGCGATCGATAGAATGATTGTATCCTCCTCCTGTCCGCGTTGGTTCGTCCTTTCTGCTCACTTGAAAGACACTTCCGTCGCCTAGTGGTGTTTGCTTGGATCTGGTCGATCTCTGCGTTCGACTTTATCTTGGATGAGAGCTGGAAGGGGTCATTCTCACGGGTGTAGCGAGGAGGGCGTTGACCTTCCTCGTCAGACCCTTCCATTGCATATGGGATATGTGGCACTGGCAGTGGTTGCTCAGCTATCTCGATGGCCTCGATGCCTGTGCTCATGCCTGAAGGGGGTGTTCTGGGGAGATGATGTTGATAAGTCTCGGATCGGCCATGGAGGGCATAGAGGCTCGGAGTTAATGGATGAGGAGGAGACCGAGTGCCGTCCGCCATGGTTTGTTTGCTTTTTATTGTTGTGCAAGCTAGATTGGGCGTGATTAAAATGGATGCGAGTGCTGGGTATCTCGCGCGACGTGACAGGTCCAGCCGTTTCCCTTGTCCGCGAGTCAGGATTCGTGTGCTGCGCTCGTTTGTCTGTCCTTCAAACGGTGGTGTACGGAGGGTGGGGATACGTATTCTGCATGCGGTGAAGAAAACGCAAGGGAGACTGTAAGTATCCGGATCATCCGTTGGGGAAACGCAGCAGTCAAAGAAAAGAAAAACGAGATCCTTTATAAAGCCCCGATGGAGCTGTCCAAGCTGTGGCTATGCAGGTCCTTTTTTCGCTTTGCGCAACAATAAAACGACAGGGATTTCGAAGCTGGCTTGTGTATCGGGACCACCGAATCAGGCTTAGCGTTGATCTTGGCTTTGCACATGATTGATTGATAAGAGATAAGCTTAACCTTGTAAACTCTGATAAGACGTCCAAAATTACGTAAGGAAAGTCTTTCTTTTGACGGAGCATTTAGTTAGTCGGTTCTATTTATATCACAAGGAGGAAGACAGGGAAATATATATACTTATTATTATCATTCGAATAAATGTTATGTGTGGAAGACGAGAGAAAGCACGGTTGTAGCACGTGACTCACCGCGGGATAGCGGGATGACCCTGGCTGGGTCCGTGCGAATAATACAGCAAGTTTTTACTCTTAATTCGTGTTCGCTAACTAGTTAGGTGACGTTTGATTCTCCACTTTGATCACCAGCAGTATGGAGTAAGAAGTTGCCGATGACGAAGCTCTCGCTGAATTTCTCTAGCCAGTGGAATGAGTACAAAAATTGGAGGTATTCCATTAATATTTAGAGCAACCTGAGCTTCTTCTGAAAGGAATGCAAATCAGCGTAAGCACCAATTCTAATAACTGACAACCTCCCTCCTAAAGTCCATTGGAGCCTTTGGCCTGTGGGTGAATATTTCATCGCGCAGCTTAAGCAACCCCGCCCTACTATTCGGCCTTGTATCATGGAATGGCGACAGACTATGATTCTGCGGGCTAGAAGCTCATCTTCATGGAGAATAGTGAATATAGAACATATACTCCGTAGATCCAAGGACGCCGGCAATTATGAACTATCAACGGTACTGGCGATCCGGACGTCCTGGACTAGTTCTAGAGGGTCCAGATGTTCAAGTGAACTTTCGGCTCCGCGCTTTAATGAAAAATAATTTGGCCAATTTTAGTGATTTAACTTGCTAAGTTCGTGAGTAGTTATAGAACTTCACGATAAATCGGTACCTCGGCGCTTCTCGGTAATACCTTAAAGCTTATCCACTAGTTCACCCACTCTCTGGGGTATCAAGGCACAGCACATCCAAAGTTCGTAGCCCGACAGTGAAATATACAAGCCCTTAAAGAGGAAGAAAACGATAAAAGAAGTCTGAAAGAAGAGATATATTTTAACTGTGTGTAGAAGCCAGTTAATCATGCCCGAGCCCGCGTATAAGGAGATTGCCCGCCGGAAGCAGGCACAGCTCGAGTCAAAGATACCGCAAAGCTGGCGTCTGCCTGCCCAATGGATACCCGCTGGCGCTCTGTCAGCCGAAGAATCGATCACAAACACTCGTTCTTATGATCAGTCGGATATTACTGATATTCCAAGGCGGTGTGGCCTGCTCACGGCGAGAGAACTCGAAATCACGGAGGCATGGAATGTCAAGGGACTGCTTGCAGAGATAGCCAACGGGAAACTATCCTGTAAGGATGTTTGTCAAGCCTTTTGTAAGGTACGGTCATGACCTCTTTATATCTATATCGAGGGAAACTAACGTGAATATAGCGTGCTGCTATTGCCCACCAGCTTACTCGCTGTCTTACAGAGCCGCTATTTGATGACGCTATGAAACGTGCAGAGAAACTAGATGACCATTTCAAACGTACTGGAACAACATACGGTCCACTACACGGCTTACCAATATCCGTCAAAGACACTTTTGATATCGAAGGAGTCGATTCTACCACTGGAATAGCGGGCCTTGCATTTAAACCAGCAAAACAGAACGCTCCTTTGGTGGACCTACTCTACTCCCTTGGAGCAGTCATCGTGGGGAAGACGAATGTTCCACAGACTCTGGGCGCCCTGGATAGTGTCAACAATCTCTTTGGCCGAACCCTGAATCCATTGAATCGGAAGCTGACCGCTGGAGGTAGCTCTGGTGGAGAGGCTGTTATGGTCTTAATGCGAGGCTCTATGGTTGGCATTGGAACTGACGTTGGTGGCAGCATTCGCGTCCCGGCTATGTGCGAGGGGCTCTATGGTTTCAAACCCAGTGTTGGCCGTGTTCCGTATGGCGGGCAGGAGTCTTGTGCTTTCCCTGGGCGTAGCAGAACAAGTATCCAAGCTGTTGCGGGGCCCCTTGCCAAGTCTATGGATGATATTGATGCTGTGATGAAAGAAATAGTCCCTCGGTCAGCACTTTGGGGGGAAGACTGTATTCCGGGCCAGTGGGCACCGCAAAACCCGGGAAAGTCATCTAAGTTTACTGTTGGAATACTACGATCTGATGGCCGAATTCCCCCTCTACCTCCTATCGCGAAGGTTTTAGAAGAGGTTGCTCAAACTCTTCGAAACACTAACGGAGTAGAGGTTGTCGATATACCCGTCCCACCTGAACTAGGGGAATGCCAGGCTGTAGCAAATGCTTTAATGGGTGTGGATGGTGGCCAGCATATGATGAACCTGCTGGAGAGCAGCTCAGAAGAACTCATCCCATGGTTAAAGGGCCGATTTAAACGAGGAACTCCAAAGACTATTGATGAACTTGCAAAGATCCAAGCCAAACGTTCTCATATTGAAAGGCAGCTCATGAAGATGTGGACTGTCCCTGGAACCAACAAGTCTCGGCGTGTTGATGCTATAATCCACCCCGTTGCCCCCCACCCTGTGCCAGAGATTGACCGCTATAATGCAGTTGGATATACTTCGTCTTTCGTCCTTGTCGATTATCCTGCTGGTAATCTTCCTGTTCGCAAATTTACTGAACAAGACCTGGAGGCTGGCAGGGAGATGGACTCTAAGGTTCTGTCTAGCTGGGATAAGAGAAACAGAGAACTATGTACGTGCTCCGCTCTCTCGCAGGCTAAATTTTTCTAACCCATGCTTGATTAGGGAATTCATCTACCGTTGATCGCCGAATCTACCTCAAATCCCCCCTCTCAATTCAAGTTCTTACTCCAAGACTACATGATTATGAGCTCTACCACGCAATGAACGTCATTGATAAAGCTTTAAAGGACGGAAAGGGTGTTTCGTCACAACTATAACTGGGAGACGGTTGTTTTTGTAGAGTCATCTTGAGCTGTTTGATGAGCACGCCATAGTCTGAACAAGTAGTCCTTTGATGCTTGCTTTATATATGCTGAACTTGGGAACTCTCTTAGTATTAATAAAGAGTATTTACACTTTTGCCTTGAGCACAGACCCTCCATCTGTGGTAATAACTGCACCGTTGATATGCCTCGCACCTCTACCAGCCAAGAATACAACGAGCGCGGCGATATCCTCAGGCTCTCCCAACTTGCCATTTGGCGTTTGTGCAGCCATTGCCTCGACACCTCCCTGCATTTCTATGAGCCCATTTGCCATCTTAGACGGATAAAATCCGGGTGCAATAGCGTTAGTAAGTATATGCCTCGGTCCAAGAGCGACAGCAAGGTTCTTTGCCAGGTGTATGGCAGCGGCTTTAGATGTAGAATAGCTAAAAGTGGCATTGTCACCCATGGTACCTACACCAATTCCAGCAACGGATGCGGTGATGATCACACGAGAAGTCGATTCGATGGATGCTGACTTTTCCAGCATTGGCGCAAATCTGTTGTCACAACTTAGTTAGTTTCCTGTTTTTCTGTTCATTTACTCTTCCCTTGTGTTATGTATACGCACTTTTGCACTGTGTAAAAGACACTCTTAACATTCAGATCCATTACCTTCTGGAAGGCGTGTTCAGGGTGTGTATCGAACTTTTCACCCCAGGTAGCTCCGGCATTGGCAAAGAGGATGTCAACATGGTCTGTTGTCTTGCTGACCTCTGCCACTAGACGCTCAATTTCGGATATCTTGGAGCTGTCTGCTGGCACAGAGTATGCCCGAGCACCAGGCCGTTTGTTAGGCAGCGCATTAAGGGCAGCAACAGCTTCGTCACAGGCTTTCGCTTTTCTGGAAGTAATGTACACCTTTGAACAACCAGCTTGTAGAAGACTGGCGTTAAGCATCACGTTAGCAAGGAGGCAGAGGCAGCAGCAGTATTCTTCCATCGATATAAGCTTACCCGCTAGCTGCATACAGGCCCAGACCTCTTGAACCACCAGTAACAACGGCCACTTTCCCTTCGAGAGAGAAGATGTTTCCAAAATCCTTTAGTTTCACTTGTGCTTCGGCGGCCATATTGCTCAATGTAACACTTGTATATCAAAGGAGGCTCCGTTGTTCAGTAGCAAGGGCAATTTGGTTCTCGGTGATGTATACAGGCCTGAACGTGAGTTAGCAGTGAACAAGCGTAATCTCATCGGTAGGAGAAGTACTAACGGCAACGACTATATAGTTATCTGCTTCTTATCACATCTTGAAACGCAGCCAAATGGCTCGCCGTCGTTTGCACTTCCAAGGTCGAGGCTTTTTGATGAGCCGACAAAATGCCGAGGTTGAAATTGATGCCAAGACAAACAACTAGAGGGGCTAGCGTATGATGACTAATCCATGGATATACTAATATCACTTTTCACCCCCTTTTTGCTTGATTTTTCCTATTTATTCGAATTTCGTGAATTGAAAATGAAGATATTTATTTGAGAGAGATGCCGGAATATTATTGGTGTCGCTATCACAAAGCACGCAGACTGTATAATCACGCGCAATTTACGCTTACTATAAACCTAAGCAGCCGAAAGTTTTTCAACGAACCCCTGGCCCCAATGGGTGCTAGTTGCGATACCCAGTTAGAAGAACATGCCCCTGAACGGCTGGGAGAAGAACCTGTGCCAATATAACTTACCTGGTATGAGTTTTTATGAATTCAAGGAGCCGCGCGTGCTCCTTTTTTCGCTGGTCTGTGTCCATTTCTACCGCATCGTAGATCACTCTGGCAATCTCGCTGGAGTTGAACGGGTTGAATTTGACTCCCCCTTCCAAATATGAGGACACGCCAGCAAATTCGGAGACGGCCAGTACACCATTTCTTTCTTTCTGGCAGGCAATGTACTCGAGGGCCACAAGGTTCATGCCATCTCTTGTGGATGAGAGCAAACATATGTCGGATGCTGCGTATAGGGCAGCCAACTCTTCAAAAGGAATTGACTGGTGAATAAAGATAACTGGTGCATAATCAGGTTTACCTATTCAATAACTGTTAGCTTTGGTTAAACCTGGGAAAGTTCCTCGACAACACATTGATGGGAAGACCTACCAAATTCGCCATTGACCATGCCCACCAGCCTGTATAGCTCAGCCTCTAACTCTTGGTACTCCTGGACATCTTCACGGCTTGGTACAGCAATCTGGATCAAGACAATCTTCCCGACCCATTCGGGGTGTGTTCGGAGGAACTCCTGATAACCGCGCAGCTTCTCTGGTAGTCCTTTGATGTAGTCCAGTCTGTCGACGCCAACGATCCGTTTTATACCCTTGTACTTATCTTCAAGCTCGGCGATTCGTTTCTGGACGGCTTCTAACTCCACTGCCTCCAAGAAGCGCGTTGGATCTATACCGACAATGAATTTTCCAACCTGGATGGTTCGATCCTTATAACGCAGTGTCAACCCGTCTTTAGACGCACCTCTACAGTATCCAAGAGTCAGCAAGATGTATTAACGGTAGATGGAGGGGACATACAATATCTGAGAACAAGCGTCTGCGAAGTGTCCCGCATAATCATCGGTATGAAACCCTATCAAGTCACTGTCTAAAACCCCTTCGAGCAGTTCATGATTTGTCGGAAGAGCCCGATACACTTCTGCAGCGGGGAATGGAGTATGCAGGGAGAAGCCAATTTTCACCGAATGTTTGCCTTGTTTAACAAATTCTCTTCGCAGAATGCCGGGCAGAAGCATCAGATGATAATCGTGCACCCAAACCAAATCGCCATCAGAGGTAGCTTCTGCAACCACTTTCGCGAATATCTGGTTAACCTCTTGATATGCATCCCACCACTTTTCGTCAAAATGCTGAGTTCCAGGTTGGTAATGCAGGACCGGCCACAGTATCGAATCTAAGTTGGAATATTCATCAGTACCGGCAATAATGGCAGGTATTTCTGGGGCCACAGCAACGCATCTAACATCAGCAACAGGATACTCACTTGAAAATCCATTGTAATGATTGTTAGCCAGTTCCTTGTTTAGGAAGATGGGTACAGCATCTTGCTTGGCCAACAGTTTTTGAACCTCCTGCTGCTCGTCTTCGGATATCTCTAGTCCTGTCCAACCAAACCATTGAAACCCGATTGATTCCGATATGCCGCTGAGACTTGTGACGAGTCCACCGCTGGATTTTGAGGATTCATATTTTCCATCATCTGTTCGTTTCAGGGACAAGGGGAGGCGGTTGGACACCACAAGCAATTGAGGCTTCCTGCCTCCCTGTGCTTTGCTTTCGGTCATTTTGCTGTATGAATTCGGCTGCCTAACGTTAGAGTAGAAAACAGAATTTTCGCCCGCTCTCATGAAAGACGTATGTATATAGACTGATAAAATTGATATATTCCCCGAGCAACGTCTACTAGAGTTTATTTCAAGGATCCGGCCAAGGAAGCGCGCTGCCGCCCGATGACGTTAAATATGACGTTCCAAGGTTTGGGGAATCCAAGGTTTGCCCTATCATCGACACTAATGTAGGGACGTGAAACAACCCTGTACTAGAGACATCAAGGTAGACAGCTTTAAAAAGAAGGCAAACAACAAGTACAAAGGGCCCATGACCCCATATTAAGTGTTATTGATTGTCTATCAGAGCTATGAAATGCTACGGTCAAGTCACCTGGCTAGTCCATGGCTTGTTCAAGTATGCTTTACTGGCATACAGAAACTGTACCTAGAACAGTGTTAAGAAACCTCCTCTGTAAACGAAAGCCGTAGTGGCCATGTCAACATGTCGCACGACAAAAGCGAGTAGTTGTTCTCCTCACAAATGAAAATCCTAGAACACTTCTAAAGAGCGTAAATACCACCCCGGACGCCGGTAGGTTGGGTGGTTCTGGTAGAAAAGGCGCACCTATAATCTGGTCTTTACCAAGAGGTTTCGCACTCGTCATTCCCCTGCCTTTTGTTAGATCAGCCAGTTGGTTATGGATAGGAGATTTTGATGGTTAGAACTTGTTTTTTTCCTTTTTCTTGTTTTCTTGTGTTGGCAAGCCGGTTTAGAAGCAAAAAAAAGGTGGTGGAGGCAAGGCTTCGAAAGGGATGAGGCCAGCTGCGGCCTCGAGTAGACGAGTAGCCGGTCGCCTTGTTTGAGCGGGACATCTCCTGAGTTCGTAATTGCGATATCTAAGCTATTGTAGCTTGAGTCACCATCCCGTTTTGCGAGACATGGCGTTTCGACGCTGATTCGGATATTTCTTGGCCCTGGAAGTAAAAAAAAAAGCAGCTAGTTAGTTCCCCGGTTGCACTTCGATCGGCGGCTTTTCCTCGCCCGTATTTATCCTTGCTTCCCATAGGGCTATCTCGTAAACACTGTTTGTTAGTGATGCAATTCTGAGGTTTCAACTTACGTCTACTGCATCGATATTTCGCTTCTGGGAAACTGTCTGTTCCACTTTCTTCACAACCTTCTTCTTCGGCCGCGTTGGGCGAACTTCACTAGGCTGGAAAACGTCATCGGGGAGATCGTAGCTGTTACAGTATTAGTGCTCTGGCAATAATTCGAATCAATCAAGGTCAAAACATACTTGCGAACATGTGAAATATTCAAGTCATTAACTCCAGGCTGGTACTGAGCCCAGGAAGTGCATGTATTCTTGAACATATGGGTATCGCTAGATATATCTAGTGATCTTGAGGCGCCTTCGAGGAGTCAGTGGTATCACATGAATGGATGCGGTTTACTTACCCGGTGCTAATGGCTTAAGCTCTAGCCCGATATAGTAAGTTGTGGTGTAAAGGGTGTACTTATTCTCTCCAGTTGGTTTTTCCGCTTCTGCAATCCCCACGTTCTCATTTGCATTCTCAGCAGCTGCAATGTGGGTTGGATCATTTGTCTCGTCGGTAGTAGCAGTCTTGGTGTCATCTGCTTGGTATTTCATAGAGCCGGCTTTCACTGCATCGACTTCTTCGTCAGTCTTACAGATGTGGACCCTCTCAAACCCCTTGGGGAACGGATGGGCAATCTCTATAGACGATTTGCGGTCAAGTGCTCCAACAAGATGTCTGAGTTTTGATTCAACTAAGCCAGACCAAATAGCCTGTGCTTCCTTGCTTGTGCTAGTGGAGTTGATGCTGAGATAGTATTTGTAGTCAGCAGAGAAAAAGCTGTGTCGAGCAAAAAGATCACTCCATCGACGCTGTCCGACAAAGATTTTGTCAACCATGTCTCCTCCGCGTCTGAGCTCTCTGAGTATGACGGCCTTGGTGGACATTGAAACATTGTGGGTGGCACACATGGATGGATACGCCGGGGTAATTATAGGCATGAGGTGGAACCTATCTCCATGGTATATCTGAAAACTCAAATCAGTAATAGCCTTTGGAATGAAAAAACACAGTTGTGAGCTAACCTTCGGATTCCACACTTTCATATGAAGTGGACCATCTTCGATATGCTTCAACAAGACCGGTTGCGGCCAACTCCACTGATTCATGATTCTGAAAAACTTGCCAACTATGACTGATCCGGTAGCTTGGGGATATAGCTGACACACCCTTGCGACCAACATGGCCCAAGCAACACCACCTGGAAAGCCAACGATATTCGAATATATAGCTCGACCTGATTACGTTCAGCGTTAGTCGGCCACAATCAAGCAGGATCCAACACTAAACTCACGTTGTGCCCAAAGCTTTATAGCACGAAGTGCAAGTCGAAAAGTCTTTTGTTGAGGGACGAGTTCCAAGATCTCATCCGTCACTCGTGTACCGTTGACACATCGTATCTCCCTCTCATCAAGACCGCGCAACAAGTCTTTGTTTTTCAAATCGAGATTCGGTGGAACTGAAGAAACGATGAGTCGTGCGAAAATCAAATCTATGCTGATGCCAGAAATCTCGATTTTGATGATAGGCACGAACGCGTCTGGCACGGGAGTCATTTTTTCTATCGCATCTTTTGGCGCATGTTTCTCAAGCACTGCTGGAAAGTGTGCAAAGAAGTCTTCTCTCATTACATGTTTCGGTGCAACAACAAGAGTGTCAATATCAGAACCTATTATTTACCCACAACAATTGAATTAGTATAATGTTCCGCGTTCCCTTGTCAAGATAGTTTCAAGAATGCTCGAGAACACCAACCTGGACCATACACCCCAAGCCTATAACTCCCGTATGTGAATATTTTACCACCAGAAGCATCGATTGCCGCTTGTGAGAGGCCCTTTTCTTTTGATACTACCTTGATGAACTCGATAGTGACTCGCTGTAGGAGATGTAGTGTCTGCTTTCTAAAGACCAGCCGAGAAGAGTTAGTATTTCCTAACCAGGAAAATGAAGTTTTTAAACAGCCAGACAAACCGTTTCTCTGTCTCTGATGGCGGCTCGAAGTTATTCTGTAGCTTGAGCTCTGCTATCAACGCATCGTTCTCTGCGAGCTCGGAGGGTGTAGGAAGCGCGGATGACAATGGAGGAGTGATTCCCCACTGACGAGACTGTGAAGCAGCCATAGCTGCGACAGCTTGAGGCCGTAGAAGCGTTCAGTAGCAACCAGCGGTTCGTGTCTCCAACGAGATGTTGAGATTCGTGGGAGCCTGTCTCTCGCGGCTAGATATGGCGAAGTGGTTCGCCGCGGCCTGCTACCAAGTAGAGAATGGAGAAGCGAAGAAGAAACCCCACAAAAGAAAAGATATTAAAAGAAGAATAATACAGACGCCCCCAGAATTCCCGGACCGCGTAGAAGAGAAGATAACACTGACCAGCCTAGAGTCAGTCACTTTAAAAAGAACCTTTGATGATGGAGGTTTTTTGTTCTCGCTGGCAAGAAAGAAATGACGGTTTTGGGCGGCTAAATCACGTGATAGTTTTAGATTTGGATCCGTCTTCCACCAAGCCTTTGGGGAAGGACAGGGTAATAATAAAGCATTATTACAGCTAACTATCGACGGGAAAAAGGGGATACAAGCGCACATAGGGGATGAGGGAGCCGTCGTTGTCAGGGACTGCTGGTGTTACCGGACAGCTGAAATAGGTTGGGCGGCTCATTACCGCACAGACCAGGCTACAATTGTGATACAGAGAAGCCGGCTATTTCAGCAAGTGACGGCCAGCTAGCTAGACTTTCAGATCCTTCAGGGCAGTGGTCAGAGACTCGCTAATGGGAGTCCGTTTAAAGAAATCGACCAGCTTGTCGTTCAGCCATTTGACGTCCTCCTTGTTCTCGCCGGGACCACCTGCCCAGTCTAAGCCAGAACCCCCACGTTAGCGGTGATGAGGGCGATATCTAGAGATGGATCTTAGAACTACTTACGTCCCCAGATGGATGGGAATACGTCCAGCTCACCCACGCCGGGTGCCATGTTCGCAACCTCATACTCCGAATCTTCCGGTCTATTCGATCCCTCAGTTAGACGTGGAAGGGTAGGTATATGATAACGGGATAGTGAACGTACGGGAAATACAAGTCATGTCTGCAAGGCAAGACCAGCGCTTTTGCTTTGATTCCCTTGAGCGCTGCCTGAAAGTTGCCATTGTACGGCTCTTGCTGCGAGATATCTGCGTTCTGCCATGTCTGCAGCATTGTAAGCAGGTTCTCCGGGTCTAAAGATGAAGGGTTAGCCTGTTGCAAGGATACAATCTGACCCTACATTGCCTACCTTTGGAAAGGAAATACTTCTCCCAGAAATTGACCAAGAAATCCTCTAGGTCTTTATACCCCATAACAGTCTCGTACAGCTTTTCACGATAGAATGGCTGGCTCATGCCCCTGGTTGAGTGCATTCGGTTAAAGACGACTATCATCATTTGAAGGTCAAGTCGGAAGCAAACCTACCACCCAGCGTACACTCTTCCCACAGCTCTCAGTCCGACGTCTCTCTCTTCCTCTGTCCATTTTCGGCCAACAATACCTTCGGAGCAGATGCCATCCTTGCCAGACCCGGCAGAACGGAAACGCTTGGCTGACAGTAGGGCGCATTTGACTCCCTCGAGAAACACCTGGTTATGCAGAGAGGTCTTCGCAGATCCGCAGAATGGGACAATAATGTCCATGAAATTGGGATACTGAGCCGCCCATTGGAAGGTCTGGCCTGCCCCCATGGACCACCCGAGGACAGCTCTAACATGCTTGACCCCGAGATGCTCTGTCACTAGCTTATACTGGGCTCTGACGTTATCGTAGACGGCCACTGCTGGGAAAGGAGAGAGATCGGTGTTAGAGGGGGAAGAAGACTGTCCATTGCCGAACATCGCTGGTATGATAATGAAGTATTTCTTTGGACTCAGCTCCTTGTCTTCTCCTACCAGCCAGAAGTTGGCAGATATCGCTACAGTTGACCTCATCAGCACCCTCTACTACTTCTTCTCGGTTTCAACTCAGCTTAAACGGAGAGCACTCACTGCCAGAGAACCATGACGGGTACACAATAGCAGGCAACTTGGGGTCACCAAACGTCCTGTAAGCGATATGGGCCTTGGGGATAACCTGTCCGCTCTGCAGCGACCAGTCGCCCAGTTCAAAGGTGCTGTATTCCTCAGTCATAGCGAATTGGTTCTTGCGTCCTTGTCAACTCTATGGATGTGTATGTACAGACGATGGACAAGGTACAAGTCCGTCTACCCCGCTACAAGTATCGTCCTGAACCCTGCAGAAAGGCCCTTGTTGGCGGCTACAGCGCCCAGAGCAGGGCTCGCCTGTGCAGGTTTCTCCGTTGTCCCGCCCAGTAACCTTTGCCGGTCTTCATGTATTTATGAGTTGGCCTTCGTCAACGTGGATGTAGGTGTTGACGTCCAACTGATTAGTTAATAATGTAAATGTGGAGAGAGATCCAACTTCTCCATAACCAGAAGTTAACTACATGTGAACTCGCGTGATGAAGCTGCTCTTTGCTATATCTACTGGTAACCCATAGACTGCTGCGACAAATATATTGGCAATTCCATCTGTTGGCTCATTCCGTCTGTTCAGCTTCGTAGCTGCGAGTAAACATGAAAGCGGTCGGTAAGCGGACGCTGCTCCATGACATTGACCTCGAAGCGGGTATCTAATGCGCAGTTAAAACTAGACATTAAGAACGGCTCTGGAGCTGCCGCCGATCTCTTCATTAACGACTCTGTCCCCAAGCCGGTCCCCTCGCCAACCCAGTGCCTTGTTCGGGTGAAAGCATTTGGCATCAACCGTGCCGATACCATACAGCGAAGTGGCTTCTATCCGCCACCCCCAGGAGCGTCCAAGATCCTAGGTCTGGAGTTCAGCGGAGTTATAGAAGCTGTTGGTAGCGACCAAGCGTCAACCGGGACACAATGGAAGGTTGGAGATGAGGTGTTTGGGCTGGTGTATGGAGGGGCTTATGCAGAGTATGTTGAAGCGGAGATGAAGCTGTTGATAGCTAAGCCTGCAGACTGGAGCTGGGAGTATGCTGCTGGTGTGTGCGAGGTAAGACCTTTGCTTTTCTTCTACGGTGCCACATCTAGAGTTTAGGCTGACGGTATATATAGATCTGGTTCACTGCTTTGCAAGCATTGTACGTGGTTGGAGGCTATGACGCTGATACTACACGATCAATTCTATGGCATGCTGGGGCATCTTCAGTATCCATAGCGGGCATTCAGCTGTCCAGACTTGCAAACTCATTACGGTCAGATATTCCAGCTCCAAAGGTGTTTGCTACGGCCCGCAGTGATGAGAAATCCAACTTTTGCGTTCAGGAACTCTCATGTGTGGGTGCTGTTAATACCAGTACGCATGGTAAAGACTGGGATGAGGAGATCAAGAAGATGAATGGCGGACAGGGCATCGACCTGATTATTGATTACGTTGGACCAACTTACTTCCAGCAGAACTTGAATGTGGCTGCAAGAGATGGCCGAATTGTCTTGTTAGGCTTATTAGCTGGGTCCATCTTGCCAGACGGGGTTGATATTCGTCCAGTCCTGATGAAAAGGTTGAAGTTTGAAGGGAGTACATTGCGGTCGAGGGATGTCAACTACCAAGCCAGAGTGCGCGAATTGTTCGAGGAGAAAGTATTTCGTGGTTTGAAGACAGGACTGTTTAAGCATGTCGTCGACTCTGTGTTCAAGTGGGAGGATATTCAGAAAGCGCACGAGCTGGTCGAGAGTAACAAGACTAAGGGAAAGGTCATTTGCACCATCGACTGGTAGGGAGGAAGCATTATTAGGGTATCATAGCATAATTCATCTGAGAAGGCGGAATAATATTTAATTCTAAGCAAAATTAACAACTTGAAGACAGGACGGTTCAACAAACGTTTAATTTATGTCTATCATACAGCAAGATACAAGAAAAACCGCGGATAGAGAATGTGAATGGATATTTGATGCCGGTTGTTCTTTTTCCTTTTTTTTTTTATAGAGAGTCAGGTCTGAACGGTCTGGATAAAAGGGACTAGTGTTCGTGGGCGACCTCTCCTCTGTAGCCGACCACCTTGAATCGACCGAGCATCTCGCCGACGGAGAAGAATCCAATGACTTCTGCGGTTGTAATTCCAACAATGGCCCATTGTTTGGCATCAAAGTTTCGGAGCCGGGAAACGCTGCCGTTGGGATTTCTTAAGCTGGCGAAGATGGTAGATGGCTGGCGGAGGGAGTTCAAGGCAGAGTAAAGGTACGATTGGAAAGTGGCTATGTCTCTGTTGTCCGATTGTTAAATCCATGCTTCTAATAGCGATAAGCCAGATAATCGACTTACGGTGGTGCCATCTTCTGTCCCCGGAAGACGATTTTCGACAGCTCAAGGCCGACTCTGGAGTAGTAGATGGTTGGTGGTATTAAAGCTGCGAACGCAAGCTATGTCAGCCCTCTGTCAAATATAAGCAGCAAAGCAAGCAGTAGATCTCCTTTACTAAACTGCAATCGTTGCTCTAAGGGGCGGCTGGACTGATATTCTCCTTACATTCGACGAAAGCGACGAGTTTGGCGGTTCGTCCTCCAACCTTCTTCAAAGCACCGCCCACACCGGACATGGCGCCAGCAAGAGCCGGACCAGCGGCAGCGGTCACTTTTGTAAGCCCATCGGACGCCTTGGAAGTAGCTGAAGAGGCGGCATCTTTGGCCTTTGCGGCGGTCTCCTGTGCAGTGGACGAGTGTCTAATCGCTGGTCGTCGGAACACTGTTCGTGATTGCCGGATCAGCATACGGGACATTGTGGCAGACATGGTGGAAGGAGAGAAGCGCAGAGTCTGCAGAGTCATCAAAATTGAAGCCGGACAAGCAATGAGGGACCCTTCGAGTGCGCGGGAGCTGTCAATGGCGGATGCTGGATGCGTCGGCGATGGTGAAGTCTTGGAGTCGCTTTTTTCGTCTTCGAGTTTCGTGTTTTTCCGGGCCCAAAGGGTAAATCACGTGATGTAACTTTTGCCCAGGCAAACTCCGACTCTCCAACAGCATCACCTTTCAACCTCAACCTCAACCTCAACCTCGACTTTAGCCTCGCCGTGTCCACGCTTGGTCTCTGGAGGCATGGATGCTGATGATGACGGCTTTGACGACTACGGGCTAGCCAGCAGGACTGCCTCGTGGCACATAGCACGCGAAGAATCTGGTTGAATCGGCAACTTCACGTGTACGGATGCATCACATGTGCACCGCATTTGCTTCGTCTACGGGAAGAGGATGATGCTCACAATGATTGACTGATGGCGAAGCCTGATCAGGACGCAAGAAGTAGTGCTGTGACTTCTTGCTGGTGTTGCCTACAAATATACCCTGGCCATGCTGCAGTCTGGGACGCTATGCGATCTCGTAGGATGAAGAAAGGAAGCTGCCATATGGACAACTTTCGGCAAGTATACCTCCTCATACTGCAGATTGTATGGTTATTGTTAAGTTCTTGATGTCTCTACATGGAACCCTATATGATTACAAGAGCGGGGCCCCAGCAACCATGTCCATTACCGCTCGCCCGGGGTCGGATGCACCACCCTGCAAGCCGAAAGCAAACAGGGTCTGCTACATTCCCAACCATCTTGGAGATGGATGCTTCCACACCATCAACTGACCAGGATAATTTGGAGGGTACAGGCACTACAGGGATACATATGGTCAATGACAGCTTCGATACGTCGTTTTGCAGAGACTCCTGGACCGATTTACGACTATCATCCGAAGGCATTTGGTTAAAATGTGCTCTACATCCCAATAGCCCACTAGAAGGAAGCGGAGACTGTGGATGGCGGTTGATTTACTCGCCTGTATTAGAAAATTCACCTACCTTTGAACACAGATGTGACAAGGACCATTCTTACAGCCGACCAGCAACTGTCCGAACGAGTCTTGACTCTTCAATTTCTCCTTCGGCATCAACTTCCACCCTCGAGTCTAGTGATACAAGCATATCTGCCACCTCTGTACGGAAAAAAAGCTGCATCACAAACCTCAGGTCGCAGTATTCATTTACCATGGCTTCATCCCCGAATTTACGACTTAGCCCTGCACCACCTCATTCTCCCGTATGCTCCATTGTTTCAAGGAGCGCTTCCCCACGCGCGGTAGAGCTTGTGCAACTCCTGGATCATCTCAACTCCTTTTGCGTTCTTGACACGAAATCACCAGGCAATGCAGTTGTTGCCGCTTCCAAGGATATATACTCTGCGAGTGGAAAGGGAGAAAAATTCCCACTAAATATTAATATTCTCGAAGAAGAACCATGCCCTGTGGTTTCAGGGTTCGATGAAAATGGGAATGATGTTTCATACCTTATAATCGCTACGAGGTTGATTACCGCGACTTCCGGGGAATGCAATTTACTTCTTACAACACTTCTTGATATCACAGACTTTCTGTACGCTGCCACACTAGAGGACCTAGAGCTAAGGCAGAACCCAAAGGCATGCGAGGCTGAGAGCGGCATATTACCGAGCATTAATTCACGAGTCAATCTCAGTGCTGCGGAGGTGATTAATGCTTCACCAAACCTCCCGGATGAGATCAAAGCGAACGGGGTACATCGGAGTCAAACTCCTATGAGCATAGGCCCGTCTCAAACAACAGAGCAGCTGCTCGCGGAATTTAGCGCAGAGCTTCTTTACATCTACAAGGACATATTTATCCTAGCGCGCTCACTCCAAGACAGCACGGTTTATAAAATATCTCATGTTTCACACTCTCTACATGCCGAGGGTGAATATATTCGCAGCCACCTAAAACACACCCCGACTGAAAAGATGAAGCTCCTCAGTGAAAGTTTGGGAAAGAACACTCGATTTGATATTGTTGTTAATTGGGGATATTATGGCGTAGAAAAGCGGCTATATTGTGTCCCAATATACTGCTGTGAATCATGGGATTGGGTTTGTACGATGACTGATGTTGATGTTCCCCATCTTTGGCGTCAGAGTAGGATTTAAATTCGTTTTATAGATGTTTTTTAGTTGAGCAGATTAATGATATAGACACTTCGCCTACTCATTTACCCTTCTGTTATTTTGAATTATATAACCGCCCCTGATGTAAATATGATTTGCATTGAACCAACCCGCCAGAGTAACACTTAACTCTTCGGCATCGTGCTAGGTCGGAGATACCGGCCCTACGAACCAGATTCAAGGTCACAGCTCGAAGATATCCTGGATGTGGATCCACCCCGCAATCTGCATACATAAGTGTAACCCAGGATATGTTGGTTACATCCAAGATGAGTGTTCTCTCCACCTCAGTTCAGCTCTTGGGGACGGCTATATCTGTAATTGGATGGCGTTCTCCAGGATGTATGCATGCCCGCTACATACCACCTAGAAGGATTATCTACAAAGATTCAAGCTCGGAGCGGATTTATAAGGGTCACACGGAAAGAATAAGCATATATGGTCAAATACTTCCCGTCAGGTTAGCATTAACTAATTACTTCTTCTCACTAACAAAGTGACTTTAGGTTTGGTGTTTGAGCCTAGGAGTATCATCAGATGTTTGTTACTAGCAACAAATATGTTGCCATTTTGGCACCTCTATTCATACTATCGCTCACAGCCAATGCTAAGGGTAATGATATTGATCTGACACAATATGTCGATTTGTTTATTGGAACTGAAGGTAGTGTTGCTGGTACATCATACAATGGCGGAAATGTTTTCCCTGGCGCAGCGTATGTTCTCTACACATCAAAGCAATATAAGTATCTAACTGGCATCAGGTTACCCTTCGGAGTAGTTAAAGTGGGAATCGATACCATAGTGTACTAGGCTCTGACATTCCGATACATTTGTGGTATGATTGTTCCACGGCTAACTTCTTCGCTCAATAGCCATGATGTGGACGAGAAGAGGAAAGTCGACGTGAATGCAGGGTATTCACCCGACGGGAATGTATCGGCTATATCTTTCATGCATGAGAGCGGAACAGGAGGTGCGCCGAAGTATGGGGTGATATCTCAGATGCCACTTTCAACCCTTGACCGGGTGGACATAGCCGACAACAGGACATATATGCAACCTCGAGTCGGCAAAGACTCCGCATCAGTAGGGTATTATAAGACTAGGCTCCGAAATGGAATTACAGTAGAGATGTCTGCTACCGACCACGCCGGGATTCTCCAATATACATATCCACCTTCCACTGGAAAGTTCGTCTTAGTTGACTTAAGCCATTATCTGCCAACCCATGGAGAACCAAGCGCAAACCAGATGTATAGCAATGGGAAGATTGATATACAGGACGGTGGGCGGACGTATACCGGATATGGTATTTATCGAGGAGGCTGGAACGAAGGTATGAGTTTTCTTCGATATCTTTGATCCAGAATCTCACCAAAATTAGGACCGAATTTCCAGGTTTTCATGTGTGCCGAGTTTGATATAGCTCCGACCTCCGCAAAAACATGGCGTGCCCCATATACTGATCCATATGATGAAGGTCGAGGAGAGGCGAAGTTTTCAAATCAGCAAACAATCACAGGAGGACGAGAAGGTTATCAGTACGCAGACAGAATCGGAGCTATTTTCGAGTTTCCATCAGACACAAGGATCTTAAAATCCAGGATTGGTATCTCATTTATCTCAACCGAGAAAGCATGTCAGTTTACTAATGAGATAAGGTCCTGGAACATGAACGATACTGTGAATGATACAAAGGGTCGGTGGAATAGTGAAGTCCTGAGCACAGTAACAACGTCGGATACCAATACAACGAGACGGAAAATGTTGTATTCCGCTCTGTATCGTTCGCATTTGCTTCCTAGTAACAGGACGGGTGAAAACCCTTATTGGGAATCGGCAGAACCTTACTATGACGATTATTATGCCATATGGGATACCTTCCGATGCCTAAACAGTTTCTACTTATTAACCAAGCCTCAGTTCGCGGCAGAAACCATCCGCTCCCTGATTGATATCTGGAGATTTGAGCGTTTTATGCCTGATGGACGAAGTGGCAATGCAAACGGAAGGGTATTGATATGCTCGCACTTCTGTTACCGGAGATTATTGCTAACTATGGAGACATAGGTTCAAGGAGGTAGCAATGCAGACAATATCCTGGCAGACGCATATGTCAAAGGCCTGCAAAAGGGTGTTAACTGGACAGATGGGTACTTGGCGATGAGAACAGATGCTGAAGTAGTACCATACAACAATTTCGGACCGGCAGATCTGACTGGCTCCACAAAGGAAGGGCGTGGTGCCCTTCTAGATTGGCTTCAGTATGGGTATGTGACTCCGAGTTTTGGTAGAAGCATTAGCCGGACAGTTGAGTACTCGTTGAATGACTTTGCTCTGAGCCAAGTTGCAAAGGATCTTGCACCAGAAGATTATGATAAGTATCTGAACCGGAGCGCCGGGTGGCAGCGAATCTGGCACAAGAACATCAGCAGTCTCAACTTCACAGGGTTTCTAGCACCAACTTGGCCAAATGGTTCTGTGACACCCGGGTATGATCCGCTCGATTGCGGGGAGTGTGAATGGAGTTCCCATAGCTATGAGGCATTGCCAATTGAATACGGATGGAATGTTCCATTCGATATGAGATCCCTGATCAAATTCATGGGCGGTGAAAAAACGATGGAGCAAAGGCTCGATCAGATGTTTGTCCCAGGACTGCGTAAGGGGGATGTGGGTTCTGGCGGAACAAACACGCTAGGTAGTTTCAACATCCTTGATTCGTTCGTTTCTCGAACAAGCTTCTGATGTTCTACGTCTTTATAGGTACCACGTTATTTAACCCTGGGAATGAGCCGAGCTTCTTCACTCCATTCTTGTACAACTATCTCCCTGGACGGCAGTGGAAATCCGTTCTCCGTCTTCGAGATACGGTTAACTCGTATTATAGTGCTCAACCGTCTGGGCTTCCAGGTTAGTTTCTGATTCTGTCTGTCTGTTCATTCAATTAATAAAATACAGGGAATAGCGACGCAGGAGCTATTGATAGCTGGCTGATATGGAATTTCCTGGGTTTGTACCCTGTGGTAACCCAGCCAGTATATCTACTATCAAGCCCATGGTTTGACAATGTTTCCGTGGAGGTGGGGGATAACTCAAGGCTCACCATCACTGCGCAGAATCTTAGCGAGGATAGCTATTTCGTCCAGAATGTCAAGGTCAACGGTAAGATATGGACCAAGAGCTGGGTGAGTCATGATGATATCAAAGACGGTGGGATCATCGAGTTCGTATTGGGCCCAGAAAAGAAGAGCTGGGACACGGGAGAACTTCCGCCTAGCCCCGGACATGTCGAGCTGGATTTGTAGTAGCATTGGTGTTGGTCGAGATTTGTTCGTCTGGTGTCGTCGTTGTGAAGAACAATCAATTGATATTGCGGAAGAAGCAATTATGTAGCTTATTAAGCAGATGGTGTTTGCAGGCTTTGCAGTGTTTATTTACATTCCACGTGATTTAAGGTTTGACCAATGATAAGGCTAGAAAATAAAGTAAACATGCCAAGACATGAGCTATGACGTCTTCCGTGATTTGTCATCCCACCTTAATTGATATCACGAACTTTATTTTTGTGTTTTCTGTTGAAGCAAACCACCAAGAGAATCAGAAGACGCTGCTTGCTGCTTGTCCGGCTATCCCAGATGACTCTCCTCCCTTGCTGCCTTGCTGCCGTTCCTGGATGGCTATTTCTCACTTGTCTGGGACTTTTGGGCCCGCTGAAATCCGACGTTTTTGCTAGGAGTTCTCCGCTTCCAGGGTACTTCTCGATTCCACCTCCCAAGGGTTGGCGAGAACTAACTACGTTTAGACAAATGCATGTGAGGCACTAAACTCAGACGATGTGACGCTTAATTATGTCACTGTGTGCCACTCCACGAGGTTAAATAGGTGGCAGCTCTCCCTCCATGTCTGGTTTGAGCCATTATCTTCACCCGGAGACAACGTGGGTCATATTTTGTTTACGCTGGTCTTCCGTGTATATATGGCCTCGCTTATTTCTTTCCTCTCTCTTCCCACATACTACTAATTTCAATTAGTTGTTACTCTGCTATATTGTTGTCTTTATTAGAGACTATACATCTTTGATATACTGCAAGATGGCCGCGAGCAGTTCAAGGGATGACCCCAAACAACAAGGGGACTATGACGAGACACTTACCGATACGTCCTCAAATGAGGAGCTTCTGGCCACTATTCCCAAAGGCACCATGGACCCGATTTATGAAGCCAAAGCATTGTTGTTGAATAAGGCCATCCTTGACATTGGAATGGGATGGTATCAATGGCAGCTATTCATTGTTATTGGCTTCGGATGGGCCAGTGATAATATGTGGCCGATTATTACCTCCCTCATCTTTACTCCTGTGAAAAATGAGTTCATGCCGTCAAAGGCTCCGCTTCTTACGCTTGCCCAAAACCTGGGGCTGCTGGTGGGTGCTGTCTTCTGGGGATTTGGGTGCGACATCTACGGGAGAAAATGGGCCTTTAACTTGACAATTGGGATCACTGCCGTGTTTGGGCTAGCAGCAGCAGGTTCACCATCCTTCTCTGCTATTGGAGTCTTTGCAGCGTTGTGGTCTATCGGAGTAGGGGGCAACTTACCCGTCGACTCGGCAATCTTCCTTGAGTTCCTCCCATCCACGCACCAGTACCTCCTTACCATTCTTTCGATCGACTGGGCCCTGGCACAAGTTCTGGCGAATCTAGTTGCCTGGCCACTGCTCGGAAATTATTCCTGCCAGGAAAATTCCGAATGCACAAAGTCTGCTAACATGGGCTGGAGGTACTTCCTGATTGCCATGGGAGGGCTATCAATGATCATGTTCCTCCTGCGATTTACTTGCTTCACCATTTTCGAGTCTCCAAAGTATCTAATGGGGAAAGGTCAGGATGAAGAAGCAGTCCGGGTTGTGCATGAAGTTGCCAGACGAAACGGCAAAGTTTCCACTCTTACTATCGAAGACCTAGCCCGCATAGGACCCCCCATAAGGAGCAACGCCAAAGTTGCAGTGCAGCGAAAGCTGTCAAAGTTTGATTTCAAGCATGTGAATGCGCTCTTTGAATCTCCTACCTTAGCATTTTCAACCTCAGTTATAATTGGTGTTTGGGCGTTCATTGGTCTTGGATTCCCTCTATACAACGCATTTCTGCCGTTTATCCAAGCCTCTAGAGGTGCACATTTTGGTGACAGCTCTACCTACATTACTTATAGGAACTCTCTCATTATTGCAGTCCTCGGAATACCGGGCTCTCTTATCGGAGGCGCACTGGTCGAGATACCCTATATTGGCCGTAAAGGGGCCCTCTCATTTTCCACCGCGATGACAGGTGTCTTTCTCTTTTGCTCCACAACTGCAATGACCTCTGATGCGCTACTGGGTTGGAATTGCGCCTACAACTTCATGAGCAACATCATGTATGCCGTTCTATATGCTTATACGCCTGAGATTTTCCCTACCAAGGACCGAGGAACGGGTAATGCGTTGACTGCTGCGGCGAATCGCATTTTCGGCGTTATGGCCCCCATTATTGCAATGTTTGCCAATCTTCAAACAGCCACACCCGTGTATGTTAGCGGTGCCTTGTTCATAGCGGCTGGTATATTAGTCCTGTTCCAGCCCTTTGAGTCCAGGGGGAAGGCTAGTTTGTGATGGCCAAGTTCATATTTACTTGACTACTACTTGCGATGTTCATTTCTTTTCCCTTCTGCCTAATGTCGTTGGCCGGGGGTTTTGCAATGATTTAATATATACCTTAATAAGCGGCAACAGCCCTTACTCTTGTATCACAGCTGGTATGCTGTTAACAAAGAGATCTTGAATATGAACTCCATGAGAGAGAAGACCTCGAGCCGACATGAACGGATCGATGCTAAGCTGACTCGAACATTCATAGGTCACCAGTATTCTCATAGATAACCTGTCGCCATGGCTTAGCTATCCAACGCGCCACCCGAGTATACCCCTATCCCCGGCCATTACCTAACCGCCTCCTCCGGGCCATCGTATAGATTCAGTCACTGCAGTTACTAACTCTTGGAATTCGAATGAAGACTAGAACACTGATGACTATATTTTTGTCATCTTCGTGCGTCAGTTCGTGAACTCAGTAGCTAATAGTTAATGCATATAGACTCTTGTTGGTAGATACTAGTTAGATATTGATAGTTATGGAATAAATAACACGAGAATAACACATGCTGGCTGTTAGTTATTGAAGCTAGCAACAACACACGACCAAACAGTAATACCAGCATCCAGTCAATAATGTAACATCTCGAGGATGGGCTACTTTCTTGCGGCTGTAACGCCATTTGTTTAGAAATCGCCGTCGCCAAGCTGGAATCCATGAAGCGCCTTGCATCCTGACCACTCCGAGCAGCTCTTCGGCCGTCTGCGTCCTCCACTCCTGTTCCACACATCACAGGGATCGCGGCTCAGCACCGGAAATTGGCTCTCACAATAAGAAAGTGTGCAACAGAAAAAGCCGGAGAACGAAGATGAAGACTTTTCCTTGTAAGGTGTAGAATGCCCTGGTTCTGATGGTTATCGGACTCCCTGCTAACCGCATATCTAGCGTATGATCAACGAACGGAGTACTCTGTACGGAGTAGGTACTCTGGAAAGCCACAGCTTGCAGTATCATCGATGCATGAACGGGCCCGCAAGTCTTCACGATGGCTGAGTCGTGCAATACGACTGTCATGTTTATCCCTGCCAAACATGGCTGATTAGCCTCTGAAGGATCACCAGTTGATACTTGCTGGGCCAAAGAGATGGACGGAGGCCTCAGGTTTTCGTCCTTTATTCTGCTCGAACAATCCAGGAACACAGCGGCTACGAAAGGACGGGAGTTCTCCATTGAAAAACAACCCATCTGGTTGCCTGTGAACCGTGGTTGGCTGTGTTTACTGCTATCAGAGGGAGTAGACCGGCTTCAAGATGGGCTGTTCTCTGCTTTTGACATGCGCGTATCTCCTGGTCTCATTTTCAGGCCTTGTCAGATCTGCCTGCGACGCACCGCCATTGTCTCTGCCCATTGGGAATGGCACGATTTCAGATCGAGAGGTTGTGCGATGGGGGTTAGCTGTGGAATTCGGAACTCCTGCTCAGACTATAGTGGCTGCGCTGGATGCGTAAGTCACATTTATATGGGCAAATGCAGACTCTGCAGTCAGTCAATCGCTAACACACCATATCTGTATATAGTGACTGGAACAGTACGTCTTTCTGGAACACGAGCTTCCCGTGCGGTAATTCGAGCCGACCCGCCTGCTCCTGGGTGCATGGAGGGTCTTTCAACGATAAAGGCTCGACGTCTTGGAGAGGACCAGAGAATCCTGAGCAGACAGATAAGAGCCCGGCAGGCGGAACCATAAATATAAGAGGAACGGATATTCTGAATGTGGGATCAGATATCTCACTCGACCAGTTCCCAGTCTACTTTCCAAAGCCAGGAGTCATACCTCAGAATGGTATAGGCTTTGGGCCGGATTCAACCTTTCTCAATCGCCTCTACGATCAGGGCAAGATTGCGTCGAGGTCATGGTCACTATTCTGGGGATGGCAAGGAGCTGAGCAGGAGAACCAGATGGATGGAAGCTTGGTGCTGGGTGGATATGATAAGGCAAAGATGGCTGGAGGTGCACCCCTAACAGCTCCATTTTCAGATGGAGTTGGATGCCCGAGTTCACTGCTTGTCTATCTGAGCAATATTGTTGTCAACCATATAGATGGAAAGAAAACGAGTCTGCTCAATACGCCGGGTTCTGCTTTACGCGCCTGCATCAAACCGGATAACCCCCAGGTTGTTCTTCCGGAGGACGTTTTTGGCAACCTGAAGAAGGCCTTTCCGGGGAAGACTGTTGAGCATTCTACCGGAATCTACCCTTCAAGCCTTGCCTATGAGCCGGACGGCGTGTATGTGCCAATTTCCTCCCCTTAAATATGCAAGACGATACAGAAAACTAACAGCTCCAGGTTTGCTGGCAATATCACCTTCATACTCTCCTCCGGACTTCAGATCACCATACCTAATCATCAACTCGTTCTACCGAACGTAGAAATAGATGATGACGGAAAACAGAAGATAGTTGATGGCAACAAAACTATTAATTTTGGACAGATCAGACATGAGGCTATGTCTTATCTAGGTCAACCGTTCCTTACATCCGCCTATATACACGTTAACAACGACATGAAGGAGTTTAGCGTCTGGAAGGCCAATCCAACAACAGACACAAACTTTGTGACCGTCCGAGGTGGCTCAAACTGCGACGACGATTCTTCTCTGAGTGGCGGCGCCATTGCAGGCATAGTCATCGGTGTCGTTGCTTTCCTGGCTATAGGTGGTCTGGGAATATTCTTCTTCTTCAAACGGCGCAACCAAAACCGGGACAGAGATTCGAAGGCAGGGCTGCCCCTTGTTAATACAAGTCAGAGAGCGGAGGAGGACAAGAAACATAACCATGATATCCCCCTTGAGATGGATGCTGGAGTCAGCCAACAGGCGCCGTCAGAGCTGCCTGATAGGGATTACTCGCCGCAAGAGCTTCCGGCAGACGTCCCAACGTCTAACAAATAAGTGCAGAGTTCACCAGGAACGTTATAATTAATACCTGACGATGTCTTTTCAGCTGCGTATAGACTAGCGAACTTGTTCTGTATACTGATCTTGTTCATTTTAATCAATCACACCATTCAAGCCAGTGAAGAAGAGACATGTGCTCGAAAAGGGCCTTTTAGATACAGTCTTAATCTAGCGCACGCCGCCCCAACCTTCGATACCCCTGAATCAACATTTCCATCACACACCACCCTTTTTTTTTTTTTTTTTCGTTATTTTCATTATTTTTCTGTCGGGGGGTATTTCCTATCTGGACACACATAACTCGACATGATAGACACCTATATCAATGTGCCAGTTCTAGTCCTCGTTCTCATTCTCCGACATCTGCAGACGGAAAAAACCCCTCATGATGACAGCGGTTTCTTCGATTGCAAGGCGAACCTTGGTATAGTCGTTCAGGTTCAAGTCGACTGGTTCGCCAAAATAGGTTGGCAATCCAGCGACGGGTTCATCATCTTCACCATCAGACTCTGGAGATGGTGACCTAGTAGCAGGACGAAGCTCAAATCTTCTATCTGCGGCAGTGTCCAGGACCAGCCCGTGAGCCCCAAGCCAGGCCTCCCTGGAAGCAAGCTCGATAGCGCGGTTGCCAACCATATTGCCTTCAATATCAATAGCGCCTTCAACCTGGATATCATGATCTTTGCCATATTTGCCGTCTTCGCAGACAGCTCCGTCGTCCTCGTCATCCGCAAACTGTTCAGCGGCATAGTCTTCGTCACCCTTTGGAACTTCAATGCAAGCATAGTCATGAGTCCGGTCATGCAAGGCCTACCAACAACGTTAGATTGTTTGAAGAATCGAGCGAACAAATCATGATATCAACGTACGATTCTCAAGCCAGACATATCAAAGCCTCCATTGTCAGCAATCTCTTGCATTTCGCATTGTGCAACAAAGTCACATGCATTGAAGTAGTCAGGGGCATAGAGAAGCTTCATCTTTGGCCCTGACTCGCGTTCATTCAAGGCCTCAGCACTAGGATTAGCCATGACGAATTTATTCAATGCATCAAGGGCTTCCTTCGTCAATGGGTCTTTAGCCTTGGGTTCAGGAGGAGTCTCAGGCCGTGGAACTCTAGATCGAGCTGGAGCTGAAGCTGATCTGGGTCTCAAAGCATGTTTCGTTTTCCGTTTCTTGCGTTTGGGGGATTCAGGGCTGCCGCAGCGTTTGCTGAGATCCATGATCACCGCTGAAGGGCTGTTGAAGTGGTTTGTAGGCTGAATTCGGTCGAAGTCAGAGTTCAAATATAAACTGGAAGGATAGTTGTTTGTTTGAGGAGAAGAGAAAGGAAGTGGAAGACTTTTTTGATAGCTTCAAGACATGGCTGAGAGTGCAGCAGGACGACGCTCAGGGGCTGTTACCAAATTTTGATAAGTGAGATTAATGCTATGGCTATAAACATATATGCTTACAAGGCTGTCTTATTATCTGAATGCTAGTATATAGATATAATACTATGTGCTTTGCTTTGATATTCCATCTAGTTAACCTCTAGCTCTAAGAGAGAGTATCAAAGGGGTAGGAGTAATATCAAAGCCTCCCTAAGAGATATGGAGACAGAACATTGGTCAAGTGCACCAATATATATATATTAATGTCCAGTATAATAATGCTCTCACTTCACTGCCATCCTCTAGTGAAGAGTCATTTCAGAAGGCCCTGTAAGTAAAACTGTAGCTTTGATAGCAAGCTTTTTCAATCTCGCATCATATTGGGAGTCTTTTTTCTTATTCCCTTTGTCCTCCACATTCATATCCTGCTTGTACCCCAGGACAAATATGTTTTCGATCTCTAAGGCTTCTTCGTTCTGGAAATCGAACTTTCCAGAGACTTTGAGGACCCCTTCGTGGTATTCAAAGTTGATTTCTGATGTATGTGGTTGCTCAAGGGAATCACCATCATCTAGATAGAGACTACCTTCTGCGTTACCCTCACGGTCGAGGCAGATGACAAGTTCGAATGGCTGTTTTCGTAGCTCGGTGGTTGTATTGGCGCTGTCGGCGCGCATTGGAACAATTTGTCCGCCGCGGAAGTGAAGGGGAATGTGCGTGATGGGAACATTCTCCATTGTGATCACTTCTCCCTTTCCTTCAACAGGTTCCCCTGTATAGTAATCATAGAAAATATCATCAGGCAGATATATGTCAACACTTGTGGCACCTTCGCCCGTTACCGGACTAACCAACAGAGCATCGCCGTAGAAGAACTGTAGGTCGATTGCAAAGGTATCTTTGTCCTCTGGGTAGATGTAGAAGAGTGGGTTCAAAACAGGGTCTCCAGACTGTGTTTGACGGTGGAAAGCAGTGTAGATGTAGTCAAGGAGTTTATATCTGATTCCAATGGCAGCCCTTGCTGCCTCGGTTACAGACTCCCAGCGGTAAAATTCCTGGTCTCGGCCAGCAATATCGTTGTGGTTCCTATAAAATGGATAAAAGGCGCCTAGCATAGCCCACCTAGCACATAATTCTTCCGTGACGTTACCTCCAAAGCCGCATACGTCAGCTCCTACCATGGGAACCTGGTATATGGCTGCAAATTGAAGGATCTGGGAAATGGAAAATCGGTACTGGCTCCATTCACTGAGGTTATCACCAAGCCTGTATTAGGTTAGCACTGCAACACATTTGAAGGAAAGTGTACGCATACCAATGCCCAACATGAGCTCCAGCCCCAGCAAAAGTACTTCGAGTGATCACCATGGGCCTTTTTGTCGGACGGCGAGCTAAAAGAGATTCTCGACTGGCACTGCTCATCACTGGGGAACCTTAGTTTAAAGTATATGGAGAGGCAGAAGTCTAAAACTTACTGGTGCCGTAAAGGTTATGAGTATCATACTCAACTAGACCGTTGGCATGAACCAAGTCGGTATTCAAGGTCTTGTTGCTGATAGATCCAGCTTCGTTCTGGATCTTGTATGGCGGGTCAATAAGATCACGACCTGGCAAGCCAGCTTTGCTTCTTATTCTGGTTCCATCACGCTTGAGAAGCTTAACGCTACCTGGCTGGAGTTTATCCGGGAATCCAGGTAGCGGTCTTGGGATTGGTCTGACGGGTGGAGGAGCTGGTGGTAGATCATGGTCTCTTTCCCACCCTTCAGGGTCAGAACACGGCCAATCGCAAAAATTGGAAGCCTCGTTCATATCAATCCAGAGCGCATCGATGTCTATTCCATTTTCAGGGTTGAAGAACAGTTTGAACTCATTATTCCAGTAATCTTGAGTCCCAGGATGAAACCAATCAGGAAATGCAGTGACACCAGGCCAGACGGCACCTAGAGATAACTTAGTAGAGTAAATAGAGGGCGTAGAGCCTCTAACTCACCTTTATAGATTGATCCGTCCCTCGATTTCATGAAGACGTCTTGCTTTTTTCCTCGCTCAAAGGCGTCATTGTCGCCGTAGCTCACTGCTGGATCTACCATGACAATGTAATGCTGGTCGTGATCATGGAGGTACTTTACTAGGGCTCTCATCTCGTCTATGGGGAAGCGCTTCGAGTCCAGTGTGAAGACTTTGCGTCCGTCCATATAGTCAATATCCGTCCACATGGTTTCCAAGGGGATACCAGCTTGGCTATAGTTGTAGACCACCTCGGCAACGTTGAAAGCATCCTGGTAGCCATACCGGCATTGATGAAACTAGATTCGATCAGTATTGAGTCTTTCATAAATTCAAAGGTAAAGAGCGGCATGAAGGTGAAAGACTTACTCCAAAGCCCCAGTAGGGCATCATGGCTGGCAGGCCAACCACTTCAGCATATTGAGAAGCAACCTCCTTTGGTGTCGGTCCAGCCATGAAGTAAAAGTCAAAGACGCCTCCTAGGGTGTTATATTCCAGGTACTTTTTTCCAGTACCACCATTCGCACTCCCTACCTTGACATCCATGCCATTGGAGTTCAAGAGAAAGACACCGTGAGTACCTGACTTTCCCCTATGATCAAAATAGACCGGGTGGGAACCGTACAAGTTAGTTCCAGGAGGAATTCCAAAGGCATCTCTATTCCAAAGAGTAGTAACAAGGTCTTCTGTCTGTAGACGCAGAGGGTCACTATGCTCCCCTAGTCCGTACAAGTTGGGCTCATCCGGCAGAGAAGTGCGAAGGCGTAGATACTGAGACTCAAAGATCAAGGGAGAATTGGATGTATCAAAGATGACCTCGTCAGTAGCTCGCCTGGTTATTTTGAAGGAGAATGGCTTCTGGGTCATGGAGAATCTTAGAGCTGATTTTTTTGAGGCACTGTCATCCTTTTCAGACTCTGGCCGAGGAAACACAGACTCAGGGACCTGATATACGTCTTCCTTGGAGTCTTCAATGATAACATGCAACCGTTCATCTATTTTTCCCATTAGTACACATTGTATATAGGTAGTCAACATGACGAGGTGCCTTACGAGTCTGGTATTCAACACGCAGCTTCAACTGCCTGATATCCTTGCCGTAAACATTGCATGCTTTGCCTGCGAGCTGGAGTTCCGCTTTCAGAGTATGTCCATTGTCCCTGACGTTGGACACCTTGTACCCGGGACACTCCTCCAGGGACGCAGCAACCGACAAAGCAGTCGTAGCGAACACTGCAGCGAGGGCGAGTGTACGCCCAAACATATTGAATCTCACCGCAAGAGAGGATATTTTTTAACTAGTTAATCATGTACTTTCTAGCTTGATATATCGACAGAGAGTCTTCAGGACTTGACATACAGCCTAGATCAAAATAAACGGCATTTCTGGCAGTATAAATAGTTACTGCGTCGGCGCCCACCGGGGGGAAGAGGAGAGTGCAGCAATGCAACTGCTTAGCCAGGCCCTTCTTCATCTTGCTTTCTTTGCTTCTTTTCCTTGCTTTCTTGCTTTTTTGGCCTGGATCCGGGTGAACACGAACGGTTACAGTGTTGGAATCCAAGATCCAAGAAGCAGATGCAGATGCAGATGCGGGCTCCGTTACATTGTGAGAGGTTAATGCCACCGGCGGGGCAGTTAACTAGTTATTTGCCCTGGTCGGTCACTATGTTTCCCTTGGGTAGATATCCCCAAGGAACCCTGTAATATCATCGACGCCCTCCGGCTCCTTGACCCAGTGTCCGTCATTGTCTGCACCCGTATACTCCTTGAAGACAGCGTGCATCCCCAGCTGGGCCAGGCCTGCAGATGCCTGTCGGCCCAGCTCAATGTCCACCCAGGCGTCATCTGTCCCATGTAGCAGCAGTACTGGTGTAGACAGCATCTTCTTGACCTCTTCATCCGTAGCTTGGATCTGCTCTCCACATCGAGTCGATATAACATCTTGCAAAGACTGAGATGGAGACTGACATTGCATATCGCCGGCAAACGGTAGCCAACCAGACATGCCTATAAAGCCCCCTATCTTGCCCTTGATTCGTCCGGGAGAGCATAGGAGTGTCCAAAGAGCCGTTGCCATGCCCTGGCTCATCCCAATGAGTACAAGCTTGTCGCTCCTGCCTCCAAGAAGTGCGATTTCGCTCTCCAGGAGGTCCAGTAGATATGCCGTAGACTCCTTTAATCCCTCGACCTGAAGGTCCTGCTTCTCTGAGATATTCACGAGAGAATAGATATCAAACCAGGCTGTCATATTCTCCTCGAATACAACACTCCATCGCTCTCGAGACGTGGGGAACACCCATCTACAGCCAGGAAAGTGGGCTGGTAGATTCTTCTTCTCGGACGTGGGTGAGTCAAAGAACTCTTCGGCAAAATCAGCACCGTTGCTCGCGCGGCCGTGGAGGAGAATGGCCGAATGGGTGTGAGCGCTCCTGGGCTCGACAATATGAAGTGCTGGGAAGGCCATTTCCATACTTCCTATCTCCAATATCGTCGCCTTGAACGACGAAGCCTTAAGTTGTTTGGGCGAAACAGCAAATCTGGAGGCAGCGAGATGTTGTAAGCTGATAGTGCGTTTCAATCGCATCTGGCCATTAAATATGGCGGAACTGGCCAGTTATAAAGACCCTCGATACTCGACCCAGTTATCCTCTTGACAGGGCTATATTCGAAGGAGCTCTTTTATATACTGGCCACATGTCCATTCTGATTCAGTTGCTCAATCCTGTTGCATTAATAGCTTCACTGGAAAGAATTCCTTGGATATTAGTTATATACAAGTTACAAGATTGAATCGCATAGTTACATGATAGCTGAGTAGTGACTAGATAGTAAGGATATTCGCATTCTAGACATCATACATTCTCTCAATTTACTCATAACAATAATAGGTATAAACAGGAAGTAATTCTTCGCTCGCCATATGATAGATAATCCAGAAGGGAAGGTATCAAGAAATCAATATTCAACAATACGTCTCTTGATATGCTCAAGCATCTCCATAGGCAGTTCCTCCTCCTTAATCAGCCCGATAGCCAGGATATCAGCCCAGAAGAACAATGCTCGATCCTGTGCGTAGGCGAGATAATCAAATTCATCCGCAGCCTCGTCGACCTCCGCCTCCTGCAGCGCCTGGTCAGTAGCTGCAAGCATCTTCTGCACATCTACCGTTTCTTGGGTAGGCGTGGTAGATGCATCGTCGGTACTCTCATCGCTATTTAGAGCAGTTTCCTTGTTGTTCTTGCCGCTGGCCGCGTCGGCTGTAGAAGTATGTGCTACCGGAGTGCTTGTTCCTGCAACGGCGGCCTCGAGACCAGGGACTTTGGCCTGCACGATACCCCATGCTACCCACATAGCTGAGTTAGCTACGCGCCAGACCCGAGCTTCATGAAGCAGCTTTTGTACTTCTACCTCGAGCTCTTCATCGATTTGGTCGTCTTCGCTTATCGAGAAAGGTACGGAAGGGATATATGTATCTAGGCTTAAGGGAGCAACACGGGGGCTACTGATGTATGTCGGTCTAAGGCCCGGTGTGGTCATGGTACTTGACACTGAGCTAGTGGATAAGTTATGGCCTGAGGGGTAGGTGCTGTTGTTTGTCTCGGAGATGAGACGGGGCCGATGAGTGAGATAGGCGCGGATGAACCGTTTTTGCTCTTCAAGCGTTGGATACCAGGCTGTGTTACATCTCCAAGGACGGTCCTCATCATGGTAGTTATAGCACCATTCCGTCTATAGACGTTAACACCTACTCCTTAAATCATAGACAAATACGTAGGCGGACTTACGAAGTGGTTGGCAAACTCTGCTCCTCGCATATTGGCTGCCGCATATTCAAAATCAATAACGATAAGCTGCTTATGTTCGTTGGCGGGAAGCAATAGTGGTGATTCCCCGCTTGGCTCGAGACGAAGCAGGTTTCCGTATTGCGTCTGTACATCGTTTGTTAGTCCTGGCTAATGCAGTGTAAGGATGATTGAAGGGAACTCACGTCGTTATGAGCAAAAATTAACCGACGGGTAATCTCTTCCATTCCACCAAAGCTAGCAGCCAGCCATTGGCGATATCTCTCAACCATACCCCGGAACGTTTCCCAGGGGACGCCGCAGACGAATCCTCGTTTTCTCCATGGCTCTTTGACTGATCTGCCTCCATTGTGGTCTGCGAGGATTTCGCTGTCAAGCCAGGTGGTCACCTTCTCGCAGCGATTGACCCATTTGTCCCAGTTCTTCCATAGACCTGGGCCACCCTCTCGTTCTTCAGGCAGTAAGTCGATACCCTCATGGAGTTCTCTCATACGTTTGGCGATCTGGATGGATGTCTCTGGTATACGTAGGTCGCGAGTTGTCAGTGTACGAGCATGTAAGTACTGCTCAAATCTGCCATTCTTAAATGTTCCTAGTACCCGTGGCCCTATGTTCCTCTTCCCCAGACGGCGAAGGACTTGAAGTTCATGCTCTCTGTCGATAAGATGTTCGACTTGAGGGCCATAAATACGAAGAAGCAGTTTTCTACCGTTCATTAGTGATGCTGATCTTCCATACAAGATAAGAGGCTTACTTACGGAGGAGGTTTTCTAGGCAAGCTCTGGCTAGAAGTAGACTGAGAATATTTGGACATGTCCTTTGGAGGCGAGACTTGATATACGGCATTGGTAAGTGCGCCGCTCAAACGAACAACTTCAACTTCGCCCCCTGCGTCGAGAGGAACTCTTCTCCAACCCTTAAACCCAAGAGTATGCGTCAACCGAACAATCTCAGACTTAAAATAAAGCCAGTATTCTTTATCTTTGTTGGTAGCAGGCTTGCTACCCTCAGGTTGTGTCGCTGTGTCCGAGTCGGCCTCACCACCGGAATATAGAAGTGTTTTAGAATTATCAAGTACAACATCAGCACTGGGAACAGACATTTCATTATCTGTGTAATCGGAATCTGACGCCGAGCCACGTCGGAGGCCCTTCAAGCCGTAACCTCTTTTCCCCTGGCCCCATGAACCGCCACGTCTTCGCCTCCATGGCGCTCCAGGAGATCCTGACAACCCATCTGTAGAATACTGCGAGAGGATTTTCTCCAGTTTCTCCAGTGCTAGAGTTGATTCGGGCACTTGTGCATCTCCAGAGGCAGAATTGTCACCTAACAGATCCCCCTTGAGAGGTACAGATGTAGATCGTGGTGTCAAACGGGGAGACTTTGCAGTAGATGTAGATGGTAGGCCAAGTTTTGACTTCTCTTGGTGCAGCCATTGATGGACCTGACCTAGCAGAGCATGGTACTGAGCCTGTATACTGACATCATCGGCTGTACTACTGCGGAAGAGAAACGACTGTGGCTCAGAGGTGGGTGGTGGTAGGGCCGGGAATGATGAGATGGATGAAGACAGCCGGTCCTCATCCGAGGGTGCGGAGGATGTTGGCAACCCAGTGATGTTATTATGTGAATTTGCATTGCTGCTTGTGCTCAAGTCGCTATTTGAACGGTCAAGGCTAAGATGGGAGATCTGACTTGATACTGACTTGAGGGAGGCGGACGAAGATTTTGGTAGACCCGGTCGAGTCGAGACTCCCCTTTTCCCCGAACGAAAGGTCTTTCGAGTCCCTGTGGTATCTGGGGTTGTTGTATGAGGCTGTTGCCGCTGCTGCTCCTCCCCTGACTGACCTACAGGTGCTGTTGATGGTGCTGATGTTGGTGCATTGCTGGTGGCTACTGATGTAGATATTGGCTCTATATCTTTGGTATTGAGAGCTAATCGGATCAATGTTAGCAAAAGTGATTCCTCTTTTCTGTGTGTGTGTCTCTCTCTCTTTATACTGTAGAGTACAGTTTTAAACAATATGACTACATGTCTCCTTGAAATTCAGTCTCAATAGGCTAGAAATGTAATCTGATACAAGAAAGCAGACTCTATCAGAGCACTCTCTAGCCCTTAAATATCACCAACTGCCAACAAGCAACATAAGCATGTCATACAGACTGAAAAACACTGCAGCAGCTGAAAGAGAGTCAAATGGATAAAATAAAGGGGGTAAAACGGTGACTCACTAAGGTTCTTCTGTGTAGAAGGGCGTGTTGAGCTATCCATGCTTCCTCGCTGTTCTGTGGTATATAGTATGTGCGCAAGTAGAAGAAAAGCAAACAAAGAAAGAATAAGAGAAAGAGAAGAGAACCTCCAAAGATACCAGCCGGAACAGAATAGTTTCTTGTCCAACAACAGGTCAATATTCTGGAAGGGAGATAGAAGATGCCATGAGAAAATAGAGATTAGAACAGGCAAGCAAAGCAGCGACCCTTCTTCCAACAGCCTCCAAAGAACAAGGAAAACCAAGAATCTAATGAATGTAGCTATCTGTCCGGACGCTAGTTACTCCTTTCTCTTATTCTGTTCCTCTCTTTTCCTTGTTTTCCCTCCCTTTGTCCTCGATGCCTTTATATCACTTCTTTTGACCAGTAGACAGTCCGATTCCGCGAACAGGCTGAGGTTTTGTCAGTTCTTCTGGCAGAGAGAGATTGTGAGAGAGAGGCGAGAGCATGTAAGCGAGCGAGCGAGGATTGTGTGACGATCGTCTAGTGCCGGGTTGGATTAAAGTGGAGGCTCAATACATAAGCTTGATGCTTGACGTTTGATCCTTGAAAGCCAACGTGGATCGGCCTGGAGGACTCTGTGCGCCGTATGTAGTTAAGTTATATGGGACGGTTAGTATCACTCAGCCAGCAGGGTACTCCATGAAGCTTGAAAGCGAGAAAAAGAGAAGCGCTTAAAGACGATGAAAGACGGAGAAGACGCTGGACAAAACTTGGAAGTTGAAGTTTTGAAGTCGATGAAAGAAGCGAGGAAAAGAAGAAAATGGAAAAAAGAAAAAAAAAAAACATGTGACTCGAAAGGGTTCAGCCTGATAAGGTTTATTGCAGAAAGGACGCTTTGCCATTTTAAGGCTAGTGCATCACGTGACTATGGCTTCCTTTTTTTGCTTTTTTGTTGCTGTCAAACTCGACGGCGACGACGACGACGACAAGATATAAAAGAGGCCGAGCAAGGCAGAGATGAAAAAAAAAAAAGTGAAGCCGAAGGTTGGTAGACGAAGCTCGCTATTTTGTTTGACGCGGGCGTCGATGTTAATTTACGTGATTATTGATAATATTTACTCCGTACCTCCATGAAACTGCCATTATTCCACAAACCAGAAAAGACGAAGCTCCTTTTTTGTGTGCCGCGCCAGACTAGACAAGAGACCATAATACAAAGCTAACCAAAGGACCCAGAGGATGGAGCAGCTGCAAGGGGCCGCCCGAGCGAACATGAAAAGACCAAATAATACCAGTGAAAGATGAAAGAGCAGAAGAAACTAGCTGGCGGCCCACTGGACGACCTGCAGAGCGGACATTACTAGTATAAGGGTTGACGGGAGGATCCTGCGAGATCTACGTTAGCTTGACACTACTGGGTCTGGAGCCAGGAGTTGCTGCGTTATAATGGCATGTCTTTGACTTACCATATGACATAGGAATGGAAGAGGATCCTCGACATCGCGCCCATATAGACGTTATTGATCTGGCAGATCTGAGCCAGCTGCAGGGCCGAAGGTGCACCCACCAGCAGGAAACACACGACGATGAAGATGGGATCTTCCAGGATACTGACAGGCACAAACTTGGCGACCAGGGCAAGAATTGGACCCATGATGACTGTTGGAAGAACCATACGAGCTACTAGCGAAGCAACGATGAGTTTACGCTCTTCAGCTGGATCGTCGTCGTCGGATAAGACATCCTTGGGCAGGGTGCTTCGTTCCAGGTTGGCACCGAGAACGACTAGGATCAGAGGAACTGCAACGCCGCCGGACTGCTTCACAGCGCGGGTGACGGAGTTGCTCAGGAAGTTGCCTGGGGTGAAGAAGACACGCTGGACGGACGGGATAGAGGCTACGAGGACGGCAATAAGCATCGCCCAGAGAGGAGGGTTCATGAAAGACCAGAGGCCAGAGAAGAACGAGGTAAGCCGGGAAGAGACCCAGCTGAGACTCTTCTGGAGCGGAACAGGTAAGGAGGCGAAGAAACGTTGGGAAGTGGAGCGTATGCTGGTGGTAATGGGGCGGAGGATGCGGCAGAGGAATGACTGTTTACTACTGCTGTCGGCCTGGTCTGGTCGGACGAGAAATTGGCCTGTTGGCAGGACTAGAGCAGGCAGGTCTGTCTCGTCGTTGTGATGGCTACCGTCAGCACTGTTAATTTTGGCATACGGGCGATGTCGTTCGAGAACCGGCGTCTGCGAGCCGGATTCAAAGTGCAAGGAGTCTTCCGAGTGTGTCGATCGAGGAGTAGTGTTTCCGCTGTTAACTGCAGTGCGAACTAGATCCTCTGGTTCGTCGAGATATCTACCATCGTTACTATCATTATCATCGTCTTCTTCGGGGTCATCGCGGTATCTATCTGCAGCATTGATAGGGGCTTCTTCCTCGTCGCGCAAGTAGGCTTCCCGAGGAGCCAGAAGAACATGGTATCCCCAGCTCCAGCGGACCACCTGGCCGAGCTGCTGGAAAATGAGCAGGTAAAGGATTCCTCTGGCGGCGACTTCGTTGTCGTTGTCGTTGGGGATCTTGTCCCAGTGCAGGCCAGAGAGTGTCTTTGAAAGTGAAATCACCAGTGATATCGGCAGGGAATTCGAATTGCCAAAGACCTACGCTGTGTTATTAGCACTCTCTTTTTCTTTCAGCCACCGCAATGTCTCCCGGCCCCCAGCGACTTCATGACTTACTCCCATGGCCTTGACGAAGTTGGACTGTCTCTTCCTGAAACCAAAACATCTTGACACTATCAACGCCGAAGTATAGGAGACCAGTGTCTGGATGATGAAAAGCACCGGGATAACAGCTAGATCCACCAGCTTACCTGCCGTCAGCTGGGAAGCAAGCTTGGTGAAGATCAGACAAGGCGTAAATAGCATGACGTTCAAGTTGGCGACAAACTTCTGGGCTTCGGCATCGAACATGCCCATGCGTGCGATGATGTACCCTGGTAGTGAGACACAGACAACCTCGAGGACCGCTTCAAAGACAAGTAGGGCGAGATGGGGGATGGACGGGTGAGGGCCGCCGCCGGACGAGCTGTCGACCAGCCCCAAACCAGCGTTTGCTCGTTCGAAGGACTGCGGAGATAGCATTTTGTTTCCCCCTGTTCTTCCTCTTCTTTTTCTCTTTTTCCTTCTTATCTCCTTGACTCCGGCTGCCTGTTGATGTAGATGCTGCCTACCGGAGAGAGGAGGACGATGATGGCGGAGAGATCTCTACCACGAGATTATTGAGAATGAAGAAGTTGAAGGACAGAGTTAAAAAAAGACCAGACAGCCCCCGACTATCACTGCTAGTTCCCACGAAAGCGGTCGAGATCAGAATCGATAAGCCAACTCTTCACTGGTGCTTTTGGTCTGCGCGGCAATCAGGGTGCATGGCAGCTATGGCACCTGCCCGCCAATCACAGTGGGAGGAAACATCATGCCTGTGGCTCGGGATTCTCGCCCAGACCTTGGCTCATTCTGTTGAATGAAAAATGAAACAGTGCAAACAGCTCATATGGACACAAAAAGCTGAGGGAAGGCGAGGAAGACAAAGCAGGAGGAAGAAGACGTTGAGAGGAAGCCAGGATGGGTACCTGGTTGTCGCTGTCTCCTCTGCATCTGACTTCCTCTCTCCATCTCCATCCAGCTCCATCCCCCATCTCTACCTGCATGCTGCAGCTTATGCGGCTACACTACCCAGAAGTCGACATCTTAGCTAACTAAACTACACGACGGACGCCACTCGCCACCCGACCAAGACAAGGGACGAGGAGAAGGAGAAGGGATTGACACTCAAGAGAGACGGCCGCGCATCCCTACGGCCGGGCACCAACCCGTCTCTGACCCCCAACTGAAAAAGGGCTGCTGCACTCTGTAACCAGCAGGACACTCCCCCTCAGGCAGCAACTTTTCCTCTTCGCCTATCAGATCCGCGCGATACGAAGACGATGTGGCTCATGCCGCGTGGCTTATCCTGTCAGCTTTGCTCAAAGCAACGAACTGGCCTTACCAAATCTCCACCGTTGAGAGGCGTCTTTCCCCAGAGTTGGCTTATAGCGAACACTAAGAATACTCCGTATAGATGTAGACATATCCCCGTTCCCTGCCATCGTTCCGGACTCCATCACATTCCCCATAGTTAGGCAATGACGGCAATTAGATAGGTAGTAGAGCTTAGCAAATCAGATCCCGACGTTTCAGGGCGTCCATGACTTACTTTTCCTCGGTTCCCTCTTGGTGGCGACGCAGAACCGAGAGCTGCGTATGTAACGATGGCCAGATAAGATACCTGAAGCTGTTCTTTTTTTTTTTTTTTTTTTTTTTCTTCTGGCCCTCCTTGACGGTAGCGAGGAAAAGATGATCCGGCGGGTTGCCTTTTTTTTTTTTTTTTTTTTGGCTTTCCACAGTTAGAGTAAAAGGCCCGACGTTGACATTTTTTTTATTATTTATCCATGACCACCGCAGACAGATACAGTCCCGTCCTCGCCCTGCTGCTCGCCTCTCCGGTGGTGATAGCTGCTACTGCTGCTGCTGCTGCTGATCGTTGTTAAACCAGTTACTGCTCGGCAGTCATCCTGACCTCCCATCCCACTCATCCCGCATCACCGCAAGCAAGCCACACCGGATAAATAAGAGAGAGAGAGAGCACCTCCGAAGACGAGCAACAAGAGTTGCGATTTGCCTCGACCTGGCCGATGAGTGCCCCTCGGCCGTCGACTATACGCTGACACTGTTCTGTGCGTCCTTACTTGCTATTTTCCTGCGTCTCATGGACCGTTAAACGTGTGCTGCTGTGGATTTCTCTCCTCCTACGGCTCGTTTTGTTGCTTGCTTTGAGATACAGGAGAAGAACCCCAGAAAAAAAAAAAGAGAGAAAGACGAGAAAAAAAGGAAACGAAGAGAAAAAGGGGCAAGAGATGGAAGAGAGCAACCAGGTGCGCGAAGGCGTCAAGATGCAGGGCGTCGACGGTGTTGCAGATACGCCGTCATATTCTGCCTCCTCTGCCTCCATGACCACCGCCTCTGCCTCAGCATCAACAACCTCGACATCTGCACCCGGTGCTGCCGCTCCTATCACGGCGGCTCCTGTGGAGGGCCGCCCTCGACTGCCAGTCATGCCGGCTACGACGGCCTCGATTCGCACCACTTCCGGCATGATGACTCCCTCATCCACGCCGCTGGGCCATGTCAACGCTGCCCGCCGCCCTGGTCCCCTGCCGGCCCGCGGAAGCCAGTCCAGCGGCCTGTCCCAGGATATACAGGAGAAAATGAAAGCCTTCTCCCTCTCTCGCCAGGGAGCGCCCGGCAATGGGAGCAACGGGAACGAGAGACTGCCCGGCATCCCTATCGCTGCCCCTCAGGCTACCAGCCCCTGGTCCCCCCCGTCTGTTCAGGGAGGTGCCGCAGCTGCTCCCATGGGACGCACTCCTACTCCCAAAATGGGTGGAGGAGGTCTTGCTGCTAAGAGAGGCATGGCCGGTGGTATGAAATTGTCAAATGTTACTGGACAGCCCCCTGGCGCGGCTCCAGGTATACCAAACGCCAGCTCTGGTGCCAACGGGAGTCCAGCCAATCTGCCAAAGGCTAGCGGCACCCCGCAGTCCTCGAATACCCCCGTCTCAGCTTTTAGCAAGTACTCGGAGCTCATTGATACAAAGGCCGGCACAATAAATTTCAAGAACAAGGCCATTATCCACGGTGGAGGCATTGATTTCTCCTCCGGCCAGAGCTTCAGTATTTCCCTGGATGATGTTGAGTCTCTCAACGAGCTAGGGAAAGGGAACTACGGTACCGTCTACAGAGTACGACACTGTCGGCCAAAGATACGACGGCCTGGTCTCGGCTTGAAGGGGAGCATGGCAGTAGGCAATCTGCCAGACAGCAATACCAACAACAATGGCCAGAACAACAATGATTCGAACTCCCTCGATACAACTTCAAATACGATAAAGAGCAAGGGCGACCTTACAAACGTCATCATGGCCATGAAGGAGATCCGTCTCGAGCTCGATGAGGCCAAATTCACCGCTATCATCATGGAACTGGACATCCTACATCGCTGTATCTCACCCTTCATCATCGATTTCTACGGCGCTTTCTTTCAGGAGGGAGCTGTCTACATCTGTGTTGAGTTCATGGATGGTGGATCTATGGAAAAAGTCTACGCAGGGGGTGTACCTGAAAACATCTTGCGCAAAATCACTCTCTCGACTGTCATGGGCCTCAAGTGTCTCAAGGACGAACATAACATCATCCATCGAGACGTGAAACCGACGAACATCCTTGTCAACACGCGTGGACAGATCAAGATCTGCGATTTCGGAGTGAGCGGTAACCTTGTTGCTAGCATTGCGAAGACAAACATTGGCTGTCAGAGTTACATGGCCCCCGAGCGTATTGCAGGTGGTGGGCATCCCGGTAGCTCCGGTGGAGGCACGTACAGCGTTCAATCCGACATCTGGAGTCTTGGCTTGACCATCGTCGAATGTGCGATGGGCAGGTACCCCTACCCCCCTGAGACATACAACAATATCTTCAGCCAACTCAATGTATGTCTTACCCTGTCCTTCAAGCCTACTGCTCTCATTCGTCTTGACTAACATCTGCGCATTAGGCCATCGTGCAAGGGGACCCGCCAACTCTACCCGATCCAGGCTTCTCCCCCGAGGCAAAAGACTTCGTCGCAAGCTGTCTGCAGAAAAATCCCGCTGCCAGACCAACATATGCCAATCTTATTCGACATGCCTGGGTAGAAAAGCTCATGCAACCACCTACTGCTACACCAGAAGCGTCGGAAGCAGCAGAAACTGCAGGATCAGAAGAGCCAACCGATACCAGAAGCCCAGACGTGCCCGACCATAACACCGACACCTACGATAAGGAGGTCGCCGCGTGGGTTATAGAAGCTCTTAAACGACGGGCAGGTGAAGCTAATGGCAGGGAACGGCCTGCTTTACACGCCGTGGCACTGGACGCCGTGCCTAAAAGCCCTTTACTCGAAGGCCAGAGCTAATCGGCTTTTCTCTGGCCTTTCCCAAGCTTGGAACCGCACGTTTATCGAATATCGCACAACACATAACAACCATCTCTCCCTGCTCCATATTCTATGCTCATTGACGCATTAGTACCCTTATGTCGGCGTTGCATAAGATAGGATACGGGTGCTGGCCACCGTGTATCAAAAGCTACATCGAAAGAGGCCAGCAACTACAAAGCATGACTAACAATAAAAAAAAGAGAGAGAGAGAGACAAAAAAAGAGAGAAACTCACTCGATATATTCCTATCTACTAGTATATGAATGCAATATCCCAACCCGAAGAACTAAGTACTTCCCTTCCCCTCACCACCCATCTCTCGCGACAGATTAACAATTAAACAATTTATCCAACACTACAGTTCCTCCTCTTCCCTCGCTCTTCCCGCTAAGTTTTCAATGTTTTCCCTCACTATCTTTCTCAAGGGGAGCGCTGACTTACATGGTACTACGGGATGGGTTTATTCATGGGAATCTCTATCAATAGTTCACATGCTTGGAGAGAAATATTAATTTATTCTTACTTATTGAGCTTGCGTAATTACTCTACTTTCGTAGTCGCTGGTTCGTGGAATTTTTAATAGTAGCTGCATGAATGCCCCCATCGCTTCACCAAGCATGCCGATCCTGGTACATACCAGGACCACTAATGGCCGAAGTTCTAACATGTGAAAATCTCTGGATCGTGGCGGCACCGGCGGGTAAGTGGCTCCATAAAAACAAGCTTTTGTGGACCCTCGGCGCTTACTTCCCATGCAGCCTCAATTAAGACAATGAAATGCCGCCAATCAGCGCCAGTTTCTTGTTACACCAAGACGCCTCACCCGAAATTACGTGACGTCATATTGCTTAAGCTTGTAAGCACACGATCGATTTTACGCGTGGTTCCGATGAATGTCCGACGTACTTAGAGCAGATCCCATTCCGCCTTGCTGTGCCGTCCAATGCAGGAACAAACGGTGGTCGGACCATATCAAAGGTGCGGCGTGTTCCCGTCTGCATAAAGAGGGCGTAGATCTTCATCGACTGCCTTAACTATGTGTATCAAAGCAGCTTGCATCTCAGTTTAATGAATTAATGTCGTCGGGGAATAATGAAATGGTTTCTCTTTGTCGCTCTTTCTTGGCTGGTACGAGAAGAGAATCTACCCCTGTCGCTAGGGAACGAGAGACTTCTCAACAGTTACTATAACTAGCAAAACTATCCCTGGTTACCTTGTAAAAGAACTACGACGAATAGATCTAATTATCAAATCCCGCGAGTGGGTAGTTCCCAGCCTAATATAACTTTAGCAGGTAAATTTCCCGTTGGATAGCCGCTGACCACTCGTCCATGCATAATCCTAGCATATGTCTCGCGAATGTCATCTCGGACACTTATCTACATCAGTTTAAAGTGGCGAGTGATCGAAGTTTGTCCTTTCGATAGCTGCATCCTTTGAAGCCTGCTGTACGGAGTAGATGTTGAAAAATGCTACGACAGGATATTTCCAATCGGTTAGATCTTTCTGCCCACCTTTGTCGGGCCAAACATAATATTGCTTCTTTGACCCGCGTGTCGTGAGAGACCCTCCTCGGCCCGTAGCGCCACACTAGTCAGCTAGCTAGTTAACCCAGTTCGCTGGTTCATCCACTTTCAAAGGCGACAGCAAGCCACAGATATAATAAGCTTCTGTAATGGTCTGACCAACTCAACGCTTTACACACCTGGTGGCAATAAACAGCAGTCAAGGGTATGAAGAAATACAGTCGAACGGCCAACACAATAACACTAAAAGAGAAACCGGGAGAAACTATGGTCAGTTTTGTCATTTCTATTCCCGTATTGCGTATTTATTACCTCAGTTAAGGAAATAGCCAGGGTGGCATTAGCATCGGTTCCATCCATGATTCAGACTTCGTGCTGTTGCGTTCGGATGACCTACCCTTTACTTCCTTTATAATTGGCATTCAAATTAGATAAATTGTTCAAGTCTACATTTGTCCAGATCACACTTTAAGGTAAGCAATGTAAGGAGGGAAGATTTGGAATCGAGAGAAGTTTAATCGCATAATGTACCTGAACATTTTCCCCTGCATGTTCCATTTTGTGCGAGAATAATTATACGTTCAGCTCTCCGACGGGGCCCGAGGGCTTTCGACAGGGGCTCTACTATACGCGGTGCTAACTACTCCCGACTAGGCAATCCCGGCAGTCCCTGAGCAGGCTGCTCGTATCCGTACTGTGGTATAGAGCCTGTAACGCCTGGTGGCGCTCTGTAACCTGCCTGCAACCACTATTCTGCTCACATACTGCCTAGAAGCTCCTCGTTGTGGAGCTAGCGTGAAGCTTTTCCGCTGGAGACCTTGGGGGAAAGTACGCGACGAGAAAATAGTGAAATTGATGAGTGGTATAAGAGCTAGGAACCACACATCTCAAGTATACTTAATTCTGTTTTGTATACACAGGCACCTCACAGTTATACATGTATCCCTAGGATTTGTCATCATATATCCAGTAATTGCCATGGTTTCAGTCGGGATATGGCAAGCAATGTGAATACAAAGTGCGTACCTTGAGTCATGTCAATAACAAATATAACTATCCAAGCCCTTCCCTCAAGCTAAAAAGAATCGAGCAAGACTCCAGCTCCTCGCAAGGCTGGGATTGCGTATTGACGAGTCCACTCATTACACTTGAAAATAGGGCGACGTTGCTCATCAGGCTCGTAGCGTTCCCCATCCTGTCTAGTCCAGATGATCTCATGGCGCCCAGTAGTAGGATCAATTTCCCAAAAATTAATACCTTGCTGCTTGGTTGGTCGTGGCAGTTCTTTTAAAATAGCGCTGATTTTTCCAGAGTGAAAATCGGCCCGTAAAACCCGTCCAGTTTGTGGGAAGCTGTGTAGATATTCCGATTCCATTTCTCGGTCGAACTCTCGCTCCTCATAGCGCATGCCACTAGCAGCAATAATATCACCTGTAACGTGGAACAGAGTTCCTTTCCCGTAGCCAGGGTTGGTTTCAACGAGTACACCTTCGTGGTATCTTTTTTCTGGGTCAAGAGGATCGAAAGCAGCTGTGTCAAGCTCAGGTTTGTAAACCCGATACCACTCTTCCTCTCCAGGAGCAACCTCTTTCCTCGACATGATAATAAATTTAGAATAAGAGAGGCAAAAAATAGATAGAAGAAAAATTACATACGACAGTCGGGATTCGCTGGTGGTCACCCACCCAACTACTAACCGACCGGCAAGTGGCTTAAGTACAGCTGAGCAGACGGGAAGCTCTGTTTTCCACTTCCTGTGGTCGTATGTACTTGATATAAAGAAGAGCAGGGTTCTATGGTGCAGTTCAGTGGGGTAATAGGTATTGTCATTCGAATCGGTCCATCACTGGGTAGTTACCTCCGGTAAACAAAGTCGACAAGGCCGAGCTGAACCTAGCCACAGCTAAAGTTTAGCTTTTGATATTCAGTTGGAGACGTAGATTTAGACCATATCTTATGCCTTTGGTATGATTCGCTTTGGTGAATTCAGCCAGGAAGTTGACGGTTGACGGTTGTAGTTCTGGTTTCCCCTCTGAGAAAGTTAGCCCTTGCCAAGATCGCGGGAGCCTCCTAGTATCTGGATGACATAATCACGGAATATTTGTAATTCCTTTAATTAGTAATAGATATCTGACTCAGCAAGCCTCGGCCCGTCCGAAAAGTGCCGGCTGAATAATCAGGAAAGCGACGCCTGGTCAAGAAAAGCCGCCAGCAGCAAAAGAGCAGACGGGAAGAAGAAGAAAGCGACGAAGACAAGAAACATCTCGCAGGGACTCCCAAGGCCCATCCTGGTCGTTTTTCTTTTTCCTTCTCGCTCGCCCGTGCCTTTACCTTTTCCCCGCCGCCATCCAAGGCATGCCCTCCCTGCCCACCCCGCCATCCGCCTCAACGCTGCTGTCTCAACTCGGACGTTGCACCAGACATAAGAACTCCCTTTTCCCGCCGGCTGTCATTTCGCCCCCGTTCTACTCCTCCTCTATTCGCCGGTATCATATTCAACAGCGACCCCATAGTGGCTTATTTTCCCCTCTTGCCGCTCGCAACAGAACACTGGCGACTAGGAAGGTCACAGTGACCCATTCCTCACCTCGCCTCGGAGCTATTGCCCGGCAGCTATCTTCAACTCCCGCTTTGCAAGGCAAAATGGCTCCAATTGATATGGAAGGAGTAGAGAAGTACGATTATATTGTGATTGGAGGTGGCAGTGGTGGCAGCGGTGGTGCTAGACGGGCCGCCGGTTGGTACAAGGCAAAGACCCTCATCGTTGAGAATGGGCGATCTGGAGGCACCTGTGTTAACGTCGGGTATGAGATATATTATCCTCATAAAAAACTATAAAGGAACGGCTTGCTGATAGTATATCCAGATGTGTACCAAAGAAGATGACTTGGAACTTCGGTTCAATCAATGAGCACCTCGAGCACGCCAAACACTATGGATATGACGTCCCCAAAAACATCAAGTATGACTACGGTTATTTCAAGCGTACGCGAGATGCCACCATTGAGCGCCTAAATGGGATTTATGAACGCAACTGGAACCGCGAGGGAATTGATCTTGTTAAGGGAACTGCCAAGTTCGTCGAACCCAAGGTCCTAGAGATTGATCTGATGGACGGATCAGGAAAGAAAATGGTTACCGCACCACACATCCTGATCGCTGTTGGCGGTTATCCTATCGTCCCGGATATCCCCGGTGCCGAGCATGGGATCACCAGCGACGGTTTCTTTGAAATGGAAGAGCTGCCTCCCAAGCTGGCCGTGGTTGGAGCCGGGTACATTGCGGTTGAATTGGCTGGTGTTATGAATGCCGTTGGTGTCGAGACACACATGTTCATCCGCGGAGACACCTTTTTGAGGAAATTCGACCCCATGATCCAGGAGACTATGACAAAACGTTATGAGGCTACTGGCATGCACCTCCACCGAGGATATACTGGAATGAAGAAGATTGAATTGCTAAGCCCCGGGAAAGGCGCAGAAAAGCGTCTCAAACTCACATTCGATGACGGATCAGAGATGGAGGTCAACGAGCTTCTTTGGGCCATTGGCCGTGCTCCCGCAGTTACGAAGTTGGGTCTCAAGGAGATTGGTGTCAAGCAAAAGGAAAGTGGCCACATTATCGTCGATGAATTCCAAAACACCTCGGTCGATGGCATCTACGCTCTAGGGGATGTAACAGGTCAGGCAGAGTTAACTCCAGGTACGTAGATATATGTGGCTCTTTGTTCTACTGCTTCTCTTCTGCTAACTGTCAAAATAGTCGCCATTGCTGCTGGCCGACAGCTTGGAAATCGTCTTTTTGGACCTCCAGAGCTCAAGTCCTCTAAGCTCTCCTACGAAAACATTCCAACTGTGGTCTTTTCCCATCCCGAGGTCGGAACATCTGGTCTCACTGAACCTGAGGCCATTGAAAAGTATGGCAAGGAGAACTTGAAAATCTACCACACCAAATTCACAGACATGTTCTTCAGTGTTTTCCCAGCTGAGGAAAAAGAGAAGAACCCTACTGAAATGAAACTCATCTGTGCCGGACCCGAGGAGAAAGTTGTTGGATTGCATATTCTTGGCCTTGGTGTTGGTGAGATGTTGCAAGGTTTTGGTGTCGCAATGAAGATGGGTGCCACCAAGAAGGATTTCGACTCTTGTGTAGCCATCCATCCTACCAGCGCAGAGGAATTGGTTACTCTACGATAGTTCTATAGTGCGCTTGTCTATGATCTGGATATGAATGATTTATGGACTGTATATAGACCCAGCCCAGTTCTTGCATTTGCTCTTTGTGTTATTATTTAGTCTATCAAAGATATACACCACTCTTCAGCATTATTGACAATCAAAGGCTTCATCCAATCATTTGCTTTAGTCTACTCTAGCTAAGGCATTCTGTGTAGATAAGTAAAGAAGCACACATTCGTCTGTCTATCCGCTACAATTTCGGAGCGAGCTTTGGCGGGGAGACGTCAATTTGGTTCCACCAGGGATATGCGGCAGGGACGTCTTTCGGGTTGTTGAATGACCCTTTGAACTGTGGGCTTCTCTTTTCGAAGAAGCTTTTTACCCCTTCTTCGTTGTCTCTGTTACCAAAGAGGGGATAGATAAGGGATGAATCAAGCAGATGCGTGGCTTCTGCGCTGTCTGGGCCACGGTACATGAGATCTCTCATCAAGGAGGTTGATATCGTCGACGTATTGCATGCAATATCATCAGCTATCTCGAGAGCTCGAGCCAGCGTAGTTTCTGGCGTAGGCAGGAGCTCTGAGAATAAGTCCTTCAGTAAAGGATGTTCAGCTGGGTATGCTAAACCAGTGGTAACGACGTGCAGGGCACGAGAGTAGCCGATAAGCCTTGGTAGGAAAAATGAGGACACGGCTTCCATTATAATCCCACGGCGGGAAAATACAAAGCCGATTTTTGCCTTTGCGGTAGCCACGCGGATGGTTGCTGGTAGCGTCATCGTGATGCCAATACCAACGGCGGATCCGTTGATAGCTGCTATAGTTGGTTTTCGGCAGTTATGTATTGCCAGGGCTATTCTACCACCACTTCACCAAGGTATTAGCCATAGTCGGGATTTGGTTGTTTAAGGCACCTGTATACATACCCGTCTCTGTGGTCCTTTTCCCTGGCAGCGGCACCTCCGGTCCCCATTCCTTTGAAACCAATGTCTAAATCTGCACCGGCGCAGAACGCCTTGTTTCCGGAGCCTGTCATCACAACGGCTTTCACACGGTCATCAATATCAACCATCCCGAACACTGAAGCTATTTCTCTGGACATTTGCTCCGTGTAGGCATTGAGCTTGTCCGGCCGGTGCAATGTAAGCAGCAATACCGGTGTAGGTGTCGGCGATGATGCAGGGACATGGGAGAGCTTGATTTGCTCGGTTGGCAGGGCCGCATACGATTCCGGAAGAGATGGAGACATCTTGGTATATTTATCTCTGGCTGTATGGTATGATGTGGATGGATGAAAGCCTTTCTTCCTGGATATCTTTAATTGTCGTCTTAGATCTGCTATCCTGTAACTAGGAGATAACAGCTTTATTAGGGCAGATATTAGGTCTTTAACGCAGTGACAGCCCCGGTCCAGCACGGACTTGGGTATATAATATATAGAAGATGCCAGAGCCGAGGTAACTAACCAGGAGTAAATGAAGCCCTGTCACCAATGGGTGCCTCTCTATATCAGTGACAAGCCTTCAGAGGCGAGTTAACAAGTGATTGTGTACCTATGCTCTTCATACGATGAATTCCTCTTCCAGTCATGAATATTCCCGCCTCTCCGCCGGTTTCTTGATGTTGTTGTTCATCGGCTTTAAAGGGGCAGAAGATATGGGGTAGGTACACGTGATAGGAGCTCGGCCCGGGGGGTAAAAGGCAAAACTTTGCGATGAAGAAACTCGAAGAGATGCAAGACTACTAGACCATAGAACGAAGCAGGGACTCTCATGAGACGGTTTCCTTTGACAGCCCAGAGATGGGGCGACCGGTCGTCATTTCGCCAAATAAGTCGACGGCAACTGGTGTTTGCTGCTACATCGCCGGTTCAGAGCAGATTCTGCTCATGCTTAGCGCAGCAGGACACCAAGACACCCGCTACAAAACCGACCTCGACAGCGTCGGCGGATCATAGAGCTCTCGGTACAGCGCAAGACTTGTTCACGAACTCCATTTATAGCCCCGGATCCCCTCTATTCCGCCCCAATGGCACTCATATCCTCAACAAGCTCATTACCTTCCTTCGCGCACAATACAAGCAGTACGGATTTCGTGAAGTTCTCACCCCGAATATCTATAAACAGTCACTGTGGGAAGTTTCCGGACACTGGCAAAACTATAAGGATGATATGTACGAGGTAGGAGGGCGAGGGGATACCGGCGATACCGGCGAGACGAGCGAGAATGAGATTTATGGCTTAAAACCCATGAATTGTCCTGGACACTGCCTATTATTTAAATCCCAGAAGCATTCATATCGAGAACTCCCGGTCCGATATGCGGATTTCAGCCCTCTTCACCGTAATGAAGTTTCGGGCTCGCTTTCGGGTCTGACGCGGGTAAGGAGGTTCCACCAGGATGACGGACATATTTTTTGTCGTCCGGGTCAGATCGGCAGCGAGATACAGTTGGCGCTGAAGTTCGCGGACACTGTCCTACAAACTTTTGGACTTGCAGATGGATACAGACTTGTCCTCTCTACCCGGCCGGAAAAGGATTTTATCGGCAGTTTGGAGCAATGGGAAAATGCCGAGCAGCAGCTTCGACAAGCACTAGATAACAGCGGCCTAAGCTGGGAGCTTAATGAAGGGGACGGCGCATTCTATGGCCCAAAGATTGATTTGCAGATTCAGGACTCCCAGGGCAAATACCACCAGCTATCTACCATACAATTGGATATGAATCTCCCACAGAGGTTTGAGCTAGACTATCTAGTTCCCGAGGGCTCAGAGGAATATGACCCAGCTACGGGCGGGAGGGCCACCCCTGTATTGATTCATCGAGCCATTTTTGGCTCCCTTGAGCGGTTCTTTGCGCTTTTGATTGAACGATACAATGGCCAATGGCCTTTTTGGCTCTCACCCCGCCAGGCCATCCTCCTTACTATCGGGAAGGGGCTAGAGCAAACCGCAGAAGATGCAGTGGCTAAGATATCGGGGTTCGAACCCATCACTTCCAGCCGCCCCTCAAGTACTGGCTTACCTCTATCACCGCTGCAACCGACGTTCAATGTCGATCTTGATCTTGCCAGTAGATCACTTCCCAAGAAGATCCACGACGCTCATGCTGCGAGGTACAACCTGGTCTTCATCATGGGACCCAAAAACGTCGCTGACGGATCGGTAGACATTGACTTGTCCGGCCAGGTGGGCGGCAAGAGTGAAGACGAAATCAAGGCGCTGCTGGACGGCATACCCTGCTGGGATATCTCTCTCTCCGCGAAACCTGGTGAACGGACAACTGCAAAGATGAAGATGAAGGTCGACGACGTACACGCCTGGCTTGTCAACCTCGAAAGGAGGTTCCTATGATCTCTCTACAGAACTCCGGCCTCTCTCTATAGATGTACAACAAGGTGCTTGCTTAGGTATGTATGTATAATAGTAGTAGATATTTAGATAGACTTAAATCACCCTCACCTTCCGCTTTGGGAATAATATCATGTGACATGGATAAACTTTTATCCGAGCGCTTACCTCGGCTATGGAGAAACCAAATCCCGACCCGGTTTTGCCCCGCCGAAATTTGGCCTCACGTTGGTCTCGTTTTTGTAATGCGATTTGATATATGAAAAGATACAAGATGGGATAGCTAGCTGCCTGCTGTCCGACCAAGTTGCGAACGGGTACCAGGAATACGAATAGCGCTCTCGGATCCCGTGAGATGGCCGTTGAGCCACGAACTCACAGGCCGATTCACGCTGCGCTCACCTCTCGTTGGATCCCATGTCTGACTCGTCAAAACCATCAATCTCTCGAAAAAGCGCTTTCTCATGCGAAGCATGTCGCAAGCGTAAGGTAATTATACAAATTATGCTTTTATCGTTTAATCCGCCCAGAGGCTTACGGAGGTATAGGTAAAATGTAATGCTGCGACACCGTCATGTTCGCGCTGCTCCGCGCGGGGTGAAACATGCGTGTATACATTGTGAGCATTTGACCACTTTCGTTACAAATGCCCAGCACTGCATAAGCAAATACTAATCGATAGGTGAAGAACCCCAACGCTGTCGTACACGCGAACCCTCGAATCACGCATTGCAAAGCTCGAAGCGGAGCTGGCAAAGTATAGAAACGAGCCCCAGAATCGCAATGGCAGTGACACAGAACAACAGGAGCAGGGGTTGAAGGTCGAGGAATCAGATCGGCCTTCTTCTATCGATTCACTCGAGCAACACCGTGAAGATGATAAGGAAGCTGTGGATTCACTCTCTCGGGACATCGAAGGCTTAACAGTAGAAGATGACGGGCGCATCTCTTTCCATGGGCCAACGAGTCTATTTCAGCTGCCGAGCGGTCTGGCAGAGGCTGCTAACCCGGCTTTGCCAGTCGATAATGAGTCCGATGGTCGAAAGGAGCGTCTCATTAACAATGCATGGAGAGAACGTGCCTTCGAGCAATTGACTACCATCCCAGTATGAGCTTTTTCTGACTTCGACGAAACGGGGATCGTTCTCGTCGAGATATGTCTAGTCATCTACTAATCCGCTCCAAAATAGGAACCATTCAATTACCTTCTGGATTCTCACTGGTGTTGGATACAGCCATTGTTTAATTTCGTTTATCGCCCAGCTTTCACACGTATGTACCCAATCATGGTTCTTGCAAGAGACCATTCCATTCTGGATAGCTAAATTTCGGGTTTATATAATAGGTGATATGAAGATGAATGGCCCTTACTTTTCAGAAATACTCCTTAATGCTATTCTCTCCCACTCGCTTCGATGGTGCAGGGACGAACCGAAGATTGCTCGTATGCTTGATGCATATGATGGAGGGCAGCAATTCCGACAACGAGCCGTAACGGGGTTATTCGAAAGTTTGAAAGGTGGAAACGGTCAAATAACGGTTGTCCAAACGCTTCTTCTTCTCAGCGCTCAGGAATGCGGCCGTGGAAATCGTACCCAGGCATGGTTATACAGCGGGATGGCCTTTCGACTGCTAGAGGACTTGGGTATTACTATCGATAGCAGGAAGTACTCTGGGTCAGTGCAGTTCTCAGACGAAGACGTTGAGATAAGAAATCGACTTTTCTGGAGCTGTTACTTTTGGGACAAATTGGTGTCGCTGTACTTTGGTCGATCTCCAATCATCCAGGATACCCCGGTCTCTCCGCCGCGGATTCTTTGTAAGTTTACCCTTTACTACTTTCTCATTTGGTCGCATTGCTAATGTGGCATTCAAGTGGATGATACTGCAGAGATCGAGATATGGACTCCACACGGAGTAGTATTCCCCGAGGGCATGCACTATCCTCCGACACAGGCACATTCGACGTCATGCTTCATGAAAATGTGTTCGTTGGCCGAAATACTCAATCAAATTATTATCCATATCTACGATCCTGTTCGCCAGAGCACGGAAGCTCAGATACAGGAATGTGTGGATAAACAGGGAGCCAATCTAGAAAAATGGTGGAATGAACTTCCGCCATTCCTAAAACTTATCCCCAATAATCTTCCCACATATTGCCCACCAAGTCATGTTGTGACTCTCAAGTATGTTATCTGCCCTGGTTCTTCAAGTGTATAACTAACTCTTCGTTAGCTGCATATATCACACTACTAACATCCTCCTACACCGTCCAATGCTCTGCTCCAGGCCCTTCCGGACAAGGGCAAATGCTGCAAGCAATGCTAACCATTTGGTTCAATGCCTCTCCTCTGCATCCTCCAACATATCTCTTTACGACCTCTTTCGACGGACATTTGGTGACAGTCACGTCGTTCTGTCTCTTGCATACAGTTTATATACGGCTGCTTCTATCTTCATACTTGAGATCCAGGCATTGAAATATGCGTCTCCTTCAACGTTGGAAAAGCTGAGATACTGCATCCTCGCCCTTGAACGCGTGAAAGCTGCCAATCCAGGTATGCCTCCACTAAGTGAATGGTACTTTAAAAAACTCATTGTAGCTAATCTTGAACTAGTAATACACACTGCCCTTGGCCTGATTGAGAAAGAGCTCAAGAAGCTCCGAATCAATATATTCGACACCCTAGCCAACCCAGATCAACAAACCATCCCGGCTGTATCCCCGCAAACTACTACGTCGTCGCCGCCTTCTTCTCTAGACCCCTTACATAGCCAACATATGTATACCCTGCCACCCCACGGGGCGTTTAGTATCACACCACCTCCAGCAGATCCCCAACAGGCACATCAGCAGCAGCAACAGCCGTTGCCACACCAAAACACCACCTTCATGATGGATACCCCATCGCTACCTGATCCGCCTGACTTCATCGCTCAAGATCGAATGTATGACATCGCGCCAGAGCTATTCGAAGCCTTCTCATATGCGGAACCTAACACGCCCGGTGGTGTTGGGGCAGGGTTCGACTCTACTAACTGGGCCGGCACTGGGCCGACAAGTTAAAGTATATGTCATTCGTCTTTCAATTTTCCTCAATCTTGACCTAAGCTGTGCTTGATCTACTTTCGAATTTTCTTTAAATATCTATAGGAAGAAAAATCTTGGCATTTTGGCTTCTGCATACTATGTATACATGACGGTGGTGGCTAGGCGTTGCTTTTCATTTATTTCGTCTTTAGATAGGATTACGGTTATTTGGACTTAAACCGGTTGCGAAATCACTTACAAATACCATTGAATAAATCGTTTAAGAGTATACCTTCGAGCCAATGCTGGTACAGACTGCAGACTGGATATCAAATATTGCATGGTTGCCCAACGGACGGCAAAACTAAGAGGAGTCAACTCATCCCTTCCTAACTTTCGATTATTCTCCGTCTATAATGATAACACCCTGGATCATCCTTGAAAATCAGCGGACTGTCTCTCCCCGTCTCCGTCTGCTGATTTCCACGTGACTGGTCTAACTAACTAGGATGTCGAGGAATCAAGAGCTGGAACAACAGCCAGACTACATACACCCTTTGCTATGAGATATCTACTCCGCAGGCTGCCATCTTGTTGGCCAACTACACCATATCGGTTCTCTAAGGCCATCTTTCCGCAGTACAGGATCATGAGCACTCTGCCAAAACTCCCTCCGGCATCATGGGACAGCCATATGCACATTGTTGACCCAGAGAAATACCCCCTCGCACTAGGTGCCCAATATGTGCCCCCTATTCACACATTGTCTGATGCGATGACTTTTGAGTCTTCGGTTGGCATCCAAAATATTGTCCTGGTACAGCCGTCTATATACGGATTTGACAACTCATGCATGCTCGATGGACTGAAGGAGCTGGGCCCCAAGCAGGGTAGAGCGGTGGTCTCCCTGGATCCAGCCAACCCACCATCTGATGATATCCTTAAGTCATGGCATCAATGGGGTGTACGTGGAGTGAGACTTAACCTGCAATCGACTGGCAAAGAGATGAGTGCTGGGGAGCTGAAGGAAGTTATGCACAAGTATGCAGATATCATTCGCCCCTATGGCTGGGTTTTGCAGCTATACATTGCCCTCCAGAACGTCCCACCCCTGGTAGAAATTGTACCACATTTAGGGGTCACTGTGTGTCTCGACCACTTCGGAAGCCCCAAACTACCTATTTCAGCCTCTGGCCCAGCCAGCACGACAGGTTTTGATCCTTATTCCCTCCCTGGCTTTGCGGAGAAGATCGAGCTTTTGAAAGGTGGTCATACATATGTTAAGATATCTGCTGCCTACCGTCTCACAAGCAACCCCCAGTTTGATGGCCTACGGGAAATGTTCATGGAATATATGCGTGTCGCACCCGGTCGGGTTGTGTTTGCTACTGACTGGCCGCACACGAGGTTCGACTCGGTCGACATTGTCCCGTTCATCAAAGCTTGTGTTGACTGGTGTGGTGGAAATCAGAATATGGTCAAAAGATTGTTCCGGCATAATGCTGAGGCGCTTTGGGATATCGAGTCTGAGACTGAATCGTGAATACTGTTCTTTTCCATGCTATTTCTGGGTATACCAATAGACATATTTCCACGAACTTACGGCATGATTTATCATGGCCCACCGTTGTTGTGTTTGAAGATAAATTCCATTCATAGAACGATAGTTATAAACAGGTGTTGATGACCTGATTTGCACAACCCCGAGAAGATCTTACAGCACCCCCTACATATTGAATACTATTCGAGTTCCCGTTCTCTTCCCCTTGTGTGTACTGGCTTTTGTGAGTCCCCACAACCGTACATCTATGCTTTTCGATGGTCTTCTTTCTGGTTGACAAACATGTACCCCTTCGCACGGCTATCGCAGAAATGAGTGGTCTGATCGGCCTATAACCAGAACAGTTATCAGAGACTCCTTTTCTTTCGTCTTGTTCTTTTTTTTATAAACACGTTCAAGACAAAAGAGAGAACATACTAAAGGCTTGCAGCATTCCACGGGTGATTTATCTTTACAGCCTTCTTTTCTCGGAGCAAGAGTGCCTATTAGATCCAGTTTATTGATGCATTAGTATACAACCATGAAACGCCGTCACGTCTTTACACAGGAAATTTTACATACATCCGGTTCCAAAGAGGCCCTTGGGGGTTTTGTCTTCATAGTGAGTGCAGCAGTAGGCCTCTCTTTCGCTTGGACAGGTCCACACAGCCCTGGTAAAAGGTGCAAGGCAGGATATAGTTATCAAGGCCACGGAGGCCATGTTCATTCCGGCAAGACGCATAATGCTGAGAAGTGGTGGAGCTTTTCTAGATCAAGCCCGTCAAGTATATGGATGAGCTGGTCAATATGTTTTTGACTACAGCTAGCTGTGGATGATCAAGGTCGATCTTCTGTCTTCACTGTTGTAGCGATGCAGTCAAGAAGAAGTCGACGTTCTGCCTATAAATATTTTCCCATCTGGGACTAACCCTCAACGACACACAACTCCATGGCTCACGCATATCAACGACTTGCTCTCATAACACCGTCTTATGACCCTTTATTCTCTGTGGTAACGCATGGAGTGAACATCTTATACTGTATCGATGCTGATTTGAAACGCAACTCTGCCGTTCGTTACACAGATTGCGCAGTTTCATCCCATCGTACAGGAGGATATAAGGCTACTTCCCGCAATATTTCATCAGCTGAAAGCTATCACATGGCTAATACCAGCTAACATTTCAATGTATCAGGCCTTCCTTAGAGTGATATGCAATAAGTCTGGTCCGGGTACTCGGCTCGGGTGGAGGCAACACGGCCTTTCTATGGGATATAGGGTATTAAGTCGTCAAGCACAAAACCAATGTCAAGGAGGATGGTATAAAATGGTATGGCATTAGTTAGTTAAACCTATACTGATACTTCATTATCATACTGTCATTATAACCGTTAAAAACATACTCGTTAGATCGTGAATCGGAAACGTGGATCGTCATCGCCCATGTTCCCCAGGATGCTCTCATCCAGCTGAAGCCTATCATCACGCTTGCCTTGCTCTCTCAGTCTGTTCTCACGCACAAGCCCGAGAGCAAGGACAATACTACTAGTTCCGCACATGATCATGGTGGCCAGACAAACACCATAGCCAACAAAGTACCGGGGTGCGTCTTTGGGTACGAAGACGTTGCTTGCAACCAGGCCGCCCAGATTACCAATTCCAATCTGGATCGCCAGGCCAATAGCTCGTTTGTAATGACCTCCTAGGTTATTCGCAAACCAGACAATTGTCACGGGCTGGACAATATAGCAGCCAATGCTGACGAAGAATACTGCCATGTAACGAACAGCATCAGGTAGCCCGCCACCCACGGGACCCTGACAAAGGAGGATGATATACCCAATGCTCCCGAATATAACGCCAAAGACGATGAATCCAAGCCGGTGCTTCAAGCGGTCTGTCAGATATGAGACAACGAGTGTGACAAACGCTGTCACAAGCCATACCGGAATGCTGTGGACTTGGCTTTGGATCCCGGAATATCCGAGGGACTTCACAATAGTTGGGATGAAAAGAGCAGTCGCATATCCGGACACTGTAATGTTGATATAGATGAATGTGCCAACATAAAGCTTCCAGTCAGATAGGATCCTTTTCCAAGCAGCAAGGTCAAGCCTGTCCATACGTGCACCTCCCCCAACATCTTGGCTGCTGCGAGTAACCATCATTTTCCTTTCTTTGCTAGTCAGGAATTTAGCCTGCTCTGGCCAGTCGGCAATAAAGAACTTTGCAGGTCCCGCAAGAGCAATTGAAAAGAGGCCCTCCAGTATAAATATCCATCTCCAGCCAGAATAGCCTCCGAGGCCATCCATATGATCAATGGCGTATGCGAGGAGGCCTCCAAAAGCGCCTGCAAGCAAACCTGCAACCCAAAAGAGTGAAAGTCGTTTCTGGAATTCATGTCTTTTGTAGTATGTGGCCATCAAGTATGCGCAGCCGGGGACATAGCCAGCCTCAAACGCGCCGATGAAAAAGCGACAAACAATGAGATCGCCATTGTTTCTCACAAAGCCTTGACACATGGATGATACGCCTAGAGATTCAATCGCTCAGTCAACATGTTCATTCGGACGAGAAAAGGAGTAGAAAGGATATTACCCACCCCACAAGAAAGTGAGCATGCTGATCCAAGTTGATGGAGCAAACTTCTTCAGCAGGATATTGCTTGGAATATCCATCAGAACGTATGGCACGAAAAAAACCTGGACTGCAACGTTGAATTGGTTTCCCTTGAGCTTCAATTCTTCCATTATCCCCAAAACAGCCACGTTTCCGAGATTGATACGGTCGAGAAAGCCAAAGACGAAGAGGATCCATAGGGGAATCATCAAGTTAATATCAACCTTACGCATCATTTTCTTCTCTGCCTGGGGAGACATGTTTCCTTCTCCCGCTGGGCCGCATTCTGAACCGGATCCTTCGACTACAATCTTCTGAGGAGTCGTCTTCTCCCCTACTGCCAGATCCGCCATATCTTCTGGTATTGTGAAGTTTCAAGAAAAGTCGTCAAAAACTGCGCCGATTCCGCGAATTGTGGCAGAAATGGCGAAGGAGGAATGAAACCGAGTGTCTTCCACAGCCATCTTCATTTATGGGTGCAGAATTTTCTTCGAACCTGGCATGCAGAGTACAAAAGTCCAGGAAGTGCAGGGTCTAGAGCCCGAAGTCCGGAGTCCAGAGTACAAACCTGCCGTCTGCTCGGGCAGAATGGTAGCATCGGCCCTAAGGCAAGTCAAGACCTGGGTGTATGTACACTAGTAAAGGGAAACGGAAGGATCCATGTCGACTGGTAGATTGCTTGCAGTGGCCCAAGAAATGGATAATGTCGTGTCTACCACATGGTTTTATGCTGTGTGGGTATACTCCGGCTCCGTACTCCCGCCCTGAGGTAACTATAACTAACTCCTTAATGAATCCACAATACATAAGAGAACTATCCAGTTGCTGTCAACAACGGGAGGGGATAGAAGTTTTGTAGTCCCGTCGAAACAAGCCCTGTGCAGGGGCCTCCCTCAAGCAGCGAGAGAAAATCCCCTAGTGTCCCCCTTAGCATACCACATCTCTCCGTAACCATAGACAATAGCAAGGGAACCGCCGCTCCACACAAGCAAGAACCGCCAGAATGCGTGGTAATGGGAGCTCCTCCACTTGCTTGGTTAATAGTTAACTGTCTAATCGGAGATCCCGGGCTGGAGACACTCAGACTTTCCGCGCACAAATTTTGAATAACGGCTAGGAGAGTAGGCATCATGACTCGAAGCTCTTGCATAGTTACATCGAAAGCTTGCTTGCTCCCTTCGTCCATCCATGTGCAAAATTGGACTTGAATAAGATTACCAGAGTCTTTTCGCAGTGGTTGAAAGTTGTCACTTGTCTTTTTTACAGTGCTCCTGCAGCTTTCTAGTTCACTAAGCATTCCTGGCTACCTCTCCGGGCGTGGTGAATACAATATACGGAGTAATCAGATAGCATTTAGCCACCAAGTATCAACTAGTTGGTGTTTATAGCCATTTTCTTCGTTTTCTTCTCTCCAGTTAGTTAGTTAGCTGTTTGAATCTGTGGCCGTGGGTCATAGAGGCCGAGTCAATGGTTGAGGCACAAAAGATGCTAGAGAATCACTCGGTATAGAACGTACAAAATGGAGTCGCCTGGTTCTTTGTGTCTCTCAGTCAGTCGGTTCTTTGTGTCTCTCGGTCAGTCATTGCTCTGAAGTAGCGTATATGAGTCTGTTGTACTCCGTAGACCAGGCCTGTCTGGACAAATGATACCTAAATACCGCCGAGCCAAACTGACCGGACAGCATGGAGTTATATCTCTGACAGTATATTGGCAATGCCTAACATCAACTGTTCCGTCTAATCCTGCTCCCTTGCCTGGAGTCTTCATATGAGGTTTATCATGTTGACGTTCAGGTTTTGCTCGATGACTAGCTTCTGTTGCCTTAGTAGCTATCACTGTCGAACAGATAAGCCTGTTTCCCCTCTGCCTAAGACTATACTGCTGTTGTTCCTGCGGTAATCGCCTGGAAAAGGATCTCAGTGAGAGCTCTTTTGCCTGTCCCCTGTGGGAGTTAGCTTAAAGATAACCCCCTTGGATAAATATCACCATTTTATAAGTCCACTGACTTATCTTCAGACTTTGCTGCCGGTATGCCAGACTTTGTAGCTTGAATAGAAGTTTCTTCCCTTCTAAGAGAGAGAAAGAGAGAGAGAGATAGAAATGTTCGGAGGTCAAGTTGAACTGCTATAGCCAGTTGGCAGGTTGTTAGTCGGCCAAGTCGGTTAACTCTAGTCAGTCAGCAGCTATAGTTGTACTTGAACTAGCTAGTTACCCGTGGCGTGGTCATGGGGACCTTAACTAACTAGCTAATTTCCGCTCTCTATCCAGAGTATCGTATCTGAGCTGCAACCCCCAAGGAGAACATACTGTAAGCTCGGCTTGCGCTATATATCAACTCGAGCAGTCATAATAGTCCAAATGTTGGCACTCCATTCGAGGGCTCCACCGACATGTCCCTCGCGATCAATTGCGTAAGAGAAACACTCACAAGGCCTTGATTTTTGGCCCTTGAAAAGCAGACACTAATTACACATCCCAGCACGTTCGGAAACCCAGATCCCAGGCAATGGAGGGCAATTGGCGCTCCGCTGACGGGTTAGTGCGGGATACCAAGTGTGGCCAGACTATATGTGTCCTTGTGCTATAGCCGTGGGGTGCAAGGAGCGGCTAAAGGGCAGGGTTCACTGTTAGAGCCAGTCTTTTCAGCCAACCGCTCTTGCTGGAAGATGTTTCTCGGCTCTTCGGCTTCAAAGACATGGCGGGTTGTCCCGTCTATTATTACTATTAGGCCATTAATAGTACTCTTGCAGGAGGGACACCCGGCTCCAGCTAGCTACAAGAGTTAGTTAACTGGCCGCTCGAAGGATGCAAGCAACTGCCAGCCAACTCAGCCCATTCGGCAGGGTTGCTGGCTCAAGAAACCCCCCCCCCCCCCCCAAAATGCGTGCCTATCGAGTTAGTCAAGTGTTCCCTCCGACTGCCCTCCCCTGCATATATACCCCCAGGCCATGACATGGGATGATTGCAACACTGCCCATACAATTCCCTACATTCCAGTCGAAATCCCAATCTGCGCTCTGGCTAAGCGTGGGATAGAGTCGAGAAATCGAATCCCTGCTCTACTGCCTTTGTCCAGTTCCTTTGGGACAACCCATGGCTACCTACTACCTTCTCTCTTTGAGGCTTGTATTGACAATCCCGCTGAAAAGCTGTCAGGCATAGCCATGAGCAAGACGATAAACTTTTTTTTTTTTCTCTCTATCTGTCTGTATATCACTCCCTTTTTTCGTTTTGTCTTGCCCTCTCCCTTTGTTCTAACACAATATATCCCAATGGGCTGAATTTATTCCTTCAAAGCCCTATCTCGATGAGGCATAATGCCGCTCTTCAGTCACTATGGGGATGTCGAAGACATTTCTGATCGTCTAGCCGTTCCAGCTCTGGTATTCTCCATTATCACGCCCTTATTCATTATAGCGAGGGTTGCTACTCGGCGATACTATTCAAAGAGCCTTGGGCCTGATGACTGGACAATATTAGGATCTCTGGTATGAAATACATGCATATCCTTCTCCCCTTGTGCCAACTAGAGATATATTGCATGGAATCTATAATACTGTGGACTAACGGTGTGTCTGAGCCCAGGTGTTTGCGGAAACCATTTCGATTCAGATGATCATCAGTAGGTTTCGGAAGTTATAATCGAATTGCTCTTCATAAACATAAATTAATATCTCCATAGTATGTGGGTGGGCATTTGGCAAACATATCGATGACATACCTCCGGAGTTGCTTGCAAAGTCCTTAAAGGTACGGGCATCTCGTTTTTCCTCATAGCTAGCCTAAGGGTAAACGCTCACATTAACCGTCACTGCAGCTGTACTATTTCGCACAAATATTTTACAAGATAACTAGTGCCTTGACGAAGATAAGCGTTTTGCTTCTCTATCTTCAGGTATTCATTCCATCCTGGTTCAAGACTACCTGTTGGGCGGGCATCGCAGTTATCGCTGCATTTACCGCTGGGACCGTGGTCTCAAGTATTTTCCAGTGCAACCCAGTCCCTTATGCGTTTGACAAGAAGACTCCAGGAGGTGGAACATGCATAAATGTGGCTGCATTTTGGTTTGCAAATGCGTCTTTCATCATTGCAACAGATGTGTTTATCGTCCTGCTGCCTATTCCAGTTATACTTCGGCTACAGCTGCCGGACAAGAGTAAAGTGGCTCTATGCGGAGTGTTTGCTCTCGGATTATTGTATGTTTCACAATTTACTACATCCTTGTTACCCTACATGACTTCATATACTAATGTTTCTTACTCAGTGTCTGCATAACATCGGTTCTCCGCATTACAACTATCGACGTTGCGACGTCCCGTTCCGATACACCCTGGACGAATATAAACTCGTCAGTGTGGACAGTCATCGAGTATAACCTTGCGATCATCTGTGCATGCATGCCGTCGCTGTGGAGGCCGATATCGATACTCATCCCCAGCTTTCTGGAACGGTTTGTCAACTCCTGCTACTGGTCAAGCAAGCACAAAAGCAGCCATGCCCATAGCAGCGGGCCTTCGGTCATAAGCGCAGCCATGAGGGCAGAACAATCAAACCCATACTTCAGTAGAGCATGGTCCCCATTGCCTTCAAATGCTCTGCCCCCCAACAAATCCAGGTCACGGCATCCTAGTACCTCCGCTAGCATCGGGATTGGGAAGTTGGATCTGGATCTAGAGTCGCAGGAGAGAGTCGATGCTATGGTTGATAAGGACTGTGATTCAGAAAAGCACGGCATTCGTATGACTACTCACGTCGTCGTCAAGTACGACGAAGCGAGTGAAAATGGAGAATATTTGGACAATAAACAGACGGATATTGAACTACGGCATGTGGAAATCGGTGCCCGGTAGCGTGAGCATTTTGGCATGGGATTGGGCATTTCATTTTCATTCTCTAAGGGTCAACGGCGTTGAAGGGGAAAGGTGGCAGCAGTGATGCCTTGAATACCACCCACAATGTATACTTATATTCTCGCCATTAGCATATCACGCGTCACACGGTCGAAGCTACTTAACAGCTGGGCTCTATCTGAGCCGGTATCCTCAAGTCAAGGTTGCTGAGCCTTGTGCGAGGAGAACGGCTCTTTGATTTCTTTTTTAACGCTGGAAGGAAAAGCTCTCCATTAGGCTATGAGTATCCCGAGTATACTCTGTACTGTCGGCCTGATGCCCATCCAGCATTTTTTATATGGCCGCATGCATGCATCGCATCAGGAGCCGACGACTAAGTAAGCTTTCTATCTTATCTTATCTCGGTCTAAATCTGAGTTATGCATATATTATGCGTATTGCATAATTCCTGCATAATTTAATGCAATGTTTTCCAGAAAGTCACTATAAATAGCGTCATCTTTTGGCCACAGATACAACTTTCCCACTCGACAACACCTACTCCGTACCATAAACCGACTTTTTCGTGCAGATCACAATGCAGTTCCTTGAAGATCGGATGTCTGTCCTCTCGCAGCTCTTTGAACGCTACCCTAGGGCGCTGACGACCGCAGCCACAATCCTTGTCGTAGTCGGCGCACCAACTGCTTTCCTCCTATACCAACACAGCCGGCTGGGCAGCAAGGTCCGGCATTCTGCGTCAAGAGGATCACTGGCAGACCTACCGCTTCAAGACGTCAAATCGATGCCGGAATCTGTCCAGGACAAGGACGCTGCAAGCAAAACCCGCGCTGTTTACGATGTAGCTTCACTCTCTACCCTGGGCATTAATATATCCCCATCACTGGCTGAGGAGGAGATACTTACCCGGTATTTGCGACGAAATATGACGGCTTTCTCGCGTTTTCCCCAAGCATATGCTTTAAGCCTTAATTGTGATCAGTCTTCGCGCAAGACCTTCAAGGCGTCTCACATTCAAGCGCTCAATTTCGAGCCAGGCGATGTTGTTTGCGGTGCATACACTGTAGTGTGCCGAGAGCAAGATAGGGTCGAGTTTGGGATGGCACTCAATCAAATTCGTGGTCGACTGGTGACCACACTTGAAAGAAACGACGGCCAGATTACTTTCAAGACACAAACCGTGATGTGGCAGCCCAGCGACGTGAAGGCTCCGATGCCCTTGGAAAACCCGGTCCTGAAGTTTGCTCATGAGATTACATCTTGGTGGATGCTTGAGGCTGGTATCCTGTATCTCACAGACTATACTTCTGTTTGAAACATGGTGCACAGTGTGGAGGGATGCGGTTTACATTTTTCCTTTATCTGGTGTATTATATAGTTAGTTGGAGTTTTGACTTTGTATGACTATATAGGTAGTGACGAGAGATCTCCATTGAATGTCCTTATTAAATCTTCTTCTCTGTTTCCTTACTTCGTTCATTGTCTCGCCGTCATCCAGCATGAAGCGTCGAAAACAAACTATTGCCGTAGATGACATTCCATCGACGCATGTTAACTACTAAATTTGCAATGTTTGCAGTGTTTGCAGTGTTTGGAATATTCTGACATCAACTCCCGAAGTTGAAGACGCGAAACCAAAGAATACCGAAGACCACGATTGCAACCGCGGAGCGCATCATACAGGCGCATTAAGCTGCCATACTATATACACGGTGAGGATTGCAGAGGATTTCCATTTATTGAGAGCTACCTTACAAGTTGGAATCGACATGTCCGAAGAGGCTGGGGGGTGGAGCACCATCGAGTCAGATGAGGTGCGTTTGGTAGCTGTTAATCTCAAAATTCTGCGTCGCATACTGACATTGTGGCTCTAGGGGGTCTTTACTGCGTTGGTAGAAAATCTTGGAGTACGGGACGTCCAGTTTGAAGAATTGGTATCTTTGGATGCTGACACAATACGCTCCTTGAGGTCAGTAATCCATAACCCCCTCCCCCAAAGTTCTAAGTGGTGTCTAGTGGAAATGCTTTGTTTTTCTGATTATATGGATATAGCCCCGTATACGGTGTTATATTTCTATTCAAATGGGTTAGCGGGCAGTCGAGAAACACATCCAACCCTCAAGATGGGAAATACGACCCTGGAGCGGTCGAAGATGGCCTTTTCTTTGCTGCCCAGACGATACAGAATGCTTGTGGCACACAAGCGGTCCTATCTGTGATACTCAACCAAGACAGCTTATCAACATCTATCAGGGGAATCGACATTGGCTCCGAGCTACGTTCTTTCAAAGAGTTTACTACCGGGTTCCCTCCTGACCTCAGAGGCGAAACTTTGAGCAATTCAGCCCGAATCCGCAGCGCCCACAATCTGTTCGCTCGCTCGTCGCCCTTCGTAGACGAAACCTCGCGCCCACCCCCATCAGAAGAGGATGCAGAACTATACCATTTTATCGCCTACCTTCCCTTTGGCGGCAAGCTGTACGAGTTGGACGGGTTACAGCCACATCCAATAACTCATGGACCCTGCACTTCAGACGAATTCCCGGAGAAGGTTATTGATGTTCTTCAACGACGAATTGGGCGGTACCCTGAAGGAGAGATTCGATTCAATCTCATGGCTGTTGTGAGGGACTTGAGGATACGTGCAAAAGAGATTGGGGATGAAGAGATGCTGGATAGAGAGAAGAGAAAGAGAGAAAATTGGGCTTGGGAAAACTCGCTGAGAAAGTGTAACTTTATTGACTTTACAGGACAGCTTTTGAAGGGGGTTGTGGACATGAAGTTAAAGCAAGGCACGGAGGAATATGACAAGTGGATAGAAGATGCAAAGAAAGCAACCAGCCAACGGACAGAAACCAAACGGTCAAACCGGCTGGAACAGTAGCGTCGATCAATTTTGACTTCCAAATATACTGAAAATGCAAGAAGAATCTTGGGAACAAGGCCCCTCCCCGATTACCTACTTAAAACAAAGTAAATTCCGCATTGTGTTAACCCGTGGAATGGGAAACATGAAGCGTGAAGGAAATATCACTATAAGCGTATATAGATACTTAGCTATGTAACTTAAATATTAAGTAAATATGGATCAAGAAGTGAAGAACCCCAATCTAAACGGTAGGTAGAACCAACAAAATCCCCTGATGAAGGTATGAACCGGTATAAAACGCTGTACAGTAGTAGGAAAACAAAAAAAGAAATGACGCATTATGAGATGTATTTGCCATATGTCCTTGTCGTTGAAGGACAAGACAATGCTTTCCATTCGTCCTCTGGCCCTTTTATATATATATCCCCATCACACTGTTTCGGATAAGTCGTCAAATCATCGAGTATGGAATGGCAAGAAATAACAAGGGTATTATATGGCGAAAGCAAGTCTAGAATGTGTTTGTCGGTCTCGGCGCGGAGGTAGGTGGTGTGGCAATGTTGGTGCTAGATGAACTGTCGCGATGGCGTTGAGGATGGAGATGGTGGTGCCTGGAGATTCCCAAGAGGAAAGAAGTAAGAACATGAACCTCAGCCGGACCGTTTTTTCCTGTAATTTTAGGAGAGCGACGGATAGACGATTTGTGAACAATAGCCAGACGATGGGGGAAAGCGGGGGGAAAGGAACTTGAAAAATGTCTGTACAAGAAGTGAAAATAATAGGCAGGGGAAAGAGGGCAGGTTTTCTGTTTTTTTTGGTTACATTGTTTTGTTTGGGCTATGTGTTCTCGATTTGCAATCGATATCAAAAATGGGCCGAGGGTATGTCTGGTGAATGTGCTTGTGCAAATGGACTTGATAACGTAGACAGGTATACATCTAGTATCAAGTCCAGCAGAGTTCCGGAGCGACCAACCCTCCTGTCACAGTAACTGGGGGAGAATCATGGTATTCCGTCCCGATTGTCGGGCCCCCGTTGATAAGATTTCCGAGATAAGCTGGATTGAACATTGCAGGGTGTTCTGGCTGTTTATATTCGGGCATACGATCCTCTACCGGATCGTGGTGAAGCGTAGGTGATGGATATACTTGAGAGTGGCGTCGTGAATGAAGCATCGCATTGGACATCTGGTATGGTGAACCAACAATGGCTGGAGTCATGGGCGAATGAAGAGGTGAGGTGGTATATGCTGGGTAGGCAGTGGTGGTAGAGCTGACCATGGCCGCAGATGTAGCTGGGAGGTGAGGCAAATGGGGAGTTGGAAGCGCATGGTGATATGGGCTATGTGATCCTGTAGGATATCCGTCAAAGGATGATCTTGGCGACCACTGGAGACGACTGCGGTACTCGGCTACAGTTTCGGCTGGAAGATCCATCAAGCTGAGAGCGAGTTGTATCTCAGGTGCAAATGGGTTCGCCGCACGTCTATGGTATAGAATCCGTCTGATCTCCTCGATTGGGTTGACCGCCATGGAGCCAAGGTATGAACCGCCGAACTCTGGGAAGAGTGGCTCCAGCGCAAGGGCAACTCCGAAGAACTGAGAGAGCACGGAAAGAGCTCCGAGATCAGTTTCTCCACCTCGCAGCATCGCCGAAGGGAGCCAAAAGAGCCAGATACGCAGGGGCTGAAGCCTCTCGAAGGCTTTCTCCGGAGACTGAACAGGTAGTTCATCTCGCAACCTCTGAGTGAAGGCAAGCAAGTCCGTTATCCTGCGGAAGTGTTCTTGGTTATGAGAAATTCGCTGATGGATATTCTGTAGATTGACAATAACTCTATCCAGTCTCATGATATCTTCGTTCGGAAAATGCCCCATGCTGCCTGGGTAGGTCGGCGTTAAGGGAGTTCGGGCACTTCGAAAAGCTCGTTGACCATCCATAAATCTGGCCAGTTCCGATCTTCCTTCCACCATGGTCCATTGAGTTCAAGACCTGTTGAAATATAAACGGTTAAAAAAGCCCCTATCGAGG